TCGGAGAGCCGAGTTCGAATTCTAGTCGAATTCATTACATTCACTTACGTGTTAATACTCTTGGGAAAGGTATGAATGTAACTCTCCTCTGAGTTGTGAGCAACTAGTAGGACAGACTGGGTTCTATAGCCTTGGGTAGCAGCCGGACTAGGAGAAGGAAAACTGAATGTGTGTAGTCCTGGCACATACTATGCAGCTAAGGAAAGGATCGTTCGCATTCACTCGGTGATTTCGACTTCTTTTTTTGTCTTCATAATAGAACTTTAGACACATAGAAAACTTTGAATGCAACGGAATGTCTTTTGTCAAAATATCAGAGGAATGAAATCCCGAGTCTTTACAATATCCAAAGTCGTTGAACTCTTCCAGTATCATCCTGGCAACATGAGCTCGAGCATTGTCACGAATCAGAATTGGACTTCGATTAACCAGAGCCGGTCGCATTTTGCTCATCTGAATGTACATTTCACCCAGATGCTGACAGTAAACTTCTTGTTAGATTCTACAAACCGGTAATGGATAGCGCCAATGGCAGACCACCAAACAATCACCATAATCTTCTGTTAATGCAAATTTCGGTTTTGAAAAGTGTTTGGCCCCTTCGTCATGATCAAGCCATTAAGTCGATCGTTTATGATTGTCATAAAGGAATCCATTTCTCATCACAAGTCATTATTCGATCAAGAAATGAATCATTCGAATATCGCAGATGCAGCATTGAACACACTTCAAAAACGTCGAACTCTGAATTTCATTGAGTTCGTGTGGAACCCATTTATCGAGTTTCTTCACTTTACCAATTCTCTTGAGATGATCTGATATTGTTGAAATGCCGACACCCATTACCGGAGAAATTTCTCTTAACAATTACGTGAATTTTGTTAGGCTAGATTTTTCAGATGCTGATTGTTAAATGCTGATGGACGTCCTCTACCACATTGATCTTCAAGACTCGTATCCCCACTGCGGAACTTCAGAAAGCAGCGGCGTACTATTCGATCACAAGTGGATCCTTCACTCCATGTTCTGTTCATGTTGGCTACAGTTTGAGAAATACTATGACCAAGCTTGAACACATGCAAAAAAGTAAACGCATCTCTTTTTTTATTTTCAAGATGAGGGGTATATAATGTTTTCAGTTAAATTCTGAAAAAGATTTATATAAAATGAACATTAGGAATGAGTAATATATTTTTGTGCGGCTATTGTAATAAAATATTTGTCTTGCTTGGAATGAAATGATTTAAAAAAAAAAATGCTATGCCAATCGCAATCTTGTCTTCCTGAAACTTGTACTTTTATTGTTCTTTCTTCTCACTAAAGTTTTCGCATTCTCTTCCACACTCGAATCCCTGAGGAGTATGAGGCCCACAGTTAAAGAGCACAGTCTACCCTACTATTAACCTAAAACTGGGGGTGAAAAGATGGAGACATTCCTTCCCAAAGAGTATTTGAGCTTAAGTGAATGCATTGAATTCTAACTCGGCTCTCCGATTTCTATTCCAAGCAGCTATCTATTACACCACCTGCACATCCAATAATTTTATACGTATTATAATATACCTAAAATTCTAGTGCCCATCACCCATAACAGTCAGAGGCATATACTTATTAATTTATTGTTATGAGATATTTTTTCTTTTAATTTTTTTTTAAACATTCTACGAGCGTGAAATTAGCACTTGGCATGGAATCAGAAATCAAGACCCAGCCACCAGCGAAATTTGAACTTGAATCCCGAATTCTTGGAAGAATGTCTTTATTTCTGATCTCTATTCTTTCCTTATTATACACTTAAGATATAAAAACGACCCAAGAGTTTTGTGATAAAAGAACAGAAACAAAGAAAATGAAACGAAACGAAAAAAAGAAACCTAATATAAAATTAATACTGAGATGATATTTAGCAAATGGAAGTCATTTAACTCCCAGGCGAGAAACTTTAAACATAAGAGGCGAAATTTCAGTCAGATGAATAATTTTAGATGTATATGACGTTTCCTTTTCTTTAAATCAATCAATCCATAGCGTAATAATGAAAAAAAAAAAAGGATTTATTTTATACAATATTTTTCAACATAATCTCCTACCTCATCAATACAATTAAATCGGAAGCTTTTCAAACGGTTAACATTTCAAAAGAAAAAAAAAAAAAAAAAAAAAAAAAGCAAAACCAGACACCATAATCAATGCTGAATTGGTTAAGAAGGTTCTTTCAGACAAGCAACATGGCTTTCATTTCTCTAGCTGGGCAGAGTATTGCGAGACAGAAGGATCTCTCTTGGTAACGAAGAAAAGACTACTGAGCTGTTACGTGATATCTGTTCTCCTTTACAGCAGCGAATGTTGGACGGTCTCCTCAAAGATGAAGAGGAGACTCGAGGCAATGAAAATGTGATTCTACAAAAGGATGCTGAGGATATCACGGGCCAAGCGTGTGAGCAACGATGTCTTGGAGAGGATGCAAACAAGGAAGAGGCTTATACTTAACGTCAGGAAGAGGCAGCTGAAGCTTCTGGGACACGTAATGAGAAAGGAGGGCTTGGAGAATCTGATACTCGCAGGTCGAATAGCGGGAAAGAGACAAGGGAAAGCAATGCATGACATACCTGGCAGGCTTGAGCAAGTGGATGACAGAATGTTGTCTGGGGGAGGCGGCAGAGAGACAAAACTTATTGAGAGCTACAAGAGATAGGAGGAAGTGGAGAGCCATGATCGCCTAAGTTCTGAAAGGACACAGCACATAAAATGAAAAGAAAATCAACTGCTGGTGTATTGACATGAAATGAACGTTATCCTAAATGGCCACTCTTCTAGAAACCCTTTGTACTCATGTAGGTGTGTCCCCTAGGGTTCCATCCTTAATCCTACTTTGTTTTTAATTTTCATTAATAACCTTCCTGATGACATCAGCTCTCAGCTTGATACCTATGCTAAGGCAACCATTTATTCCTGTCTGGATAATAAGTCTGATCAGTTCAATATGGTTAAATTGGCAGCTGATGTCAAACTATCTTCAGTCTGTTGTTAACTGAAGAGAAGAAGGGCTCGTCAATTTTAACGCCACAAAAACAAAACTTCTCAATCATCTGAAAGACTCCTTTCTGCCTTCCATCTGCATGGCTGATGCTAACCTCCAAGAGAGTGACTATTTACGCCTACTCGGGCTAACATTCTCAGCTGACATGAAGTGGGAAGATTATATTGAATCCATTGATAGATCAGCTGCTAAGAAAGTTGGTTCACTGCATCGTGCTAGACAATCTTTCTCACACATCTATAAGTCTACCATTCGTCCATGAATTACGAGTTATAAATTTAAGAACAGTACTAGAATAACAGCAAGCTCTTATCAGTTTACAGTTAAAGTGGCTAATTTGCAGAGTTGTAGGAGACACTGTAGAGTAATAGATTGAGGAATCAGAGAGCTGAGTTCAAATTCCAGTCGAGTTCATTACATTCACTTACATGCTAATACCTTTGGGAAAGGGGTACGAATCCATCACTTCTCCCTCCCCGCCAGCTATGGGTAAATAGTAGTACAGAATGAGTTCTATACCCTTGGGCGGCAACCAGTCTAAGAGAAGGAAAACTGATTTCAAAACTGTATGTAACCCTAGTGAAGCACATACTATGCAGTTAAGGAAAGATAATTTGCATTGATTCGATGATCCAGACTACGGCCGATTCTGTGAACAGAAATGTTTTTTGGTTTTAAACCCAAATCAAAAACTTTCTAACTCCACACAGGCTTAAACTATTAATGCCCACTCTCCCAAAAATTAAAAGTTAGGAATTGGTGGGTTACTAGTAGAAAACTATAATTAACATCGGGTTTTTATTTCCAGTGGACAGAAACTGAATGAATATATAAATGTAGGTATGCCTCTTTCTATATAAGTGAAAGAAAAAAAATGCTATCTCCAGTTTTAAAAATTTACAGAAAATCAAGGAATTTTCCGATTTAAATGAAATTTCTGTTACTTGTTAATTAATGAATGTATTTTATGTTGAAATTGAAATCTTTTTTCTTTATCAGAATCGTCCATATTTGAGAAAAAAAATAGCTAATTTAAAATTTAATCTGAATTGAAACAAATATTACTTTTTTTATTTAAATATTACAGAAAAGAACTGGTGACAGGCTATGCCTGGTAGTTGAAAGCTTATATAGCCCACAGATGGTGGGTGATGTTACTCAGAGTGAAGGGTTTCTTAGAAAGCATTATAAAGACACCCCTATAATCTTTGGTAAGTGACAATCTTCCATTTGAGAAATGTGTCTCATCTGGTGTAGCTGGGTCTTCATCAGGGTGACCTTGATGCTTGGGACAGTTTTTTTTTTTTCTTTTTCTTTTTTTAAAGTGCTGGAAGAATTATTCTAAGAGATGGATGTGGCAACAAATGTAATCCAAGACAAGACTGAACCATTCAGAAGAGTTACCAACACAAGATCTTAGTAGATATTGATCAATGTTTTAAGACTGCTATGTGTCTACACACTGTGTAGTCACCCAAAAGTGCTGCTAACCTTTGCCAGTTTGTTGTCCATTCTTTAACAGCAAAAACAATGCTGATAATATTATAGATGTGAACATGAAATAAAGTTCAGAATGAATGGCTGTATAAACAAAAATACCTTTGTTAAATCCGATAAGCAGCAGGAACTGGTAGCAAGCAGTCAAAAAAAAAAAAAAAAAAAAAAGTTGACACAAAAGGGACAGAAAACAAATTCTGCTACATTATCAGAGAATCAAATTTTTATTACAAACTGCATGAAGAATTAAAAAAAAACAAGTCAATCATATAACAGAAGATTAATTTTATTTTCATGAATGTTTAAGTGGTAGACATTTTTAAATATAATTTTATTCTTGTCCAGTAGTCATTAAAATTACACAGATAAACAATACTAAAAGAAATCAATCAAGTTTTTTTTTTTTTTTCTTAAAGCTTTCTCTTTTCAAGGAAAGAAGAAAAAAAAATAATCAAAAATGGTGTTAATCACAATTACCCTGGAGCCTTTCTTTAAAAACTTGTTGGATATCCAAATCACTTGACTGCCATATTTTCTGAAAATGAAGAAAAGAAATCCAAAGAATGTTTCTCTTTAAAAACAAAAACAAAAAACAATGACGTTCATCCTATACAAGGCCCAAGAACCACTCAAGGTAGAGTAGAGAGTTAGAGAGACACCACCCCCAAATAAGGTGACAATGCCACAAATACATTGAGAAAATGTTAAAAAAATACCAGTGAATTTATTATGGGTACCGATCTTATTTTTTGATAAACATTATATGTATCTTCCATGGTTTCTGCTATCATCTCTAATCTGGACTCCTACAAAGTATGTGGACATGATGATATCCATGTAATAGTCGTTAAAAAATGTTCTCTTAAACTGGCTCTTGTTCTCTCTAAACTGTACACTAAATGCCTTACTGCCTCTTGCTTTCTTGCTTGTTGGAAATCCTCCTCAGTTGTTCTAGTCTAAAAACTCAGGTGAACCATCTGATCTTTGAACCTATCAGCCTCCTACCTCTTTTTGGTAAACTACTAGAGAAGGCTCTAATCAACTGTGATCACAGGGCCTTCTTTCAGACATACAATATGGCTAAGTTAACTGCTGATGTATTAACGATTATTGCTGAAAGAATCTATCAAGTTTTAGATAAGACTGGTGAAGTTCGGGCTATTGCTTTGGACATCTCGAAGCACTCAACAGAGCTTGGCATACCAGTCACTTTCCCACTGCCATAATGTAGCTTCCCTGTGTTTTTTCCATAAATATTTTCATGGTAACTGTTCGAATGAACTCTTTGCTAGGATACCTAGACTTTATGAATTTAAGCACAGTCGTAAATTAGTAGCAAGGTCTAATCAATTGATAGTGAGATTGGCTAAATGTAATTGAAAGTTCTTTTCTCACACTTCTCACTTGTGGAACTCTTCTGGCTCCATGCTTTCCAGCCAACATTTATCTTCAAAAATTTAAATGCAATACCAATCATTATCTCCAGTCTTCTTGATTACTCTTCTACTGTTCTTGCTCCTTAATAATGTTTGTATTTTTCTTATTCTTTCACACTCAGTAACCCCTTGTGTCTTAGTGGCGTTACTGCATTGCTTGGGATTAATTTTTTTTAAAAATTAAAACTTCTAGACTAATTCTCATATTATCCCTCCACACACACACACACACTATTATAACATTTTTATACTTCACACTGACCCCCTAGATATGTGTTAAAACAGAAGATTTTAATTCCCACCAACAAATTAAGATTAGAACCCCCCCACCCCACCTGACTTATTAGAGCGCTGGGATAATAATATTACAATATTATGAAGTTAGGCTAGGTGAAAGGATTGACTGCCTATGGTGTCTACATAAACATTCACCGCACTGGTGAGCCTAAACATTCAACTCCCTGGGATGACTAACATTTGATCCCCCAATAATTCAATGTCACATATAAGACCAAAGAGATATTCTTAAGAAATTTTCTTTTTTTGTAGGGGGGGGGACGTAAATTGTAAATTACTGGAGTATACTTACTGGGTTTGTTTGCTGTAATGCATGCAGAGAAACACCAGAAATAATCTTCTTGACAAAGCCAGCCACATTCAAAATATCATGCATTGTGAGAGGCTGCAAAAGAGTTAAATTCCAAACCGTTATTCATTGATTCCTCTGGACCAGTTTTCTTTATTTCTGTCTGAATTTCTGAGATGAGGATTTATCATTATTTTACATAAAGACTATTATCATCTTTGCTGCTATTATCACAATGTTTCTTATGTTAAACCCCTTCAGGGAATTTCAGACTGAAGCCTTTATCTAATCTACAGGGGAAAGATTTTTGTCATTCCACAGACCATGCCTAGGAATCTCTTGTAAAGTTCTTATTTAGTACTTGCTATACTCGCCATAATTCTACCTGGCCCTGGGATTGAACTCACAATAACTATGTCACCAAATTCATGAACTTCTGCTTTAATTCTCTTTCTGCTTAAAGACAATATCCAAGTGGATTAAGCAGTGGTTCAGGAAGTTGGTGACATAGTAATTGTGAGTTCAATCCCTAGCAGAAACAGGCCGAGCAATACTAAATTAGAACAAGAAGTCAATGTACCCTCAGAGATTAAATAAAAGGTTAAGTTTGACATTACCCGAGAGTTAACCAGATCAACACATACCTGAAATGGGCTGGTGGGAACAACAGCCAAAACCGTGATAACAACAACAAAGATGAGGATAACAGACTGAGTGCAAATAAAATTAAAATATCAACAAAGTGTTTTAACGAAACAGAAAATGCAACACCAAAATCTGAAGGTACACTGGAATAGCAAAAGTGCCTTCCAAAAGTTAAGCAAAGTATTAGGTTGGTGAAAAAATAATGACGTAATGTCGTTTTTTGACGTATTTTTTAACGTCAAAAAACGACATTCTTACGTCATTATTTTTGCACCAACCTAATATTAAGAAACAGGAAATTTTTATGAATAACAAAGACATCAGTCAATGTGAGACTGAAAAAGAAATTATCAGTCACAATTATTTTTTTTTTTAAATTGTTTGTCTGAATTTCTGGTGACAAGCAGCAACACCACTCATCATCAAGTATGTTAGGTTTCAGGCTCCAAGTTCTCTGGTTGCCCCATGGGACAATGACCAAGTGGATTAAGGCATCGGTTCATGAATTTGGTGACACAGTAATTGTGAGTTCAAGCCCTGGTATAATTTTAAAAGGTCACAGGTGTCAACTTTTCAAAAGTCCATGAGAATGCTTACTCTAGGCAAACAAAGAATTTGTTGTTTGTTTTCTTTCTTCAGCTGCATATCGACCTCTATAGATTATTTAATACCAAAATGTAAATATCTTGTATTTTCTTTAGAGATAATAATGGTTTTAATTAACCCATAGCTGGGGGAGAAGAAGTGGATTCATACCTTTCCAAAGAGTATTTGCACGTAAGTAAATATAATGAACCTAACTGGAATTGAAAATCAATTTTCTGATTAACAATTTCGAGTTATTATCCATTACACCACCTGCACATCCAAGTTTACAGTACCTGGTGTTCCGGAGGGATCACCCATCTAGGTATTGACCAAACTCAATGTTGCTTAACTCAATAATCATACAGGAACTGTAAGCCTATTACAGAATACTCCAGGTATGACAAGTACAGGAAAGTGATTATTTCCTGTCCAAGTGGATCAAATTATTGGTTCCATTTGATGTTCCCAGGTTACAGATTACAACAAACTTTGAAAGAAGGCTAACAAATGTCTTTTGTGACAAATGTAATGAATATGCTCTAGCAACATGTCATCTTGGAAATTAAAACAAAAATAATTTAAAGTGATAACAACCGAATTTATGTCAAAGAAAAAACTTTATTTATGAAGATAATCACATAAAATTCAAGTACAATTTATTTGATATGGTTGGTTTTATCAAGTTGATTTTTCTACCAAGATCTATCTTTTAAGAACTACAATTTTTTTCCCTTTTATCAAAAGGAGGTGAAAAGAACTTTTAATCAAATTAAAAGTTCTTTATGCCTACTCTGACAAAAGGAAAAATTTTGAAAGTTTCTGAACCAATGAAACAGTAGTTAGAATTGCAGACCTTCAATGAAAAGACTTTATTCGACATGAAACTGTATCACCATTAGAAACAGTGTCAGTAAACCAAAGTGAAAATGCTAACAAAAGATCATTCTTTAAATATTCAAATAAGACTGTGTCTAACCAAATACAGGTTGACGCCAATAAACCGTGATAGCTGGTGTTTAAAATTCTAGCCACGGTATAGATGGTCCACAGTCTAGATCAAAAGCGAGCCGTGATGTTACGATTGCCGGCTTAGACAACTAAAACAAAGCTTGTCAAATCCATGGAGTTATCTGCAAAAATGTGTAACACAGTGATTAAGCATGCAAAATGCATATTCAATACTAAGAGTTGAATATTGGCAGTTTCGAAAAACATTTATTTAGGTACCGCTACGAAATCGCTAAAAAAAAAAAAAAAAAAAAAAAAAGATAGCATAGCTTTATGAAAAAGATGCCAACCTTGCCGAAAACAAAATTTTAGCATCTAAATGCTTATGTTATTATTAAGAGGAAAGACCAAAGTTTTTTGTTTTTTTATTTTAAAAAATTTTTCCTTTTTAGAACATTCTAAATTTTGATTAAAAAACGTTGTTTCTCTTTGTATCACCAGAACTAGTAAATAACAGACAATTTTTAGCACATTTTTTTGGTATGACACACATTAATTTGGAAAATCTTGCAAAAATATAAATAATTGTCGGACATTAATGAAACTTTCAGGAACTATTCACAGATGATCGAAATTATTATAAATGTTTTTTTTTTTGGTTTTTTTTCATTAAAGTCATGGCAGAAATATTTTTTTTTATATTTATTACCCCTCCACCTAACTAATTTTATGAAAACTCTAGAAATTCGATCAAGTCCACTTTAGTGATTACAATAGTTAAAAGCACAAGGCTTTGAGGAATGCAAATCATGTATTTTTTTTGTTTTTAATTGGACCTCCCCTACCTGAAAATCAACTCTGAATTGTAACATACAAAACTCAATAAAACAAAGATATTATTTAATTTCAAATGCTTTTATTTGCTTTTAATTGTTTTTATGAATATGGACAATATTTTCTGAATGTAAAAAAATTTTTCAATGAAAATTGAATTTTTAATACAATTATTTGTTATTTCTTAATTATAATAGATTTTTACATTTAATTTTTTAAAATATTATAAAATTGATTAAAAGCCACATCAGGTTTCCTAAGTGTCCTTATGAGATAGATCTTTTTTTTAGCGCGTTGTAAATTGTATCATTTTGACTAATCAGAAGATCCGCAGTAATTAAGAAATGTAATTTTGTGTTTATAATCAGGCTGTAATTATAACAGTATGGAAGACCAACCAGAATACAATTAAGGTGCGTTATTTCAGTTAAGCATTGTTCTCCGCTGTTAAGGCCTTTACTTTTGCAAAACATGTGTGGAGAAGTTAATTTGATTTTTCAATTTCAACTGAGAAGGGTACCTACAAGTATCAGTATCATCTTATGAAATTTATATGATCTTATTTTTATATTAATCTCAGCTATGACATTTTTCCATAAATGAAATATCAAAATTAATAATAAAATGAATGGAAATACAAATAATACAGTAAAATGTAATAAATGCACATAAAATTATAGTATTTTATGTACACCTCTGATAAAATTTCATAAGAAAGGTACCTATAAATTAGATATCTTTCTTATGAAATATGAAATTTAATCTCACTCTTAACAGTCTTATTTTTAATTTCTTTATAATATATTTTCCATAAAGCATCGTAAATGTAAGGGTGAAAGCTAAGTACAAAAAAAAATTAGAGCACTGAAAGTTTTCCTTAAAAATAACAAGGTAAATAATTTGTTCACTTAAATGTAAATTATTTTACTTTTCTCCTTCCGTAGAACAAATTAGCCTTACAGAATCGGTCAATATGTCATTCATCACCTATCAAGTGACGCAAAATGACCTGCTTTGTTTTATTTTCAAATTACATCTTTTCGGTGCAGAAGCTAAGTTAAGCTTGGTTCAAAACATTTTAAATAAAACATTATAATTTCTGATTTTCTTAAAATAAGTTTTGAAAAAATGATAATTGATATTTAAAAGAATTTCAAAGTGAGATTTCCAGTTTTTTTATAAAATGGAAAAAAATGACAATTTTGCTGACTCAAAAAAAAACAAAAAAAAACAGATTTTTAATGAAAATTTCAGACATACTAGGAACAATTAAAAAAATGTAAAAAAATACCCCCCAAATACTTTGATCTTTCCTCTTAATAATAACAAACATTTCGACAATAAAATTTTGTTTTCGTCAAGTTTGGTGTCTTTTTCGTCATGCTATGCTCTTTTTTTTAGCGATCTCGTGGAGGTACCTACATTTACTAAAACTATCTTTTGTTTTCACATAAAAATCTTCACCAATGTGAATAAATCTGAAAGACAACAGCCTAAAATGATCCTGGTTATAAAGCGCCATGTCAATAGACCCATCAGCGATGACAGCAAAAGAAGGCGGAAATCTCGTACACACAAGATTTTAACAAGAGAAAAATAAAATTAATTTTGTTATAGTTTTAAGATTTTGAATAAAAACATTACAATACATTGTATTGTAATCTTACTTATTATAAAACGCAGATTGTGTGTGTCTGTACGTTTATATATTGGATCGGATTTCCTACATTTTTCAACCGATTTCAACAAAACTTCACAGGACTACGTAAAATTACCTTGCAGTGGTTCTGGCAGCGCCAAAAATTGGAAAAACAATTATTTTTGCACGAAATCAATTTTAAAACAAGATTCTGTCGCCAGAATGAAAGGGGGACAACTCATATCGAGTTATACTTATCATAAAACCCAGGTTGTTTGTCTGTGTATGTGCTCGTTTATATATGGGATCGGATTTCCTACATTTTTTAACCGATTTCAATAAAACTTCACTTTTTTTTTGGCAGGTAGTGTTTCTAATTGTCTTGCACACTTTTTTTTCTTTATTTTTACATTCAGAATGCATTAAAAATTACATTTACAAGACAATTGTTTATAATAAAATTCTATTCAATCGATAGACTCAACGATTAAAAACAAATGTTTTTGTTCGAGTTTGACCAATTCGTAAAAAAAACAACAAAAAAACCAAAAAAAAAACAAAAAGAAACTACTTAAGACATGCGTGTCTGTCAACCTTAAACAATAATCTTTGTCAATTTTATTTTTCAGTCTTTATGATGGTCGATACTTGATCTATCTCTTACTGTTACATCCCTGGGCCACGCCGGGCTCTACTGCTAGTGTATTAATAAAAATATAACAATACAATTTAGTAACATCTACATTGACAATATGACAAAAAATTTTGGTGTCCATCATGCATGCACAGCTTAAGCAACATTGTGGTTTATTGGTGCACATCTTAATGGCACTGACATGTAGTTCCTTAAAACAAAATAGCCCAAGATATATTTTTAATATCTTTTGTTGTGAAGTTGGGCTATTTTATTCTAAGGAACTATTTGGTTAGACAGTCTTATTTGATTATTTAAGGAATGGTCTTTTTTTAGCATTTTCTTAAGCAATTTAAAAAATTCATATTTTGCATCAAATAGAAAACTAAATAAACATCTTTTTTATTATTATTATTAGATTGTTGAAATCAATTGCCAGTATTGAAAACTCATTTAAAATAAAAATGAATTTTGTATAGCTATGTATTTATACCGAGTCAGTCACAAAGAAATTTTGCCAATCAAGCAAGAATGAATAGTGCCTTTAAGCAAAATCCTTTCAATCATAGATTCTCAAAATATTCATATCTTCTCAATTTCATATACAAATGTAAACAAAGCAATTTCTAAATTTCGTTAAAAATCTTTTTTTTTTTTGAGTCAGCAAAATTGACCATTTTTTTCCATTTTATAAAAAAACTGGAAATCTCACTTTGAAATTCTTTTAAATATCAATTTCTAAATTTTTTATTTATTAATTTGACAGATTTTTTTTATCACTTAAATGTTATTTTTAGTGGATACTCGTATTCGAGTAGAAGCCCCATTTATTTATTTTCATCTACCAGCCTGAATATTTGAGAAATCTTCTTAAAGAAAAATATACAATGAAGAAATGAATGCTAAAAAGTTCCCATCTCCTCCAAGAAGCAGTTAAAAACAAATTCTGATATCTGATTATTTTGTCTGATTTGGGGAAGCAAAAACTTTTCAACAGCCCATTATACAAGGTTCACCAAGTCCAAAGTTTGCCAAATGGAAACAGCAAAACTATACTTTATTTACACACAACAGTGACTTCATCTTCATAAAGATATTTAACACAAATAAATATACAGCAATTCTTTTGCTTTATCTTAAAATGCTGTAAACCATGTCAACTGAAGAATTCAATGCACTATCACAATGCCATGTTCGCTGACTTGGTCACAGCCTAAGACAACTTGATGACCACCATACCAGAGTCACTAACCATCTGAAAACTGGAGACAACCTCACAGAAGACCAAGAAGGTGCTTGAAGGACATCATCCACCGGGATCTACAGCAGATAAATGTGGCACTGTAGGATGCTTTGACACTCTGCCAAGACAGAGCTGATGGCTCTCATAGGCTCAACACCTTCATGACATGAGATTTAACAGCAGCATGTCAACTGATTTCTCATCTGTATGAGCATGTTCTTAGTAATGGCTTTAAAACTTATAAATAAAGTTTGATTTAAGTGAAAAGTGTAGAGTAAAGGATCATGTAAGCTAATTTATTTACTTACAATTCTATTAGGAAGAGCATTCTATTAAGAGAACTGACCTTAAGATGGCTGCAATAAAGAATATGTTCACTCAGTGCATCTTTCTTTGGTCCTTCAGTCTTGTCATAGAGTTCAGTTATTTCTTGGTGAAATTCCAACAAAATGCCCAGGAAAGAATCATTACACATCAAGTCAGAGACACTCTTTAAGTCACAGCCTTCCATTAGAACTCTGGGAAAAAAAAAAACGGCAATGACAAAAACAAACTACAAGTAAATAATTCTGGTCTTTCAAAACTTTTCCTAATTTCATCAACCTTTCATCTAAAGCCAGAAAATATTTTTAAATTGTAAGAATATTTTTAGTGATAATAATGCTTTAGTGATACAAGTCTTACTAATTAACCCATAGCTGAGGGAGAATAGGAGATTCATACCTTTCCCAAAAGTATTTCCATGTAAGTGAACATAAATCCAACAAGAATTGGAACTCGGCTCTCCAATTGACAATTCCAAGCCATTATCCATTACATCACCTGTGCATCCAAGCTTACAGGACCTGGTATTCCCAAATAGTCACCCATCAATGTACTGACCATGCTCAATGTTGCTTAACTGGTGATCATAGGGGAACTTGTGTTTCAACATGATTCAGTTGTAAGCCTGCTATGATTGATGGTATTATTATAATTTTGTTGTTTTTAGTGTTTTTGGTGCTACTAATATTATTTTGGTATTGCACATTGACATAATAAATGGAAATTCTGTTCTTGAGTCATAGCATCAACAAGATTCCTCACAACTCAAGAATCTATTGAAGAATCCTTACAGAGTAAATGATGGCATTTTTGGGAAGATCTATAATCTTGGTTTCAATTCCAATTCTCCCAAAGCACTTTTCTAGTTTTGTAGGTGGAGTTCCAAGTGAATCCATTACTACAGGAATTAGCTCTACATTCATATTCCATAGATTCTTCAGCTCCATTACCAGATCCTTATTATTATTATTGTTGTTGGCAGTACTAGTGATGGTGGTATTGTTAATAATAATACCTAAGAGTGTATTAAGTTTTATTTTTAGTAAACCTTTACCCTAACACTAAGTTAATATGTACATCTAAAGACTATGATTCTACCATCATCACTATATCAAAGAATTCATTTTCTTTTCTTTTTTTACAGGCTTATTTCAAAACTTTATCTTTAGATGTATACATTGACTACATGTAAATCCTCAATAGTAATTATATGATGTTGTATGAAAACTTAGTTCATGCAAACACATGCAAAGAATATTTCATTATTAATATCATATATCATTATGGCAGATAACAGAATTGAGATTCTGACAATAATTGTCCTTTGAAATAAAGCAGAGAGACCAATCATCAGTTATCAACTACAATAGTTAAAACAAACAGAAGAGATTCAGAGAACCAGGACTTTTAAAAAGTTTCAAAAGAACTACAATTATTGAAAGACACCATAATGCAGAACATTGTGTAAGCTTAAAAAAAGGAAGTTTATTAGAAAATAAAAATATTTTAGATACAACAATATTTTCAAACTAAAATTGCTTTAAAAAGCAATTTTCTGTAGATGCTAATTTCATCTCATTATTATCACTACAAAAATTAAACTTAAAAAAGGATAAATGCACAAGAGTAACAGTATACTCACCTGAAAACAACGATGCACCTAAAAGTCAAGGAACTTACAGGTAAAATGCATGCAGTATTTTCAAGGTGTGAAGGTACAGGTTCTTTTGACAAAGAAAGAAAAAGCCAAGGGGAGGTAATCAACATTTGACCTGCTGATTTCAACAAAGATGGCGGTACAGTCCTCTGAAAAAAAGAACAATGTTTTTTTTTAGTTATCTTTTTTTATGGAGAAATTACAAGGTGGATTAAAATGAACTTTGTGAATTGCTCAATTTGAAGTTTTGTTTCTAATGAAACCTACAAACTCTATAAAAAAAACAATTAAACTCACTAATTTCTGTTAAATGTTTGTATTTTTAGCAAACTTTTACTACTCAAAAAAAAAAAAAAAAAAAGCTTTCCAAAAGATGTTGGCAACATTGAATTTTTTTTTTATAAAAGTAATGCCATACTCCTTTAGGGAACACTTTATTTAATCTATGGGAGTAGATTATTTTCATTTTGTTGTCTATGTCTAGGGATACCTCAATCTTGCACTTATTTAAAAGGTTCAGTTATTGCTCACCCTGTTTCTATTAAGTTTTAAAAAGAAACTATATAAAAGTTGACAAAATTTTGACTTAAAAAAAAAAGCAAAAAAAAAACAGGACACTATGAATGTTGACAAAATATTGACAAAAATTGACACTATACAAAATCTTTAAAAATAAAGTAGTGAAAAACATACATTTAACAGTTTCTATTTTAGAAAAAAGAAATCAAGAATTGACTCACGTAGTTTAATATATACTGGGCAACTTTACTGAGTAGACATACAAAACTGGCACAAGAAATCTGTGAAAATAAAAAAAAAAAAAAAAAAAATCATAGAAAGACATTCTAATGAAGTTCTAAAATGTTGTAAGCACATTTTTTGTACCATATTCTTCTTCTATGTGTCATGTCCCTTCAGGATTTCAGCAATCATGACTCACCACAATTTCCTGTCATTTGTACCCCCTTAATAAATTTTGTCTTTTTGTTATCTCTTCTAAACCTTATTCTGTCATCTATTCACCCAAGCTCGCTAAGTAGGTTATGAGTTGTTTCCTTCTCTGTCTTTCTTGCCTTCAATGTCTTGTGAGTATCAAATTTTCCAAGCCCTCTTGTTGGTTTCAAGACTTGGGAATGGTTGCAAAGCACTTCCCCCTGCCACACTTTTATAAGCACACAAATGCACGATGGGATTTTTTCCTAGCCAATAAAATAAGCTGGTTCTCAGTTTGACCTGACACAGTCCTGGACTGTCTTGAAGTCAGAATGCTACACTTGCTTGACCGAACTTGTTTCTTAGTTTTGTCGTTTTACTGTTAATTTACCTTGCATATATTATTTGCTTGCTTTATATTATTTTTTTGCCCTGTTCTTTTTTCTTGTTAATCCAAACTTTGTCAATTCTGTTTGTAGGACAGTTTGTTATTTATTTTGCATTTGACCATGGCTACTCACTCCACACCTTTCTTCATTAATTGCCCTAGAAATTTCAGCTGTCTCTTTCTGATGTTAAGTATAAACATCATTTTTGTTTCCATTTTCTCTAATGTTTGGTCAGTGATATTCTCAGCATCCTTCTGTAGAACCAAGAAAAAAAGTACATCCGTTTTTAAAACTAAATAACATTCTTAAAATTAGAGATGTTTTGAATGTGTTAGTTTTATTCAAGACACTACTGCTTGACACTATTTTCAATGCGATTGATTTCATTACTAACAACAAAATTTCCAAGAATGCAAAATTACAAGCATGTAAGTATCTATGAAAGACTATTGTTTACCAAAGATTTTTACTGTTTAATGTCTACAGGTTAACAAGACAGAGAATCACCATGAAAGAGTTACAAAGACGCAACACCATCACCCTTAATGAAGACAATGTTTTCAAAGACAATCACCCTGCCATTCTGAAGGAGCACAATCACCCACTCTACCATCCTGAAGGAAGACCATCAGCTTCTCTGTCATCAATTACTGTTGGGAAAATATGGTGACACTTTCCTGGTATTTATCAACCTCTTCATAGCAGCAGGTTTGGTTTATTTTTTTTTATGGCATATCAACCTCAATGGGTTATTTAATGCCAACTAATTTTTCTATTGCTGGTAATATTTTGCTTTGTCAAAAATCTATTTCTGGTAATATTTTTTTTCCTCAAATATGTATAGCTGGAAATGTATTGCTGGTAATATTGTTTTTTCAAAAACACATTGCTACTAACATTTTTTTTCAAAAATATATTAAATTTTCTTGCTTCTGTTTATTAGAACAAATTAAATTTCTTCTTACAATTTTAATATTTACGTATTGCTGGTAATATTCTTACCTCCAAAAATTTATTGCTGGTAATAATTTTACAAAGTATTTCTGGTATTAAAACCTATTTTTACACTTTCATAGTTTTTTTTACCCCTGTTTTGTGGGTTAACTATTTGCCCATAACTGGGGCCCTAACAGGTGCTACCACCCCAGGTCAGGGCGGACCTGGGAACAATTAAGAGGTGGTTTCATGCTCCTCAAAACCTCCTGATCAGAGGCCTTGCTGTTAGACATAGTTTATCGTCTTACCCTGGACGTGGTCGTAGTTATTGTATGTAATTATTATTTATTGTAAACAAACTTCAACAATATTTGAAAGAAGACAGAAGACTAGAAATCAACTTTAGCTAAAAATAAAAACAAGAAACTAAAAGTATCATCACCTCTTTTCCCAAATGTTGAAGTTCATTCTCCTTCAGTATAACATTCCTTTAAAAAGAAAAAAAAAGTAGATAAATATTTTGGGAGAATATGATACATAAATTTCTATATATCAGAACAATGTTAGATAATACAGGGCGTGATAAAAATAGCTCCTACATTTTAAATGTATAATGATAAGGTGAAAAATTCTATGTGACAAGTTTCATCTTCTAAAAAGACTTCATCATATAATATCACAGTGTGCAATACCTACTTGCAAAAGTGATGGAAAGAAAAACACCCCTCTGTCATGTACATGTTTTGTCCTACCAACTTAAATTTAGTCCCATGAAGGACAAAATGCATCACAAGTAAACATTTTCCACTTTGACATAGAATTTCCCCAATTACTTGCTCTCATGCACCAATTGAGTACTATGGAGGAAGGAGATTTTTTAACAGCTGCTGCTCCTGCTTAACACATAGCTCTTCACAATAAATGATCACTCTGGCTGCTGGTCTAGCATTTATACACATCACATATATAATACATTAAAAGCTTCCCCTTTCTCTGCCGTGTATCAATAGTGTAGGGGTAGAGTCTCTATAATGCAAGGATCAAACTCACAATTATTATCTCACTAAATTCACTAATCAACATTTAAATCCCATAGAACAACCCTGAAGCTACAAATTGAAAACTTAACCCTAATGTTCTTGCCTCCTCTGCTACAACCTTGGCTCACTCTGCTGACATTTTTGTATTGCCTTCCTTTTGCCACTGCAGATTTTTTTCTCCATGTCTCAATCTAGTCTGTTACAAGATTCTTAATTCAGACTGAAATTAAAAATTCTTTCCATAGATTATTCTCAAATTGAAAGAGCAGAGTTAGAAGTCCGGTTCATTCACAATTTTGACTTGTCACTAGACCTGTGGCTGATGTGTACAAATACGTGACTATCCGACAAAAAATAAATGCTTGACTATCCGACAAAAAATAAATATATGACTATCTGATATATAGTAAATATTTTGTGTAAATGTTGATTAGCATATATAATGAATTAAAGAATCCTACAGTTAGGAAAAAGAACAATTTCACAACATACTGTTCTATCATTATGGATGCCAGTGATGCAGCACAAAGATTCACAGGAATTTCAGCAATGAGATGCCTATCTTTCCACCTGTTGACAAAAACAAAATTTAAATATACATCATCAATAACAATATCTCATTTAAAATTGTTTTTTTCTGGGTATGTATATAAACAATTGTAAAAACCCGAAAACTACAATATCCTTTTTGATTAAACTTTATATGAAATAATTTTTTTTTCTCTTATTTGAACAATTAAAAAGAATTAGATAAGATTTGCAATATACATGGTTAATCAGTTCTTTGAGGACATGTCTTAATAGCTCTAACCAGTTTCTAATTTGTTATGATTATCATTTCTTTTCAGATAAAATGATGACAAACATCAAGCAAACTCAGCAAATGAAAAGGCACGCTGCAATCATTGTTTTAAAGGCAGAGCATAATGGTTTAGAGATTGCTCGCTTCCTGAAAGTTGTCATTTGTTATCAAAGTTTGCAAAGACACTGGAAACACCAGTTGAGGATTCTACAACAGTAGCCAAATGTAAAATGCCTGCTAAAGGTCCTAATAGCATCAGAGTACACCCATTTGCAGAAAAGGTCTTTTAATAGCTTTAACTTTTTTTCTACTTTGTTCTGATTATCATTTCTTTTCAGATAAAATGATGACAAATATCAAGCAAACTCAGCAAATGAAAAGGCACGCTGTAATCATTGCTGGTAAAGAACTGGGAGGCTCTAACACATTCAAAAGTCGTAGCCTAATGTAAAAGATCTGATTTTTATAGCAAATCAACTTCAATGGGTTAAATAATAATAAAAAAAAATAAATAAAATAATAAAAATTCTTACAATCTATAAAAAAAAAATTAAGTTACTGCATAGAATTATCTGTGCAGAATTAATCATGATCTGGCAGTGTCAGATAGTTAGCAGTGTTTTATACTTACCAATCTTTGTGTTCCCAAAGAATTGAAATGAATCTTAGCATTTTGCTTAAATTATTGGAATCAAGGTCAGAAAAGACTTGATTGTATCCCCATGACTCACCATGAATCTAAAAAGAAAAAAAAATAAACTATTATACAATTTTTAATTATTAAGGTAAAATGGGAGAATAACATAAAATATAATTTTCTGAGAGAAACATAATTCTCAAAAAGAAAACATTCAAAGATCAAAGGGAACATCACCAAATTTCAGAATCAGAAAGAAAACTAAGAGACAAGGTAGTTGAGGAAAGCAAGAAGAAAGGTCTAAATATGTATTCTTTGAAGGCAATGCATGGTTGTCAGCAAAAGGGACTGCCTAAGATGCAAGTTACCCATCAGGGATGTCACAAACAAACAGGTGTAGAAAGTTAAATTCGGTAGCATAGTAAAAAAACAGTGGAAAGTGTGACTAAAAACTTGAAGACATAAAAAATAGTAAAAATATTTTAACACAGTTTTTGAAAAAAAGTTAAAAAAACATTAAGAAGTAGAGAGTACCAGACTTTTACGTAATATCTCCCCCACCTCCTTTATGGCAGTGAATGCTGAGCAATTTTGTCACAAATGAAGAAAACTGATGTTGAGATGTGGTTCTACAAACAAATGTTGAGAGTACCCTAGACAAATGAAATTTTAAAGAAACTAGAAATCACAAAAAAATATTACCAACAATTAGAAAGAGACAGCTGAAATTTTTGAGATACATAATGAAAAAAGAAAGCTTGGAGAATATAACACTCACAGATACATCAAAGGAAAGAGAAACAGAAAAAAAGCAACCAGTAATCTACTTGACAAGTTTCATCAAATGAATGAAAGAACAAGTATCACTAAGATAAAGAGGTATTGCAAAGAAGCGACTATTGCTGAGAGAAACGAAAGGCATGAGATAGCTGTGGAGAGCCATGATTGCTTACATACTGGAGGGACATGACACAAAGAAAGATTTTTTTTTTTTTTTTTTTTTTTTTTTTATTTGATTCATTTTCTACAGCTTATCAACCCTTTGCTGATTATTTAAAACCAGAAAATATTTTTAGAATGTAAGTTTTTCTTTTTGAGGTTGGGATAATGATTTACTGATACAAATCTTACTAATTAACCCATAGCTGAGGGGAGAAGTGGTGGAATCATACCTTTCCCAAGGGTATTTGCATCTAAGTGAATATAACAAACCCAACTGAAATTGGACCCCAGTTCTGATTAAAAATTTCAACACATTATCCATTACACCACCTGCACATCCAAGCTTACAGCACCTGGTATTCCTAAACAGTCACCCATCTAGATACTGACCAAGCTCGATGTTGCTTAATTTCAGTGATCGTACATTTCAACATGATTGTAAACCTACATCGAGATAAAGAACCTACTTGAAGGCTTTGAGCAAATGGATGAAGAAAAAAAAACATCAGAAAAACAGAGTCACAAAGGAGCAACTACTGTTAAAAGCAACAAAAGACAGGAAGTTGTGGAGAACCATGATTGCCAACAGCCTACATTACACAATAAACACTTGAGTGATCATGTCTCTTTCAATTAATGACTGACTAGAATAGATTTTGCCGATTGGTTTAACAATGTTTTTTTTTTTTTTTTTTAAAAAAAAAAAAAAAAAAAAGGAAGTTTTGTGACTGTTTTCTCAATTTAAGCAGGAGATTTTAGAGCAGGGGTTTTCGCCCCTTTTTTTGCATCACTGCCCACTTGATGAGGTATTATGTACACTATTTACATTATTCGGACTATTGTCCTCATCTTTGTCGCCATATTTATCACAACGTTTCGGCCGTTGTACGCTCCGGCCTTCTTCAGGTGGTTGGAATGTCGAACTGAAACCTTTATTTCGCTCTAGTTCTAGTACTGTTCTAGTTCCACGTGCCATGTTTGATGGATGTCAGTTATCAGTTATCTCCTGTTAATTTCCCTCTGAAAGTTCTCCACTGCCTTAACCGGGTATTGAACTCACACTCTTTGGGTCCTGTCACTGGATCTAACCAACGCCTTTATCCACTGTGCCATGTGTCCTTTGGCGACAAAGATGAGGACAATAGTCAGAATAATGTAAATAGTGTCCATAATACCTCATCTCAGGAATATAGACAGACTGATTTTTTTTTTTTATTGTTTTTGGTCTTTCCTTATCTGATTTATATCTGAAAAAAATGTTTTGTCTGAAGAACTATTCGAATGTTAATGACCCTTCTAAAAACTATTGATAATACCAAAATTAGCCTCTTGTAATTTTTTTATACAGTTTTTTGCATAATTCTTTGGAATATTTTTTTCAGGTAGCATATGTTGAAATACCAATTCCTGTATTGCCCACCAAAATTTTCAAGATCCTACCATTGTATGTCCAGTCACTAATTGCCCACTGACAGCCAATATTGCCCAGGTTGGAATCTCTGATTTAGAGCATTTATCTTAAATGAGAAAAAAATATTTAACTTTACCAGAAAAGAAGACCAAAGAAGTGGACAAGAATGTACAAGTCTTTGGAGACAGTTTGATGATAAAATGTCTTTCACAGACACCAAACCCTGTAAATAAAAATAAAATCATTTTTTTAGTGTAACTTATTTATATTGGTAATCAAACTAGAAGTAACATTGTTATTTAATGACTATAACAAACAAAAAAACACAATGGGGGAAAATATTGTTATAAAATCATTATTTACAATCAGGCTCATATCCTCATCTTAGTTGTTATTATCATAACATTCAGCCATTGTACTTTCTGGCTTCTTTCATGTGCCTGCTGATCAGTGTACCCTCTATGGAATTTTGAACTGAACCCTTTATTAAATCTACAGGAGTAAATTGTTCTCAAGACATCAAGGAAGTCAATAAGTTTGTCTACCTGGGAAGTATCGCCAGTAAAGATGGGGGGTCAAGATGAAGACATCAAGTGTCGAATCAACAAAGACCAACATGCTTTCAACACTCTGCGGCTGGAGATCAACAACCCTCTCACTCTACAACAAGATCCAGATCTTCAACATCAAGTTGTCTGTTTTATTTTACAGCTCAGAAACCTGGCGGGTAACCAAGACCAGCACCCACAAACTTCAGACATTTACCAACCAATGTCTCAGGAACATCCTAAATATAAGGTGTCCAGAAGTCATCTCCAATGACCAACTGTGGGACAGGACCAGACAAGCCCCAATCAAGATTGACATCAAGAAATTGAAATGGGGATGGATCGGCCACACACTCAGCTTCTAGTGTCACCAGGTAGGCACTTGACTGGAATCCACAAGGGAAGAGAAAAGTGGGTCGACCAAAACAGACTTGGCAAAGATGTGTTGAGACAGAGGTGAAGGCAGCCGGCACAACATGGTCTGAACTGAAGAGGATCAGCCAGAACCGCATCCATTGAAGACGTGTTGTTGTGGTCCTATGTGCTTCTATTATTATTTTATTAAAAATTATTTTTTAACCTATTATGAAACTAAGACAAAACATGCAAGATTTTGGTTTATCAACACTTATGCATATCCTGGATCAATAACTTAAATTTTCTGACAAAATTTTATTTCCTCCCCATCCAACAGACATTTTATCATCTTTTTAAAACAGCATAGAGAAGATCAAGAGACTTACACGAGTAATCAAAGAAATCAAAACTATTTACCTGAAAAATATGAAGCGTGAAATTATTGGACAAGGAAAAGCCTTCATTCAAATGGTCTTTCTGAAAGAAAAGCAAATACAGAATTATATATATATATATTAGTGAATATACATAATATCCAACATCAATAGCACAACTTAGTGTTTCATGCAAACATGCATTCTTCAAGTGCTAAAAACTCACTAGCTGTTGGAGTGTTATGGAAATCACATTCCTGTGATGATGATTTAAAAGTGTTTGTTAAGACTTGTTTATTTTATTATTGTTGGTAATAATATTAGAATTATTTAAAATTTATATCGTTCTAATTCTTAAGTTTGAAAGACAAAAATGAAAAAAATAAAAAGTATTTTACATAAAAAAAAATATGAATTTATGTAAACACATGTATCAAGGGGAGGTAACTATCTTTTTCACATAAAATACCATCATTATAACATATATAAAGTAATGTCTTATGGAATAAACTTAGCATTCATGATGTTAATATTATAGGTTAAGACTATATATCTAGTGCATTGGTAACTTAGCCTTATATTTACAAAGGTGAAATTATTTTATATATATATATATATATATATATATATACATACACACACAATTTTTAAATTTAAAAAACAGTTAACTCAAGACCTATTATTTAAAATACATAAATTTATCAGATTAAAATTAAAAAAATAACATTTGCATTAAAAAATAAATATATATAAACAAATAAGAAAATAAAAATTAAACATTTACTCACTTATGGCATCACATTACATCACTTAGCGTCCTCCATAGTTTACTTTTATTTACACAGCTTTAAGAATATTTCAGAATGTCTATATTTCTTAAACAAGGTATTGTAACTATTTACATTGTTCAGACTGTTGTACTCATCTTTGTTGTCACATTCACAACATTTCAACCATGGTATGCTGCAGCCTTCTTCAGGTGATTGGAATTTTGAGCCAAACCCTTTATTTCGTCCACTGGGGTAAATTATTCCAGTTCCACATGCCATGCCTCTTCCAGATCTCTCAGTTTCTGTTATTTCCCTTTAGTAACTCAACTCATCAAGTTTTTGTTCACCTTTGCTGTGGCCAGATATTGAACTCACAACTCAAGGACACATGACCCAGTAGATAAAAGTGTTGGCTGTAGTAATCCAATGACTTAACCCAAAGAATTGTAAGTTCAATTGGAAAGAATCTATCTAAACTCAACATAAAATTTGTTATTACTACATCTAAAACAATAAAAGACTTAGTCAACACTAAACAAAGCAATAAGCTGAAACTTGAAAGAGGAATTTACTCGACTGCCAGTAATAATTGTCACAAAAAATACATAGGAGAAACCTCAAGGAATCTAAATAAAAGACTATATGAACAAAAAAGAGAAATTTTACAAAATAATACATTAAATGTGTTGGGTGCCCATTGTAACAAGACTGATTACAATTTTGACAGAATCTAAATGAAATAGTCCAGAAAAAAAAAAAAAATTCCCAGCATCCTTGGTTCATGCACATGTGTAGTCACACAAACATAAAGCATGATGAATTCCTAAATGTATGAAGGTGTCACAAGAAAACATTACATACTTCCCCCTCCACTATTGTTCCTGATATATACATAAAATATATATCATTATCTCATATATATATATATATATATATATATATATATATATATCTTCACTGGGCTATTATTTATGTCAACTTGGGAAAAGTTTTAGTGATGCTTTTCATCGGACTGGGCTTTGTTGATGTGGCAACATCAACAAAGCCCAGTCCAATGGGATCCTAACGGATGAAACACATGCCAGGTAACCAAAAGAAACTTTTATAAAAAGGAAAAAAAAAAAAAAAAAAAAAAAATACTAACAATGATTATAGAAAAAAGAAAACCTATACAAGTAAACAGGAAAATGAAAGAAACTAAGGAAAAAAAAAAGAAGAAAATAAACAAAAGGTAGACACCTACCTAAACAGTAAACAACAGTGCTCTATACCTAGGTTATCAAGACAGAACAAATACACTTCAGCACATCACATTTTAGAAAGAGAAAATGTTTTGGATCACTATTTAAGTTTCAAGCTCCCAGACAACCAGAACACTTCTATATTTACACAATGTAAAAAGTAAAAAGTAAAAACTTATGAGAAAACCATGTTATAACTGAATTCCTGAAACATCTCTGCAGCCTGAAGGTACATTGCAATTGCGAGAGATGCCTCCCAAAAGCTAAACAAAATTTTGAGATATAGGAAAGTTTTCTTAGCAGTGTTGAACTACTGTATAATAACAATCCTTTTATATGGAAGTGAATGCTGGGCAATTTACTCGCAGATGAAGAAACTTGAGGTAACAGAGATGTGGCTCTATGAAAGGATGTGAGTAATGAGGAAGTCTTAAAGGAAATGTGGGGGCAGCAAAAAAGAAAGGACATTTGTGCTTAGAATCAGAAAGAGACAGTTTGAAATTTCTGGAACACAGGAAAAAAGCATTAAGCCAAAAAAAATAAACAAACAAACACGCCATCAGTAAAATGTTATCAAATATAGGAACAAATACACATAATATAAAAGGAAAAAAAAGGTTAAACTCTCATCTGAAGAGACAAAAAAGCAATATCTGAAAATCGTGAAAACCAACATAGTACAAAAAAGAAAGTCTTTTTGATAATAGTTTACGAAAGCCAAAAGTACTCACACTTGACAATACGTACCAGAAACCAAAAAAATGGTCTGAAACAGGAAAGAAAATTTTATAATGTTTCTATATGCCATAAGTCTGTTCTACCATCTATTTACTCAAGCTCTCTAGGTAGGTTATGTGTTTTTACACTCTCTTGCCTATCTGTCTTGTGAGTATCAAATTTTCCAAGCCCTCTTTCCTAATTATACACCCTAGACATTTCAACTGCCTCATTCCAATGCTAAGTACAAGTGTCCTTTTTGTTTCTAATTTCTCAAACTTCTTCGTTGCTCACATGCTCAGTTCATGGTATTCTCAACATCCTTCTGTAGAAACAAAAGCATTATTCGGTGTGTTGCATCACCCGAGGACATGAGCGATCATGACTCAACAACTTCCTGTCCTTTATAACTCTTTGTAGTTTTTTTGTTATCTCTCCGAATCCCTCTTCTGCCAACCATTTACATAAGCTTGTTAGCTAAGTTTTTTTTTTTTTTTTGAGCAAATCATCCCAAGCAAGGCAAGAGTGCCACTAGCACACTAAGGGTTACAGAGAGTAAGAGTAAAGAGACGGACAGGGAGCGTTTGGGAAAAGGGTAAAGAGACGGACAGGGAGCGTTTGGGAAAAGGGTAAAGAGAAGGACAGGGGCGTTTGGGGAAAAGGGTAAAGAGAAGGACAGGGGGAGCGTTTGGGAAAAGGGTAAAAGAGAAGGACAGGGAGCGTTTGGGAAAAGGGTAAAGAGAAGGACAGGGAGCGTTTGGGAAAAGGGTAAAGAGAAGGACAGGGAGCGTTTGGGAAAAGGGTAAAGAGAAGGACAGGGAGCGTTTGGGAAAAGGGTAAAGAGAAGGACAGGGATCAATGTCAAGGCATCAGAAGAAGTTGATTGATATTACAAGTCTCAAGTTTCTTCTTCATCTGTAAGAAGATTGTCCAGCATTCACTGCTATATTGGAGGACTGGTATTGCATAACAGTTCAGTACTATCTTTTTTGTTTCTAACAAAATTTTCCTGTTTCATAATACTTTGCTTAGCTTTTGGAAGGCCTCTTTTGCTCTCCCAAATGCACCTTCAGATTTCAATGTTGCATTTTCCATCCTCTGTTAACATACTTCCCAGATATTTAAAATTTTGGTACTTGTTTGATTTTGGTACCATTTTCTTTGTTTCAAACAAAATTTTCCTGTTTCTTGATATTTTGCTTAGCTTTTGGAAGGACAACTTTCACTATCCCAATGCACCTTCAGATTTCAGTGTTGTACTTTCTGTACTTTATTAAAACACTTCCCAGATATTTAAATTGTTGCACTTGTTTGATTTTTCTATCTCCAATTTGTAATTTACATGTTGGCCTGTGTCCTTTTGCTAACAACCATTGCATTCAATCTTCTTGCAATTGATGTTTAGTCTGTCCTCCTCACTTTGCTTTGCTAGCTTCTATAAGAATTCTTGTAGTTTCCTTTCTATGTCTGCTATCAACACTGTGTCATCTGCATTTTTATGTTGTTAAGATTGTGGCCACCAATAATGAATCCTGGTGGAACTTCTAATTCTCTCAGAATTGCCTTACTGTGTATGTTGAACAAGTCCAGTGAGAAGACGCATCCTTGTCTTACACCCCTATTTTTTTTTATACTTACTGAACTCATTTTCTATCCATATACAGGCAGTTTGCTGCAAGTATAGGTTCTGGGTTATTCTAATATCCTTCCCAAATATGTCAGGGTTACCTTGCAGCTGATATTTTGCAGTATTAATTTAAATAGGGCCTCAAATCTACTAAAGCTACTCAATAAATTTGGAAATTGGAAGCAAATCACACAATGTCTGACTGCACCACCTGAAATCAGTTTAAACATTTTAAGATTTCTGACTTGTCTTGAAATTTCAGTGATGTGAAACTCACTCAACAAAGTGGCCGCAAGTAGTGTACGCTGGTTTGCCATCGTTGTGCAAACTGAGCATGCATTTTATGATACTTATACATACAGAAATCACAACAGATGCAAATTTTCCAAACCAAACAATGAATGAAATCCCAATTAAATAAAGTCTTGGTTTCCTTGATTTCTTACTTTGTGGCAATACAAGTTATTTCTAGCAAAAGTGATTTATGGCAAAGACTATTACTACTGGCAAAGAATTTCATTATTACAAAAATAAAGCCCTGAAGTGAACAACCATCGATACTTAAAGCACAAATATCGAGGTGAAGCCTACCACCATTACCTAAAAATCTTTTAGAAGAGCTAGAGTAATCAAAAAACACCATAAGTAGAGCATTATAAGTTTCATATAAGAAAGAATTACATAAAAATGAAAATACTTTTGAGATCCTGAAATATTGATGCTACTGATTGTTTACTAATCACAATTGATTATTTGTCTGTTTAACGGCATATCAACTCCTTATGGATCATTTAATGCTGAAATTTAATTTTCTTGGAAGCTTGAAAGTAATAAAAATGTTATTTTGTTTTCACAATTGAATACATGGTAGTTGATACTCAGCTTTTGTGCATAGATATGTTTGTGTGGACATGATTACGAGAGGCAGTGATATGTGTTTTATGTTGTGGTTTTGCTGAAGTTATTTTGGAATACAATTGGATTTAATAGATTGTAGGATATTTTACTAGGATACTAATGTCATGAAAGTTCTTTCATGTTGATTGCTTGGTAGTATTTTAAATGGAATTGGGTGAAGTCACTACAATTTGTTAGTATGTGTGCATTGTTGGTAATTTTACTATATAAGTAAAATAGTGTAGTGTCTGTAATTTTTTTTTTTTATATAAAAATGTATTGCTGGTATTTTTTACTATGAAAATGTATTTTATACTTTCATAGTGTTTTGTTTTTGGTGATGGGGTTCAATATTAGCCCATAACTGGGACCCTAACAGGTGTTACCACCCTGAATCAGGGTAGACCTGGGAACAACTGTTGGATATCACTTGAAGTAGACCTTTGACCTCACTTCTGCTGCTTCAGAGAGTGAGCTTAAATTGGAATGGGTAATAGCATAAACAGGAAATGGCTAAAATAAACAGGGTGCATAGGTGTCCTGAGTCTTGAATAAACAGGGTGTAAAGGTGTCCTGAGCAGAAGGAAATGCTACTTGCAGGGGGGGGCATGGACGGAAGAGGCGTGGCCACAAGAAGTTGGATAGGCAGCATACCAGAAGAAGGTGTAGCCACATGAAATTGCGGGGATGTCCAAATAAAATTGGTCCAACTCTTGGTCTGGCAGAGAGGCTGGCTAGAATTTGACTGAAGATTTTGTCTCCGTCAATTCCTGTCTGCACAATCCTAACCTCTGTGATTCTCCTTCACTCTACCCAATTGCCACAACTCGAACAATAAAGCTATATATATATATATATATATATATATATAAGGCGACAAACACTTATATCTAAATATATATATATATATATTTTTACATATAAGTGTTTGTCGCCTTATTTGAGTCCAGCAGCAATATACAACACAACAGCAATTAAGAGGCGGTTCCACGCTCCTCAAAACCACCAATCTTCCAATCAGAGGTCTTTGCTGCCAGATGTACTTTATCGTCATACCCAGGACTAACTATTCACAATTAGAAGGATATTAATTAACTAAAGTATAAAAACTGTGAAAGCGTTAAATAATGCATAAGCTAAATCAAAGGTCAATTAAGTGCCTTCAAAGTGGAAAAGAACTCATTGCTTCTGATTACCATAAAAGACCATATAATGTCTAACAATGAATTAGACATTATATACAGATGCATGCATGAAAGTAGTGGGTAACTGGACAATAACTGAATAAAATAAATATCTCACATTGTATCAACATTAGTTTTGTGAGGAAAGGAAATATGTTATATAATTCTGGATATAAATTTACCTTAAAAGACTCAGAAATTAGTGCACCTTCAGTACATTTTTGCCTTAATAAATTGCTTTCATTCTTAATTAAAACTGCATTCTTTAGGTTGAAATGATGATCAGACATAATGTTGAATGACAATTGTTTAACAAAAGATACTTTTTTAGTACATGTAATTTTTTTAAATTCAGTAAATGTTTCGTCTACATATTTTTACAAATTCTAATCTAAAATTAAATTGTTTTATCTCAATCGTGTTACACTACTCAACAGAAGAAAGGCTAACATTAGTGGATTAATAATAACAAAATTAAATTTAATGATAACTTACCAAGATTGTATTAATTATTGTGATGAGTGCATTAACTGCTGACTCACTCGGAGAAACTGATGAGCAATCAGTAAATAAAAGATGTGCTGGAAGGCCGAGCATAAGTCTATGTAAAATGAATAGAAACAAAGTTTATTTTATTTATTATCATTATGAGATTAATCACATAATATTAAATTGAATCATAAATCATTTCCATTTCTGTTTATCAACTTTATTTTTCAAAAAATAAAGTACAACTACATTTTAGTCAATTATATATGCTTACAGCCACATCACATTGAAACATTGGTTCCCATACAACCAAAGTTAAGCAACATCGAGCCTGGTCAGTACCTAGATTGGTGACTGCTTCAGAATACTGTAAGCTTGGATGAGTGGTTAGTGCAATAGATAATAGCTTGGAATTGTTAATCAGAGAGCAAGTTCCAATTCCAGTCGTGTTTGTTATATTTAGTTATGCGCAAAGAGTCATCAGAAATATATGAATTCCCCCGCCGACTTTTGTCCCCCAACTATGGGTTAATTAATAAGACTTGTATTACAAAATCATTATTATCTCAAAAAAAAAAAAAAAAAAAAATTTTCCAGCTTTAAATAATCTGTAAGGGTTACTAAACCATAAAAAATGAATCAATCAAATCAACTATGTATTCAACATTATTTGCAATAACTTTCTGCCACTGAAAAGACAACTCTTAAATGCCTTTTGAGTAAAATTCAACAGGTCTTGATATGAAAAGGTTTTCAATGAACTCTTAAATCTGGTTTTCATTGGCGAAAGTTTTCTCCATGAAAGTGATTTGCAGTGATTGAAAAAGGTAACAAAAGGTTGGCACAAGGTCAGGTGAATATGATGGGTTGGGTAGAACAGACCAACCCAGTTCCAAAACATTTTTCCTATGTTATTCTTGCTGTAGGCAATCTTGCATACAGCAAGAATAGGAGGAGGACAACATTAATTGTTCTATTGTATTTTCCAAGCACTCTTCAGCCAAACTTATGGACATGTTGCAGCTGCTGAAAGTAAGTACCTCTAATGTTTCATAGAACACTTCCATGGATCTCAACTTTAGGTGTCAGATTTGGTGATTTATTCTTGTCAGTCTACTGCCTTTTGTGTTGAACATTGTTGTATGCAACCTGTTTTTCATCACTTATGATATATTTAAGGAACAGTTAAGCTAAAAATGACTTTGAGCAAGTGAAGCATGTGAGTCTTGGCAAAGACCATCCTTCTTTGAACATTGTGGACTGGTGCTACTAAATCACAAACAAGAAACTGTACCAAATAACACAAGCTACATCACTTGAGGACTATCAACAGCAGCAACAACAAAAAAGGATAACCAAGTTATGCCCCTTGATCAAAACTCTCAAGGACAACAGAAAAAAAATTTATTTTTTATATCTATATTTAATTTATAAGCAAACGTGAAATAAGAGATTAATGAAAGCATTTTTTTTTTTTACTTGATTTATGTTTACCTGTCAAATTAAAAAAGGGATTTCAAGATGGAAGTCATGCATCCTCACATGCCCCATATCAAACTATCAATCTATTAGTCATGTTTTAGATCTATTGTTATCTAATAGTAAATAAAATGTATAAAAGTTCAAGTTGTGTGTTCATTCTTATTTAACACAAATAAGTACACCCATCAATACAACAGAAGGTTACGTTCCTTTTATTCCTGGTGAGAAGTAATGAATTTCAGAGATGGAGAAAACAAAATGTAAAATTAAACAACAGGATTCTACTTACTCTGATCCAATTAGAGCATTAACCATCACCCTTTGCTTATCCGGACAGGAATCTATGTTTGTAATGGCTTCCAACTCTTTCAGAAGCCATGGTACTTGATTAGAATACTCTTGATTCTGAACCATCAACTGCTTCAATGATTTCTGGAAAACAAAAAAAAAGTTAATAAATAATATAAGAACTAAATTTAATTCTGAAGTTTGAAATATAAATAAAAAATACATAAAAATTCATCACTAAGTCCATAACCTAAAATTCATCACTAAGTCTGCAACCTAATATGAAAACAGTAATTATTTGCACATTTTTCAACATAATTTCCTTGTCAATGCACTTGATACACAAGTGAATAGTAATAACACAGATTGAAATTCAACTTCTGATGTCTGGAGACAAACTTATCCATCCACTCACACAATAAATAAATATAAAAGTGGACATTGAAGTTAACAGCCAAAGGCAACAGTCTGTTTCATGCTAAACGCAATTGTATGTCCACAATTGCATTTAGCATGAAACAGACTGTCATCTCTGGGTGCTGACTTCAATGTCCACTTTTATATCTATTCCTGATATTGAGCACTTTAACACATAAATATAGTATACCTTAAAAATATATATATATATATATATATATATAGTAAAACACCACACAATAAATGCATACAAACATAATAAACATTCCATATTATATATACATATATATGAAGAAAAATATATATGGAAAAAACAAACAAAAATCCTTATATACAATTATGCTGTTTTAATGTTAATATGTCAACGTCGGACGTTTCAGTCTAATAAACCATCTTCAGGACATATTCATAAATTATAACATTATCAATACAACATGACAAAGACAATGTATATAAGAACAAGACTTATCCAAACAGATAACAAAGTTTTATAAGATCAGCGCTCCGTTTAAATACATATATATATATAATACCACAATAATACAAATGTATACAAACTCACAAATAAATTTCATAATAATAATAATGTAGAGAATAATTAATGACTAAATTCAAAAGACACTCAAGTGATTAATAATAAATAAAAGGGATTTAAATGTTAGTAAATAACTATACAATAGCTATTAAATGCAATGGTGTGCCAAGATATTGGTCTGTGGGATGGGGGTATCAAGAGCTCAACTTGGCACCCCACCACCACCACCACAACCAGTAGCCAACAAGCTGGGATGGATCAAATACTATTTTTTTTTTAGAAATTCAAATAATTCTTGCGATTATTGACGCAATATAACGGGAAATACAAATATAAATACAATTTTCTTCCAGATTAAAAAGATACAAAAACAAATACAGATATTTCTGAAACAAGGCAAAAATTTAAATATAAATGCTTTTTCACATAAATACAAATGCTCTGAAAAACTATTTAAATATAATTCAAATACATTTTTATTTGATCCACCATCACCAACAAGCACAGCGCATTGACAAAATCTAAATTAAAAGATGTCCAGATGAGAACAATTCCTTTCATCTATTTGAATTTGTAAAGCCGTGACATACAACCAAGGTTGGTGGTCAAAAATTTGTCAATAACACCATCCACATTTATAAGTCCAAATTCTTCATTTTTGACGCTTAATAAAACCAAATTGCTTAGGTGTTCCTGACCCATTGTGCTTTCAGAGATAGTTTTGTTATTAATTTTAGTTTGCTGAAAGAGCGCTCACAGGATGCCACAAAGACAGCAATAGGCAACAGTCTGTGCAATGCTATTTGGAAATTGAAGAACACATCATCGCCATAAGATATTGTGAAGTTGAAAAGCTCAATTGTGGTTTTTGGTTTAATGGACACACTGTCTTTTCTTTTTGTATTAACATTCAAAAGTCTGTAATTTTGCACCAGAGTTATATTCCATCAAAATCACAATTGTATGCTGCAGCAGTTACTTTGCATCTTTCTACCATGTCATCATTCAAGTTGATGAGGCTTTCAATATCAAAGAGAAACCAAAATTGCTCATGTAACTGACTCAACTTTGAAAATCGATCTTTCAGTCCTGTATTCAACCTGTCCAATACTGCCTTTCTTCACTCACATTTAGAGAGCTCATCTTTTATCTCCTCTCCAGCCATCTTCTTTTTATGATGCACCTTCCTCTGTTGAACAACGTCAATATTCCATTCTAAGCATTTTTCCTTGTCTTTTGAAATTGAATTCTTACGCTCACTCAAAACAGATTGTTGCAGACTTTGAATGTCTGCTCGAACTTCATTGAAGTTCATTTCAGGGAACTGAAGTCTCTTTTATACTCAGTCAATGAAAGTCGGGACATCATCTCAGAACGGCAACATAGTTAGAAAGCAGAAAGTTTGGATGTTGTGCAAGAAGTAGCTGGCATCGCATCTTCTATCGACTGATACGGAAGTGTCACTTGCCATATCCTACAACAATCTAGCTATGTTATCCAACTTCATTTTTACAATGTGAACAGCATTATGCCTAGCATTCCATCTTGTATCGAGAGCTGCTTTACAGCCATTCCTGCCATCTCCTTTAATTTCTCCCACCACATTGTTAAGCTAGAGAAAAAAATTGTACAATGAATCAAGAACTCAAAAAAATGATATAGCAAACACCTGCCCTGATGCTACATGCACTCCTATGAGGTTCAAAGTATGGTTGTCACAATTCACAAAGATTGATTTCGGGTTTCTCTGTGATATGCATTTCTGGACACCAGACATCTTCCCAGCCATTGTTGCAGCATTGTCATACGTCTGTCCAGGACAGTCATTCAAATCAAGACCATCTCATTCCAATTTTGACGTAATGTCAAATATAATCCCATAATATCTGCTTCTTTTGACTCTCCAGAATTGACTTATATACTTTGTTGCCCAGAAGCTCAATGAACTCATTCTGTATCTTGCCAGACAGAAATGTTGCAGAATATGGATACGACTTGACATAATCCAAGTGACGCTGCAACTGGGCTGTACTTGCTAAGTAGCTTAATGAGTGCAAGAAAATTACCAACCAAGATTATTACTTGATGCAATGACTTTTTGATGTACACGAAATTCCAGATCCACAAAACACATGAGAAGATCCTTCCACAATTGCTTCTCTTCCTCCATATGCTTCAGCATTACTCTGTCAATCGTAGACCATTCTGATATGCGTCTCTCAAAGTTTTTTCATACAAGAAATGACACGGTGATGAGTGTCCTGTTCATATTCTGGTATTCTTTCGTTGCATTTTTCCATTTTCAAAATCCACAAGATTTTTCGAATACGATGCTTTAGTTGACTGGGCCTGTTGAAAACAATAAATAGCAAAAACAAATACACTGCATCCTTTTTAAAAGAGTACAAGACTCATACTGTAGTTTCCTTTCAAATCAGTAATTTGTGAAACTTCATTTGACAACCACATGTTTTATGCTCGTTTCACTTCTCATCCTTTCTTCATACGTCAGCTCTCAATAATTTCCCAATCTTTTATAACTTTGAAAGGGCTGTCAATGTTTTGAAAGGCTTTAGCACCCATCTCCATTTGTACTCGTAGATCATAAATGTTTGATTTATCACAATTTACATACAAAATTTAAGCAACTTACATCTTTCTTGATTAATACTGTATATTTAGTTACATCATATTGTGCATGTTTATCAGATTGGCAACAAAACGAAGATGAAAGGTTGATTGAAACCATCCAATAACAATCAAATGGATGTTCCATAAGTACTGTGGAATTAAGGATGAAGGCAAAAGAACTTATGAAAACCATGTATCCTGGAAACATATTTAAAGCTTCAGCAAACTGCTGCTTTCTTTTTATGAAGACGTTTGATATATCTATTTGAGAAGAACATCCATAGCCCAGCCTGTTAACTACGAAGATAAGCTTTTGAATTTTCAGCTTTTTGTTATTCAGCTAAGAAAAAAATCACAACTATCCTTTAGGCTGTATTGGAAATGCTGACCAAACACCCTTGACTTTTGATGTGCCTTGTGTTCAAACTCTGGAATTCAAAGGGGGTGAAGTCTGTTCCAGTAAAAACAACTGGAAATGAGAAGAATAGGTCCACAGTCATGCTTGGTGCATAGGGCGATGGTAAAAAAGATGCCCCTTACATAATTTTAAACAGAAAACTGCCAAAAAAACGTTGAGTGCCCAGCCGGTATGACAGTAAAATGTCATGAAAAAGTGGATGGATGGATGAGAATCTCACAAAGGAGTGGCTGCTGAATATTTGATGTAAACACAAAACAGAATTTGCAAGAAATAGGCATATGCTGTTTCTTGATGTATTTAATTGCCATAGGATGCTTTGCATGAAGAATATACTTCTGGAGAAGAGGACTGATCTTGTTATTATACTAGGAGGAATAACTGGCCAACTTCAAGTAACAGATATCAGCAACTGTCCATTTAAACAAGTGATGCGTAAAACATGGAATGAATGGATGTTTTCTGGTGTTCCCAGTTTTACTGCTGGTGGCAACAGGAAAAAACTAGAGTTGGAACTTATTGTAAAATGGATTCAGGAATCTTTGAATTTCGTCAGTGAAGATGTTAACTTGAAATCCTCTTTTCTTCAAAATTGGCCTTTTTATAGATTTTTTTATTTTTTCGACAAATAAAAAATACAGTTACTCAAACATAAATTTATTGACAAAAAAATGTTACAATTATTGTTGTATTTAAAATAAAAATTGGGATAATATCTTATTTTAGAACAAGTACATATTTATTATTATAAATCAATAACAAAAAAAATATTTTTGTTTAATCCTATTTATAATACACACCCCTACTATCACCTGTAATTTACAGCAAAAAAATGTGTATTATTTTCGAGAAATTACAGTAATAAGCAATACGTAGCAGTTTACAACCTAGTCTATGGGTGAGAGAATGTCAATATTTTCATATACACACACAGATGGGTATAGGATATATATATATATATATATATATATATATATATATAAGCAAACATGAAATAAGAGATTAACAAAAGTATTATTATTTTTTTTTTTTTTTTTATACTTGATTTAAGTTTACCTGTCAAATTAGGGAAAAATTAATGTAAATTTACCTGTAGCATCAAAAATATTTCATGTTTATTTCTGAATTTATTCTTCTGTCCTGCAAAGTCTTGGTGGCACTTGGAACAATTTTGGAATTTCTGCTCATTGGAACTCCTGCTTATTTGAAAAGTGAAGGGCAAAAAAAAAAAAAAAAAAGGCTGTACCATTTTTAAATACAATCAATTTTATATTTTTTTTTTTTTTTTAATTAGCAGACATCTATCATTGTTGCCTTATTTCTATTTTACTTCCAAAGAATGAAAGCAAAACACAGGCAATAAACAAAAGGAATCTGCAGACAGTCATGATCACTTACATCTGAAAGGAACATGTCATTTAAAAAAAAGTGAGGGGGGGAATATGTCATTGAAAAATAGTGGGGTAATATGTCATTAAAATAGGTAGATACATAATCTAAAAAAATTTAAAAAACTAAATTTCAAAAACAAAAATATATTAAAAAAGATATTTTTTTTAAAAAAAAAGATAGCTCTGTCTATATTTCTGAGATGAGATATTATGTACACTATTTACATTATTCGGCTGAAATGTTGTAATAAATATGGCAACAAAGATGAGAACAATAGTCCAAATAATGTAAATTAGTGTAAAAAGATAGCTATATTAAAAAAAAAAAAAGATATACATGCATACCTCAATTAATGCATTTTTAATTAGCGCACTATATTCTTTTAATGCCAAAATTCAATTAGTGCATACATAATACTCAATTAGTGCAGTAAAACATTCTTCAGATTAACCATAATTGAAAATTGATCTTTTTATAGTTACTGATATACACATTAGCTGCACTAATCAAGAGATTCCTGCATATATTTAACAAAAAAGATATATATATCTTTATATATTAAAAAATGTCAATTTCTTAAAAATACAACTGGTTATCTTAAACTAAACTTGGCAGTGGCTTCTTATTACCTATACTAGTTATTTAACGATTAAATAAGGTAAAATTGCCTATGCATTGCGATAAAAATAAGATAAAGATAAGCTTGTCTTTGATGTGTCTTCAGAATCTATGAACTTCCTTTATGATTTGACAACAATATACTGAACTTTTAGTTTAATATAATGCACTTCAAAATGAAAACATGTACAGTGATAGAAATGTTGATAGCCAACAGTTTATTCTAAACTGGCTGCAACAGAAGACAAAAAAAAAAATATAGAGTCAAATCTATATTTCTGAGATGAGGTATTATGCACACTATTTACATTATTCTGACTATTGACCATATTTATCACAATGTTTCGGCCATTGTACGCTCTGGCCTTCTTCAGGTGGTTGGAATGTCGAACTGAACTCTTTATTTCGCTCACTGGGGTAGACTGTTCTAGTTCCACATGCCATGTCTAATCGATATCAGTTATCAGTTATATCCTGTTAATTCACCTCTACAAGTTCTCCACTGCCTGAAGGACACATGGCACAGTGGATAAAGGCATTGGTTAGATCCAGTGACAGTGTGAGTTCAATATCTGGTTAGGGCAATGGAGAACTTGGAGAGGTGAATTAACAGGAGATAACTGACATCCATTAGACATGGCATGCAGAACTAGAACAGTCTACCCCAGCAAGTGAAATAAAGGGTTCAGTTTGACATTCCAGCCACCTGAAGAAGGCCACAGCGTACAACAGCTGAAACGTTGTGATAAATATGGCAACAAAGATGAGGACAATAGCCCGAATAATGTAAATAGTGAATATAGAGTCACTTACTCAAAAATGGCATCTAAAAGACTTCTGAATATGGTTGAACAAATCTCTCTCACATTTTGGCCATCTTCTTCCAAATTTTGGTACTGCAACAACATCCAATTTTGGTAGAGGCGTCTGGTTGAATGACAATCAGAAAATTTGGTAGAAAGAATAAAATAACTGTAAAACTGTCATCATGAAGCATGTCAAGAACAGTGATCAAAATATAACATCATTGCAATAAAAAAATAAGTAATTGAGAAATGAAAAAATATGATTGCCAAAGGGCAATGTATGTGAATGCATTTAGGTCTTTGAGAATTTCTGTTAAATAATACTAATTATGCTTCATCCTTCACCAAAAACATGTTCTCTGTCTTGAGTAAGGCACATTCAGAATTCCATCTAAAAGTCCTTGAGATGATTTTATATATGTAAATAAACAAGTATCAACTACTTTTCCAGACTACTAATCCCATTTATTTTATTTTCCAATTTTTTTCCCAACTTACCTGTCCATTTATTCAAACCTCCACTGACTTCTTTTTTATTCTAAAAATAAATTAATTTTGACTGTATTTTTCAACCTACCTTTCTATTCCAAAGTTAATATTCTTTTTATTATGTTTTTTATGAAGGCAGAAAACTAACAGCTTTAGTTTTAATTCAAGTTTTCAGAACATTATCTCTGTCCCATAATAGTTGTTACATTTTGTGTATGAAATATGTATGCAAATGTAACAACTACTATGGGACAGATGTAGTACTTAGAAATTTTAGTATATAATGAACTAAAACTATCTCAGTCAGGCGATCATGTATCTTTCGATACATGACTGATGACTGATGAGAAGAAGAGGATTCATACCTTTCCCAAGGGTATTAGCATGTAAGTGAATGTAATGGATTCGAGTATAATTTGAACTCGACCCTCTGATTCCTCTGTTCGGGCCACTATCCATTACTCCACCGTTTTGATATTAGATTTCACAAATAACAAACGTGATTCTGACAGATTTATATTCAGAGATTTTCCTTCTCCTAAACTGCCTGGCACCCAAGGTTATAGAACCCAGCCTATTTACCCATAGCTGGGGGCAGAAGAAGAGGATTCATACCTTTCCCAAAGGTATTAGCACGTAAGTGAATGTAATGGATTCAAGTGGAATTTGAACTTGGTTCACCGATTCCTCAATCCAAGCCGCTATACATTACTCCTATCAGATTAATTATTAAAAACCTGAAATTGACACAACCCTACATTAAACAAGGGAGTGCTAAAACATTCTAACCTACTTCCCAAAATTTGACCAAATAAACAAACACTTTGAATAGAATCTTTTCTTAGTCAGGCTGAGAACTTTTCAGCATCCCTTCATATTTAGAGATACACCATGTAGTTAGGTTTACAACTATTGGAAGAGTACTGAAGTGTTAACTAAATTAACTAATGCATCTTTTGAACAGGAGTATAGGTTTATCCCTCGTTTCCCCATTTAGGATTGGGTTTCCAATTCCTTCTCAAGTCTACTTCAACTCTGTACTTCTAACATCTCCGCCTGAACTCTGAAATTTTATTTACTAATTATATATTTTTCTCCTTAATAAGAGTAGATGGGTTCACCTATTGTTCAGTTCACCCTTTCCTTCAATCTTTTGAATAGAGGTTTATCTTTTGTTTCTTGTTTCAGATTGGGTTTCTGGTTCCTTCTAAAGTTTTCTCCTTTTTCACTTCCAATAGCCCCTTGCATCTTAGTGTCATTGTCACCTTGCTTGAGGGAATTGATTTTAAAAAAAAAAAAAATTATGAAATCCGGTTTGATAACAGATAAAACCACTCCCTCATTTCAGCAGAAAATAGTTTTAAAAAATATAAATTTTTGGATGGTACATCAAATATTATAAGAACTCTATCCATGTTTTCTATTTGCTCTAATTCAAAACAAGATTCTTTTTTGTGCATTTATTACAATTTTAAGAAATTCTCTTTTTTTATGGGCAAAAAATTAAATGAGTTATATATACCATTAAAAACGGTAATTTAAAAAGAAGAATATTTTCTATGAAATTGGTAAATTGGATTAAAATACAATTTTTTTTATTTAAATTACTTACCGCTCTCTAAGACAAATAGAATCCCATTCAGGGTCCACAGATAATTCAAGTGATAACCAGTCTTTCAATGTTAGCTGTTTAAAAAAAAAAAATTATATATATATATATATATATATATATATATATATATATATATATATATCATCCCATTTTATCATCAGGTAAGTATTAATTTGACTTCAGTCTGAATTTCTGGGATAAGGCATTTACATTATTTACATTTGAATAAATGAACCCTTTATTTAAACTACAAGTATAGATTATTCATTCATTCATTATCCATGCCTAGGAATATCTTGTCTTTATGTTGTATAGTAATTGTGAGTTCAATCTTTGGGCTGGGTAGTTCAGACTCACTTGGTGGAAACAGGACTAACAATAGTTAAGTAGTACTAAGAAGATATCACAAGACATGGAGAAAATCTACCTGTCTAAATTAAGTAAAGGGTTCAGTTCAAAATTCCCTGTCGGAAAAAAAGGTCAAAGGCCTTGTGATAATAACAAAAATAAACAGATTAGTCCAAGTGTAAATAATGTAAATTTGTTTGTTTTTTTCAAAATTTAAACTGAGAAACAAAGAGGCAGATTTAGTAATGGCTATGAAAACCAAAATTAGCTAACAAAAATTTGCATTAATTTAAAAAAAAAAAAAAAATTAAACTGCAGGGATTTATTTTTTTTTAAGCATTTCACCCCAACCAAGGCAGGAGTGCCACTAGCATGTAGCATGCAAAGGGTTACAGAGAGTGAGAGTAAGAGTAGAGAGAGGTGTTTGGGGAAAGGATGGGGATCAAGGCATCAGAAGATATTGATTGACATTACATTTAAAGTTTTGAAGATTATAATTATCAGGGAAGCAAGTAAGAGGAAAGGAGTTCCACTGTCAGGAAATGTGAGAGAAGAAGCTGTTGGAGTAGAAGAGGCAGTTACATTTAATTGTTTTGACAGTAAAAGGGGTGGGACCTAGATGCCAACCTAGTAGCACGCTTAAATTCATGCAGTTGGGGCATCAGTGAAAACAGCTCATCAGAGCAGTTGCCATGAAAATATTTGTAGAAAAGACAGAGGGAAGTCACATCATGTCTTTGAAAAAGTGACTGAAATCAAGATGCCAAGTCAGAACCTCATTTAACTTTTTTTTTCTTTTTTAGAATATTCCATGGATAAAATTTGGGATAGTGGGGAGGGCTATGAAGTATTAAGAAAACCTTTTTTCCAATTTCTTCCTTCAAATTTTTTTTTTTTTGGGGGGGTTCTAATGCATTGGAGCATCTTATAAGCATTGAAACATATTATCCGATTTTGTATGGAAACATTTGGTATTCATTGATCAAGCAGCCAGTGCGATTTTCTGTTGAAATTTATAAAATCTTTCTCTTAAAATAATTTTTCAGAAAAAAAAAAAAAAAAAAAAAAAAAAAGCTTTTGAAGTCCATTAATCATATATATTGCTATTATTAGGTTAAGTCAAAAGGATTCAGAAAAAAAAATCTAGTCATTAAACAGATTCAAACTTTGCTCAGGTTCATGATTTTAAGCATCAATTTCTTGAAAAAAATAAATAAATAAATAAATAAAATGATATTTTCTACTCAAATTTTCTTTTTTTTTTATCTCAGCCAACCAAAACACCTGGTTAACAAATATCTTCTTTTAGAAGTTTGTATGAAGATTAATGACACTGAAATCTGACTGTTTTTTTGGGTTAGTGAAAGATGCTTTCCAAAGCAAATTATAAAGAAACAGGAAAATTCTATTAGAAACAAAGAAAAAAAGTACTGAACTGTTACATAATATCAATCCTTCTATATGGCAGTGAATGTCTGTCTATATTCCTGGGATGAGGTATTATGTACATTATTTACATTATTTGGACTATTGTCCTCATCTTTGTCGCCATATTTATCACGTTTCGGCCATTGTATGCTCCAGCCTTCTTCAGGTAGTTGGAATGTCGAACCGAACCCTTTATTTCGCTCACTGGGGTAGACTGTTCTAGTCCCACATGCCTCAAGGACACATGGCACAGTGGATAAAGGCATTGGTTAGATCCAGTGACATAACCCAAAGAGTGTGAGTTCAATACCCGGCTAAGACAGGGGAGAACTTTCAGAGGGAAAATTAACAGGAGATAACTGATAACTGACATCCATTAAACATGACACGTGGAACTAGAACAGTCTACCTCAGTGAGCGAAATAAAGGGTTCAGTTCAACATTCTAACCACCTGAAGAAGGCCAGAGCGTACAACGGCCAAAACGTTGTGATAAATATGGCGACAAAGATGAGGACAATAGTCCGAATAATGTAAATAATGGCAGTGAATGTTGGACAGTCTTTATAGATGAACAGAAAATCTGAGACAACAGAGATTTGGTTCTACAGACGGATGCTGAGAATACCATGGACAGGGAATATGAACAAATTTTTAAGAAAAATGGAAGAAAAAAAAAAAAAAGGTCACTTATACTTTGAATCAGAACAAGTTAAATCTCAAGAGCACAATGAGGAAAGAATGCTCAGAACATTTGACATTCACAGGTCATATTGAAGGTAAAAAGATGGCGGGTAACATTAAATTACCTAATGTGCTTGTGTAACTGGATGGCAGAACAGGTAGTGGGAGAGATAGTAAATAAAATAGGAAGTTGTGGAGAGTCATGATTGATCACATCCTGAAAGGACAATGTACATACAAGGGTGGATGGAAAGTTCATAGGCTGACTATGAAGGGGCAATGCTACAACTGTGAAATCTTGCATGCATTAATTTCAACTGACATTTGGCTTTTCAAAGAAGACTTCAAGTGTAACAAGTAGCAACTTCTCTTAAAAATAGACAAAATTTGGTAGGATGAAGTTACCAATTACCTGAACAAAAAGGGTTTAGCCCACAAGGACATTCATTCTGACATGGTTGCTACATTAGGGGATAATACCCCAGCTTTATCAACAGTGCAAAAGTGGGCAGCCGAATATTGGAGGGGAAGAAAAAGTCTTGAAGATGACCCAAGGTCTGGACATCTTGCAACTGCCACCACCAAAGAAAACACTGTGTTCATCACATGGTGAAGGATGACAGTCAATAGACTATGAATTAAATAGCCAATGCTATTAGTATATCCTGTAAGAGAGTTGAAAATATTTTGCAGAGTGAACTTGGCATGACAAAGGTTTCTGCTTGGTGGGTGCCACATCTTCTAATACTTGATCAAAAGCGCACCAGGGTGACCAGATCACAGAAAAATCTGACATTGTTTAAGGCAGATCCATCTGGTTTTCTTGGATGTTTCCTAACCCAAGATGAGTTTTAGGTTTATCACTTTAAGCTAAAGACAGAGACAATCCATGCAGTGGAAGCACCACCCCTCACCTGCTCCAAAGAAGGCCAAGGTCATTTTCTCTACAGGGAAGTTGATGGCCTCAATATTCTGTGTGTGGGCTAGGGTTCAAAAGGCATTGTTTTTATTGACTATTGACATCAATGGAGAGTACTATGCTACCTTGCTGAGGCAGCTACAAAAGGCTATCAAGACTAAATGTCCAAGAAAACTGACAAAATGGGTCTTGTCTCATAAGGACAATGCTCCAGTACATAAGTTATTGGTTTCAATGGCTCCTATGTGTGACTCTGACTTTGAACTGGTTGATCACCCTCCCTATTTTCTTGAATTGATTATCATCTGTTCCCCAACATGAAAAAATACTTGGCCAGGAACCAGTATAACAGTAATGATGACATCATATCTGTTATTGATGACTTTTTTTTGACCAACAGGATGAAAAGTTTTCTTTGAACAGTAGATGTCAATTTACCTGGAAAGAAACAATGCATTTATTAAAAAATATAAAAACCATGTCAGCATGAATGTTCTTAGGGGCTAAATCCTTTTTCTGCAGTTACTTGATAAAACCACAATGTCAAAGTTACTTATAAAGTCTTTGAACAGTCAGGTGTCAGTTTACCTGGAAAGAAACAATGCAGTTATTAATAAGAAAAGTTGAGATTGATGCATGCAAGATTTCACAGCTCTAGCATCACTCCTTCACAGTCAGCTTATGAACTTTTCAGCCACACTCTCACAGAAGATAATTCAAACCACAAAAGGATATAAATTCATATTTACCTGATATTTATTTTTAAGGACAGCAAAAGCATCTGATTTATAAATAATTACTTCTTCTCTCCAACATTGATTAGAATTGGCATCAAATCTGGTTTCGGGATAGAGTCGCTCACAAAGATACACAAACTAGTGAAAAAGAGAAAAACAATCTGACAGTTACAACATTTCAAAAATATGAACAACCTTATCTGTAAATTCAAATTTTGAGTGCCACACTAATTTGAAAGTTCAACTGCTATTATTGTGACCCTGTAAACACAATACAATTGTCTATGACATCCTGGTGTTGTGGTTTTCACAAATAGTTCTATTGTGAATGCCAAGGTTCAGAATTTATCTTATTTTAGAAAGGGATCAACATTATTTATTTTTTTTTTTTGCTTCATTATCTAATATTTGTTAAATTTTTACAAATGTAGGATACAATAGGCTTTCTATAATTGGAATTTATTTTTTAATTTAGTCAGCTGTAACAAATAAAATTGTTCAGACTAAGCAGCAACCCTTCACAAAGAGTAAAGAAATAAGTCATAAGAATGTGTGTGGCTGCTCTTATAGTTCTTTAAGGATAAGTCTTTTAATGGTTCTAACTTTTTTCTAACTTTTTCTGGTTATCATTTCAAAGAGCTGGAAAGCACTGATGGGGATTCTACAGCATTAGTTAAACATAAAATGCCAGCTGAGTGTTCTAATACCACCAGAACACCAAATTTTGTATTAAACATGCATAAAATTATCAGTAAGAATTCCAGAAAGTCAATTAATGCCATTGCTAAGAAGCTCAAGATTTCAACTCAATGTGATACTAATTTCTATAATTAGAAATTAGCTTTTAATTTGTTGAGCTGTAATAACTGAAATTGTTCAAACTGAGCATCAACCCTTCAAAAAGAATAAAGAAATAATACGGTATAAAAAAGTGTAAGGTTGCTCTTATAGTTCTTTAAGGACACATCTTAATATCTCTAACATTTTTCTAACGTGTTCTTTTCAAATAAATGATGACATATATCAAGCTAACTCAGCAAATGAAAAGGTATGCTGTAATTGTTGCCTTAAAAGCAGAGCATAGCGATTTAGTGATTGCTCCCTGAAAGTTACATTTGACGTCAAAGCTGATAATGAGCTGGGAGCCACTGACACAGATTCTACAGCAGTAGCTAAATGTAAAACACCTGTTCAGGGTCCTAATACAATCAGAACAATCTTTTTATGAAAAATGCATAAAATTATTGGGAAGAACTCCGGAAAGTCAATTTATACCATTGCTAATAAGATCAAGGTTTCAAACCACTGTGATACTATGGATACCCACTGGTTTTATCTTGGTCTCAAGTGTTTCTGTTTAAATAACCAGTAGAAAAGTTCCGTCTTAATGCACAAGTAATGGATGAGGGTTTTTTGGTGATCATGCAATAACAAAACTGTAAATAGGGTATATCCTGGTGCTGGTTTATATTACAGTGATACTTAGAATCAGTGCAAGTTTTGATCCACCTTTGGCAGTAGATTGAACCTGTCCATCGACTAGTTACAAAGCATCCATTTTGTATTACCAGCCACAACATTAGGATGAGTAGATGGGCAAGGAGTTGGTAGGGAGCAGAAGTTGTCTCAAGTATCACTTACCTACCCAGCCAGACAAGCAGTTGCTTTGTGCAAGTGAAACAGTTATTCCAGCAGCTGTGATGGTTCTGGGAGTCATGAGCAATGAATGAGATGTCAATGCCTCCTCAATTCCTCAGTGTTTAATGATCAATGCTGCTGATTATAAAGACGTGGTGGAGAGGGTTGTGGAGCTTTGGATAGAGCCCTGAATAAAACTCCTACATATAATATGGAAAACAGAGTTTGCCTTTCTCAATGTGGCATTTTCTTGTTACCTTGTGAGCATACAGCACACTGACAGGATCAAGAAATGGAATGCTACATGGGGTAATGATTGGCCAATCAGTGGAAAATTTGGGAAGGGTTGCATTTTATATTTACATCACTTTATCAGAAGAAATGGACATGAGGATCTTCGATACAGGTCATACGATGTGAAAAATAAATTCATTTCTGCAACAATAAACAATAACTGTTTCACCTGCACAAAACACTTGTTGAGCAAAATGAGACATCAAGAGCCTAGAATACTATTTTTTTTCTCGCTAAAAAAAAACCTTTAATCAGGACCAAAAGCTCAACAAAAGGTTATGCAGAGAATCTAAAGACATTCCAGTTGTTAGGTGCACAAAGTTTTCAGCAGCTTTGATGGTTCTAGGAGTCATGAGCAATGAAGGAGATGTCATGCCTCCTCAATTCTTTCCTCAGTGCTTAAGGATCAATGCTGCTGATTATAAAGAGGTGGTGGAGAGGATTGTGGAGTTTTGGATAGAGAGCATGAGCAAAATAACATTGTACACCTACCAACAAGACTGCACGGTCTGATAAGGCCAAGATGCCCCAAGAAAGGATGAGTTATAGTCTTCATGGTCACCTTAACGCCAAACATATAACCACCTAGCTCTCCAGATCTGAATACGTTGGACTCTTATGTATTCAAGAGGGAAGTCAATCAACACTCCTATAACACTATAAAATCTCCGAATTTCACAATAACAAGCACAATATCCCAAATAGATAAAGATCATCTGATTCAGGCAGGACAACGTTTCAAACCTCTTAATGAAACATTCATCGATGCTAATGATGGATTCATTAAGTAGATGCACCAAAAAGAGTCTCAAGATTATTCATACCAATTCTTTCTCAAATAAAGCTCTTCTTTCATGACTGCAAATGTTCCCAATGCTTGCTATGGCTACCAAAGGTTGTTGGTCGTGATGGAGGTGCAGGTGTCAATTAGTGATCCTCATCCATCAGGTTCACTATTTGCTCATAGCTGGGGCTCTAACAAGTCCTACCACCTTGGGTCAGATTGATAGCTGAGAAGAGCAGCAATTAAGGTGGTTCTATACTCCTCATAATGTCCAACGTCATGATCAAAGGCCTTTCTACTGGATATATATATATACAGTGTAACCCAGATATAAGAGAGTTGTCGGGACCGGAGAAGAAGTCTCTTATATCCGGGTTTGGTCTATTTTGTTTACATAGGCTCTAATTTGGGACCAGAGAAAATCTCTCTTATATCCGGGTTACACTGTGTGTGTGTGTGTGTGTGTATATATATATATATATATATATGGGATAATGATATATAAATTTTAGTATATCAAGAACAGTTTTGGAGGAAACATATATGACAAAGTGGAAAAAGTTTTTGTGACGTTTTATCCCTCAGGACCACATCAGACTAGGCACCAACATAAGTAAACCAAGTTTGATGAGACCCTAACGGACAAAATGCATCACGCAAAAACTTTTTTACTTATATATATATATATATATATATATACACACACACATGTGTGTGTGTGTGTGTGTGTGAAGATTAAATTTCTTGACCCAATTTTATTTTTAATGGTGAAAGCTAACCAAATATGAAATTCATTCATGCACTCAGTTTTTATTTAGTAGTTTATATAAAACATTTTAAACACAGAATGTTGGTCAATTTTGATAATGACATTACTGAAATATGTAAAATATACACGTCACTTGCTTCGATTCCTTAATCATGACAAATCCTATTTCTAAAGGTTGCTTGACAGCAAGTGTTTTTTTTTTTTTTAAATCTAGAGAGTAAAAGAGAGAAATACAGGTAAAGAAAACAGAGAAAAACAGAAAAAGGAGGATGTACTATGATGGAATGACATCCCTATTACTCCAGGGCTTTCATTACATATTCATCAGAGAGAAAAATCCTGTTATTGTTTTTTTTTTTTTTTTTAAATACACTGAGTTCATCTGTTTCAAGTTGAGTATTTAATTTTATGAGTCGTTCCATTTCACTTAAGCAGACATTAAAAACATGAGAGTGTTATCACTTCCTCTAACTTCACTTTCTTTATCTCTCTGAAACCAAACCACATCTGATGTCTTCTATCTTTCCTTGCATTCAAAACAAGAAGTCCATTATTTATGAGCTATTAGCAAGATGTCACATACATGTTAACTTAGTGCAGTGTGAGTAGCCATGGTCAAATGCAAAATAAATAACAGAACTGTCCAACAAAGAGGATTGACAAAGTTTGCAATAAAAAGAAAAAGGAACAGGGCAAGAATGAAATAATGTCAAGTAAACAATATATGGAAGGCAAATTCACAGGTAAAAAGGCAAAAGTTCACTAAGAATTGGTGTCAACACACAGAACTAAATTCAGACAAGCTAATGTTGTATTCTGTCTTCTAGACAAGGCAGATTGGGACTGAGTCATGTCAAACTGCAATCCAGACTGTTTTATTGGCTGAGAAAAATATCCGAACATGCATTTGTGTACTTCTGTCTATAAAAGGGGAGGGGCAAGTGTTTTGCTGTCTTTCCTATGGATTGAAATCAACACTTAGAAACAACCTGAATTATAAGATCATAAAAATCAACAATTTACAAACCCCAGAAACCTACCCTGTTTTTAAGTCAAGGAGCTTTGGTATTGATATATTAAAAGCAATTTATTTTATACTAATTTTTTTCTAAAGCCAAAGTAAATTTCAAAGTATATGTCCACCATGCTAAAATTTCTTTTTTAAAAAATTTATTTTTTTTTTTTTTTTAAATTTGCAAGTTAACTGGTGTGTGTCCTTGATGACGGGAAATCTAGCAAGAGCGTCAAAAGAATTTCCCCACATCTTATAATTTCATGTTGGTTAAAAGAGAAACCAAAAAACAGGATATTGGTATAATAACTGCATAATAGAAGTTAGAAAATAAAACAAACTGAACATTAAATGTGTAAAAGCTTGACATTACTGACCTTTTTCACAAGATGTTCTGGAACAAAGTCAATTTTGGAATCAGTTAATTCAGATAAGGAATAAAATGTTGTCTTCAAAAATGCTGAAGACAATCTGAAAATAGAAGAAGAAAATATAATTGGTGAAGTTCTACAATAATCACTGTGACTAGAAATAATCACTTTTTCTATGTTACCATAGATTAAACATGCTAGATGAATGCATAATATATTTTTCTATGTAAATTATTAAATTTTATTAATGTTAATTAAGGGGTCCCAGCTTGCTGCGTAAATTGATTCCCCCCCATGCATTCCAGAACAAACACAGTGGAACTGCGGTTCACAAATTTAATTAATCCCTGAAGGCTGTTTGTAAACTGAAACTATTTTTCCAATAGGAATCAATGTAGAGAAAAAAGTCACGGTACATTAAAATTGGAAAAGAAAAACATACCACAACACATGAATGATTTTATTCAGTTTAACTTGGTTCAGCTATGTTGTTCGAGAACCAAAATTTTGTTTGATAACTGAGGCATTTTCATTTCAAATTTTCTGTTCAAAAACCAATTTGTTCAACATATGAGTCGTTTGAGAACCAAGGTTGCTATGTATACACATAGAATATGATTTCTTAAAATGTTTTTAAAAAAACATTTTAATAACTCACATCACATGAATATATTCATTTTGGTTTGTGTCAGGGGAGTGTCAATTAACAATGAAGTTACATTGTAAACTGGATCCCACACTCCTTAACTTTTATAAAATTTAATAAAAAAACATGATCTATAGTGATATGAATTTTTTTTTTTTTTTAATGAAAGTGATTATGACTGTTTACAGTGCCTATTGTACAAGTTCACCATATAATTAAAGGGTGGGATGGATAAATTGTCATCTAAATTACACAAAAATGAAATTAACACTGATATCTCATTTTAACAGATATATTTACCAAAATTACACAAAAATATCTTGAAATACGAAAGAGTAAATTTATTCAATAAAATCCCCATTGACTTCAACCATGGTCTCCAGACAACTTTGGAATCTCCTACAACTCTTCTGGATGGTCTCCTTGTTTAAGTTGGTGTATGCTGCCATAATCCTTGCTTTCAGTTCATCTTTGGTGTTACAAGGAGTATGGTTGGTCTCACACTCAACTGTGCCCCACACATAATAATTAAGGGGGTTGCAGTCTGGGGAGTTAGATGACCAGATGTAAAGGGTGATGTGGTTGCAAAAGTTGTCTGACAGCCATGACTGGGTTCTCTTGCTTGTGTCCTGTTGCCAGACATAGGGTCTTCCAGCAGCCACCCTCTTGATCCAGGGCAGCACTCAAGGCACTTGATTTAGACCTCCATGTTGAGTCTGAGGCACTGTAGGAAGATTAATGGAGGTATAATGTAACCATCAGTAGTGATCACTCCAAACACCTTCATAATCCTCTGCACTGTTCTCAGATTGACACCCAAACACTGAAATGTTTGGATTGGAGCTTTCCAGCATGAATACCAAGTAGTACAGCATACCATTTCCAAATTTCTGGCAGAGTGAATTGCATCATTGCGCTCTTTTTCTCACAGGTGGTGCCCAACTGACCCTACTATACTGTGCAGTCAACAAAATCAAAAACACAAACACACACAAACACACACACACACACACACACACACACACACACACATGAAATTAAAAATATAAAAATGGTGACAATTTACTCATCACACTCTGTATATGGATGTACACATATTTGAAAATGTCCAGACATGACCTGTTTGCAATTCCAGTGGTCAGTGTTCTAGTTCAGGCAAGAAAAAAATCGATTTGTCCTTAAATTGTCCACTCCTATTTAGCCTCAGTAAATATTTTAAGAAAGTGCATAGATTTATATTTCATATTACAAATATTATCTTTAGTGGATACACAGGTTTGAGTAGATATACCTTTTTATTTTCTTTAATGAAATTTTCACCTGAGCAATCGAAGTCTTACTAAAGAAAATGTGCCTTTTGACAGGAATCTGATTTCCCCTTTTAATCTGGGAGACCAATCAACCTAAGTGTGCTTTACCACTGAGCCATAGGAAGCCATCAGAGCAAAGCTCAATAGATTTATATGAGAAAAAAAAAAGTTTTAAAAAGAATCATTGTTTTGAGTTACCAGATAGAAATAGACAAATGCAAAAATGGCCAAAGTTGTGAAATGTAAGAAGCACATATGGCAATCTTCAGAAGTTTCAGAGTTAAAAGACAGAAATATTCCTCCATAACTTTTGCTAACCTGAAATTTCTAAAAGTAGAATATTTTGGAAACACACTGATGAAATCCTCACAGTATTTAGTTCTGTTGAAGTTATCACTAACATTTTTCATAAGATTTACAATTCCACATTGCATTCAATTTCACACCCAATCAATGAAATATAAAATCTTTAAAAAAATATGCAAAAATATTACATTTTTATTAAATAAGTATTTGTTATTTTAATCATTAAATTGTTTTTAAAATAGTGGGAGTATTTGAATTTGCTTGAATAGATTACTGTAAAGCCTTTGATAGTGCGTCACACTCTCAGATAATTAACGCTTTGGAAATGCACAAAGTCATCTTAGTGATAGTAAATTTACTTAAATATAGCATGAAACTCGAAAACCACATTATACCTAATTCACACTAAAAGTACTACCACTTCCAATTATTTGAATATTGAACAAGGAATCTTTCAAAAAGACCCCCTGTCGCCCCTTCTGTTCTGTCTGTCTATAATCCTCTTTTCGCATGAACTAAACAGTAACAACTATGGATACAAAATAAAAACGAAAATGTTTAAACACCTAGTCTACATGGATATCAAAGTCTTTACAAAAGACAACAATGAGTTGAAGGGTATCCTAAATACTGTAAAATGGTTCAGTGACGACATCATAATCGATTTCACATTAAATAAATGTACAAAAGTAACATTCAAGAAAGGGAGAATTACAGAAATGCACTCAATAGATATAGATTTTGTCACAAAGGTTAGGGAACTGAAACAAGAAGAAGCCTATAAATATTGGGGAGTCAGGCAAAGGAGATGGAATACAGCATACCCAAATTAAGGAGAAAGAAAAAGAAAAGAATAGTAAAGGCATGTGCATCTGGTGTTAAATACTGAGTTCAATTCAAAAAACAGAATATCAGCCATAAACACTTTGGCTGTAAAGATGGTGCAACACAGTTTCAATATCCTTAATTGAACTATAGCTGACATTAAGTGAATAAAAAGGTCAAAATGAGAAAGCTTCTCACTTGCCACCACATGCATCATCCTAAGGCTGATATTGATCATCTGTATGTGTCCAGATCCAAAGAAGGCAGAGGATTAGTTCAACTAGAACTGTCTTATCAAAACCACAACAATTAGCATTCAAAGATACCTGGAAACTACAGAAGACTTGATGACGATCCGTGACAAAGAACATGAAAGAAATAAGAAACTTTATTCACTAATAAAGGAAGCCAACAAATTCAAAAGGGAATTTTAAGCAAGTGAAAAAGTGCAAGTAAACCATAATAAACCTACTGCAATGGCAAAGAACCTAAAAAAGAAAGCAAAAGCAATGTACCAAATGCAGAAACAATAACAAGATAAGTTTCTTCATGATCTGCCCATACCAAACAAACTGATATAGACAAACCCCATACACATAACTGGTTATGTAATGCAGGGTCAAGAGCTGAAACCGATTCTTGCTGCACTAAAACTAATGCTTGCTAACTAGAAATTACCAAACACATACTGAAAAACTGTGTTAGCACAAAATGCAGATTCTGTGATAAATATCCAGAAACAATTGACCATCTTGTATCAGCTTGTGTGGTATTGGCACCTACTGAATATAAAACCCGGCACGACAGATTGGGCCAATATCTGCATTGGAAAACCTGCAACTTTTACGAAAAGAAAACTGCAAATAATTGGTATGAACACCACCTAGACCCGGTTACGGAGATAGGATCCGTAACAATTTCATGGGACTTTACAATACACACAGACAGAACAAACAAAGCTAATCACTCAGACGTCATGATCAGAGATCACAAAAAATAAAAAATAAAAAAAAATGTGCCTTCTTATTGAAATGGCAGCCCCTGTAGACTGTAAAGTATCTTTGATGATCTTCACAAACCATCAAAATACAATAACCTGAAACGAAATCTCAAAACTGTGACACCTGAGGACATCAACAATTCCAGTTGTTGTTGGGGTCCTCAGTTTGATTGGAAAAGGTTCTGATAGATTCATTAAAGGGATTCCTGGTAGCCCAAGCCTTAAAGAAATACAAAAAAAAAAAAAAAAATATTTTACTCACAAGTACAACTTAAAGTTTACGAAGGGCTTTACCTATGTAAAATGTGTGTGATCCTAGGTTTTTTCAGGATTCCCCCCCCAAAAAAAATGCTCAGTAGAAAGGGTCATGCCATTTATCACCTTAGGTCTCTAGTTGGGACCCAGAAAGAAATGACTATACACAGAAATCAAAGGAAGTAATAATAATAATAATAGTAGTATTAATAATAATAATAATAATAATAATAATAACAGAAGCCAAGAACCAACTATTGCAGCAAAAGATATGAAAAAAAAAAAAGCCAAGGATAAAAGCCCCAGAAGCCAAGAACCAACTTTGCAGCAAAAGATATGAAAAAAAAAAAAGGATAAAGCCCTTGAACAGATGAAACAACGCTGGCAAGACAAACCTCTGCATGGCCAATATCCAGAACGTGCAAATTCAATGTTGATAAAGTTAAAAGAGCATCTGGATTAAAGTCTGAAACTGAAGGCTTTATTCTTGCAGCCAAGACCAGAAGTCTTTTTCACTAGGAATTTTCAGGCAAATATCATACAAAAAAATCCAAAAAACAAATACCAAGAAACAATAGACCATCTAATCTCAGGATGTTCTATACTTAAAATGAATATAAAAATCGTCACGATAGAGTGGGGCAATACTTACACTGGACAATGTGCAAACACTTTGGAAAATGTGTAAGCAAACACTGGTATGAACATCGGTTACAGAAATAGAAGATGTCACCATTCTATGGGATTATACCATTTGAAGCAAATAGGCCCCAAAAAACCAGAAAGAAAAAAAACTTGCCTACTAATTGATAGGCTTGTCCAGCGGATTGTAACATAGCAACCAAAGGAATTTGAAAAAACTATCAAAATACAAAGACCTGGAAATTGAAATAGAAAAAATGTGGAAATTGAAAACAAGAATAATACCAGTGGTAATAGGTGCACTTGGAATTATAAAAAATGGAACAAAACAACACATTGAAAAAAAGAGACATACAGAAAATTGTCTTATTAAGTACAGCACACACACTAAGGAGAACTTTGTCTAAAGCAACTTCATCGAGATAAAAAAAAAAAAAAAAAAAAATAAATAGTAGTAACAACACACCACGACCTGCCTTTAACTTAATAAGTGTGTAATAAGAAATAATAATATAATAATAATAATAATAATAATAATAGTAGTATTAATAATAATAATAATAATAATAATAGTATTAATAATAATAGTAGTATTAATAATAATAATAGTAGTAGTAGTAGTAATCATAATAGTAGTAGTAGTAATCATAATAATCATAATAGTAGTAGTAGTAGTAATAATCATAATAATAGTAGTAGTAGAAGATGAAGAAGAAGCAGTAGTAGTAGCAATATAGATTAGGCCACATTACTTTAGAAAGACTGGGTCTTTTAGACAGCAATAATCAAGTGATAACATTAAGCAAAGGAGAGAAAAATTGGATCAATTTACTTAATTGAAATTATAATTTTTAATCTGTTTTTAACAAAGTGTTCAGTACCATTTGATTTTGATTAGAAAAACCATTTGATAACATAATTTGTGATGAAAATAAAAGATTGTATTTATTGTTTTCTACTCACTTGAGAACATTACGCATCTGTTTCTGGTTTGAACAAAGCAGAGATTCCCAGAGAACTTTGCAGAAATCACCTTTTAATTCTTTACATTCTGCATGACCTTCAAGTTGGACTTGCGGAAGATATTGAGAGCAGAGAGCGACATGACTTAAAATTCCACCTAAGCTTATCACTTGTTCATCAGATAACTTATCACACTGAAAGAAAGAAAGAAAAAAAAAAAAAATTGAAGGTATAAGATATTTTTAGATTACATATTTAAATATAAAATATCAATAATGCTTATTTGTATTATGCTTGTTAACGTAAATGCATTTCTTCATCAAAATATCAGATGTGAAAGAGTTCATGGCAAAAAGCTGGCTTTTAACTGTATTCAGTTTAATTTAAAAAGAAAAAAAAAAACCACAGGTAACTTTTGCATATGCATATTATCACCTGCAAACAAAATTCAATTATCCCCTGATGAGTTTTATGGGGCCACCATTCCTCTCTGAGAGAGAAAGTAGAATTTGGTTGATAGCTTCATTGATAAAAAATTTTTCTTTTTTATTGTTCACTCTTCTTAACAGTATTTTTTTTCCTCATACTCGCTAATACTCAGTAACCCCTTGAGTCTTAGTGGCTTTATTGCCTTGCTTGGGATGAAATGATGAAAAAAAAAAAAAAAATTATGATGGATTCAGAGTAGGTGCCATTACTACTTTCAAAAATGCCTGTTCTTATATGTTCTATATTTTTAAATATAATACACCATATATATATATATATATATATATATATATATATATCTGCAATTTTGTGTGTGTGTGTGTGTGTAACAATTGAGTGGGCAGTGTGCAAAAGACCCCATTCATGTCCACATGCAAAAAAGCTAAATATTTCTTTCCCTCTCTCTTTGCATGAGTTGGCGAGGGAGGGTGCGATGAACAACAAAGATAACCACTCCCTGGGGTGACAGTTCAAAGTAAGAACTAAATTGTATCAAATCTCGACACTCAGAATTTTCACATTTAGCAAAAACATGAATTGAAGGATGGACAGGTTTACATTATTGTGCTTTGGGAACTTTTGCAGTAATAAAAAAATTTTGTTTGTAAATACGTAACATTTATGAGGATAAAATACGAATATCTTTCCTGAGGTGTTTATAAATTGTTCACTGTTCAATTATTAACGTTGGCCTGACGATTGCATCTAGCATGAAACAGCCTGTTGCCTCTAAGTGTTGACTTCAATGTTCACTATATATATATATATATATATATATATATATATATATAGCTGTTTATATATAATATCAAGGATTTCTTAAACATCAAAATTTTCATTCACTCTAATGATTACATAAAATGACAGTCAATTCTACAATTCTTAGCTGCAGAGAAAAATGTAACAATTGTTATTTTATTCTAATGTGATGTGCATTTGAACCCAGTATATAAGAGGCAAATTTTTGAGTTATCACTGCCCACTGAATTTATCACAGCTTAAAACAAAGGAAATATTTTTGATTTAAATAAAGAGAGAATGAATATACTTATAGGATTGGGTTTTTTTTTTTAATATTTTTACAGCTTATCAACCTTTTGTAGGTTATTTTAAGCCAAAATATATTTTGGTTGTAAGAATATATGTAGATATATACTATAAGAAAAAAAAACTTGTACCAATGATAAATGTATATAAAGAAATAGAATTGAACAGTATAAGCGGTCAATTGCTGATACCCCCTGACAAGACGGTTCCATCTAAGAAAACTCAAGAATCAGGATGCTAAAGATAATAACAATCAACTGACAAACCTTTTGAATTAATTCTATATATTTTACAAGTGAATATTGCATTAAGAATATTTTGGAAATAATGATTTTTGCAGATACAAGTTCTACTATTTAGCCCAATAGGTGAGAGAAGAAGAAAAGGATTCATAACTTTCCTAAAGGTTATTTTATTGGCCATTTTTTTTAAATGCCTTGTCTCTTCAGGATGTAGACAATTATGGCTCTCAAAGTTCATCTTTATTATCTTTATTATTGCCAGGATTTATTAGGAAAGATAAATGGCTACAATTTGTAATTCAGAGTTTTCCGTCTCTTAGACTCAGTGTCCCTCCAAGTCTAGAATTTTCAATCTACCCTGCTATTTAACCCATAGCTTGGGAAGAAAAGAAATAAGTTCATGCCTTTCCCAAGGGTATTTGTGAAAAATTAAACAGGTTAAGTGAAAATGTCCAAATAAAGTTTCATGTATTGTCGGCTTTACTCCTCTCGTGATGAAAGAGCAAAAAATAAATAAATAAAATAAATAAAAAATAATTTAAAATAAATAAAAATAATTTAAAATAAATAAAAAATAATTTAAAATAAATAAAAAATAATTTAAAAAAAAAAAATAATTTAAAATAAATAAAAAATAATTTAAAATAAATAAAAAATAATTTAAAATAAATAAAAAATAATTTAAAATAAATAAAAAATAATTTAAAATAAATAAAAAATAATTTAAAATAAATAAAAATAATTTAAAATAAATAAAAATAATTTAAAATAAATAAAAATAATTTAAAATAAATAAAAAAAAAATTTAAAATAAATAAAAAAAAATAATTTAAAATAAATAAAAATAATTTAAAATAAATAAAAAATAATTTAAAATAAATAAAAAAAAAAAATAAATAAAAATAATTTAAAATAAATAAAAATAATTTAAAATAAATAAAAATAATTTAAAATAAATAAAAATAATTTAAAATAAAAATAAAAAAATAAAAAAATAATTTAAAATAAATAAAAATAATTTAAAATAAATAAAAAATAATTTAAAATAAATAAAAAATAATTTAAAATAAATAAAAAATAATTTAAAATAAATAAAAAATAATTTAAAATAAATAAAAATAATTTAAAATAAATAAAAAATAATTTAAAATAAATAAAAAATAATTTAAAATAAATAAAAATAATTTAAAAATAAAAATAATTTAAAATAAATAAAAAATAATTTAAAATAAATAAAAATAATTTAAAATAAAAATAAAAAAATAATTTAAAATAAATAAAAAAATAATTTAAAATAAATAAAAATAATTTAAAATAAAAAAAAATAATTTAAAAAAATAAAAATAATTTAAAATAAATAAAAATAATTTAAAAAAATAAAAAATAATTTAAAATAAATAAAAATAATTTAAAATAAATAAAAAATAATTTAAAATAAATAAAAAATAATTTAAAATAAATAAAAAATAATTTAAAATAAATAAATAAAAATAGATAAAAAAAAAAAAAATTTTAAAAAAATTTAAAAAAAAAAAGCAAAACCATTTTACATCCTGCATATAGATACCTCAATGAAAAAAAATAATTTCTCAAATTTTTCTTATAATAGATGTTTATCAATTTACCTCAAGCAAAGCTAGCCTCCATAAACTAAAAAAGAAAGCTGGCAAAAGCATAACATGGATGCTAAGAGACTGCATAAATTGGAAAGCCCATGTGTAATCTGGCTGTGAAAAGGTATAGACAGCAAGGAATGCTTGGGAAGCAGCATTTAGAAGACATTCTACCACCTGCAACAATGGAAAAAAAAAAAAAAGAAAAGAAATCAAGTTAAATAAGAGTTACAAAAAATCAATAATTAAACAAACATGTCTACAGTCGAGCAATAATACACATTGTGTTTAATATATGTGGAAATATTTGTTACTAGCTTAAAAGCCATCCTATCAGGCGGCATTTAATCTAGCTCCTGTAGAGGGCTCTTGATTAGGCCTTCATCACAATAAGTATGGTGGAGTAGATGTGATAGTTAATAAACTACAAAAGAACTCAAAATTATTCAGTGCATTTAAGTGCAGTATTAATATTTAAGTTTACCTTTTAAAAGCTCAATGATAATTCTTCTGCCACCACTTAATTTAAAGTCAATTTGATGTAGGTAGGGTCCTTACCTTCCATACAAACAATTATTTTTATTTCATGGGTGACTTTTGATGGATTTCGTAATTAATTTCAATTATTACAAATTTATTTCCAAGTAATAAAAAAAAGTAATATAATTATCATATAAAAATTTATCAAAAAAAATTGTTAAAAAAAAAAAAAAAAAACAAACAAACAACACAACACAATTGCAGTAGTGAAAACTTGGGAATCCAAAATTTCAGGATTGCAGGTCCAAATCAGAAAGCTTTTAATTCGCTCAAAAGAGCCAGCCTGATTCAAAATGGTATGTTGGGCTATGGACTCTAGGAGTAAAGTGGAAAAAGTGTGACACAGTAACACTGGCATTTATTATATAGAAGGAGATGAGCTATTGAGAGTTTTGTCCCTTTAATTGAGAAAAGTGTGATACACTAACATTAGCATTTATTATATATATGTAATAAAAAACTATTACAACCTATTATTTTACAATCTAAGGTTCCATTTAATGACAAGCAATTCACAAATTACTTCCCTTGGCTACAACTTCCTATTGAGGGGGAAAAAAATAAGAATCATAAATAAAAGAATTCTGCAGTTTAATAACAGTAAAAAAAAAATATATCCAAAGAAAGCTAAAACAAAAAACAAAAATGAATGCATTCCTAACCTTATATCACCATTTAGAAATGAAGTATTCCATTATTATGGTAACACATGGCATGTTTATCCTGTGTTACCATACAAATGGAATATTTCATTAATACACAGTGAAACCAGGTTGCATGACTGAGAAATATATGAAGTGGTATTGATAACATTCCCATATTGTATGTGGTGTGGTATGGTTGTACCAGTCACTGGAAACAGGCATTACTACCCAGTCTACTGAATCTATTAAAAAGCTTCATGCTATCTATTCATGCTCAATTATGTGAGATATTGTAATGTGTTGGAATGGTTCTGCAAACTTTACAATAGTTAACAAAGTCAAGCAATATGCTTGCATCTAATTTTGTGTGAAGCTCAGTAAATCTATTTACATTATTTGGACTATTGTCCTCATCTTTGTCATCATATTTATTACAACATTTCAGCCATTTATGCGTTTGGCCTTCTTCAGGTGGCTGGAATGTCGAACTGAACCTCAAGGACACATGGCAGAGTGGATAAAGGCATTAGAGTTAGATCCAGTGTCAGGACCCAAAGAGTGTGAGTTCAATACCCGGTTAAGGTAGTGGAGAAATTGGAGAGGGGAATTAACAGGAGATAACTGATATCCATTAGACATGGCATGTGGAACTAGAACAGTCTACCCCAGTGAGCAAAATAAAGGGTTAAGTTCAATCTTCCAACCACCTAAAGAAGGCCGGCTGAAACGTTGTAATAAATATGGCGACAAAGATGAGGACAATAGTCTGAATAATGTAAATAGTGTACATAACACCTCATCTCAGAAATATAGACAGATACTTAGTAAATCTGATCCTGAGATGATCAAAAGGCTTGGTCAATATTCTGATGGACACTTTTTTTTCTTTAGGTTAATCACAGGTTTTCGACAGCCACGTGTCTGTTGAAGATAAAAGGGTATTAAAGGAAACATATTACCTACAAAACAGGAGAAAATGTGGAAAAAATAAATAATTGCTAAATTCATCCATGAGAATCATCAGCTATCAATCCATTAACATTCTCACATGACCGGAACAATATTCAGTTTGCCAAGATCCTAATCTGGGAATTTTCTGATACAACCTCATAGATATCTTAAAATACCTGAATATGTTTTTCTTCCAATGAAGGATATTTTAAATCCAGGACAATGGTATTACATGTGGTAACTGGTGTTTGGTCACTGTTCCACTCAGGACTAACCATTTTGAGACATTCAGACAGCAGTGAAAGGCATTCTGAAACTTTAAATGAAAAAGAAAAAAGTTATCTATAACAAAAAGCTAACAGTTGAATCACAAACATACAAAAAGTCATACATTACATTATTAATAATAATAATAATAATAATAATAATAAGAGGAATTAATCAAAATGTTTAGTATAAATCTTATGGAACTCTCCTGCCATTCTTTTCATTCACCCAGGTCAGGAAGTTAAGAATTTGTTTACGTAACAATCCTCATACGTTTAAAAAGGTCAACAAGTCAGCAAATTCTGAATATTTTTTCAGAATGTGCACCCTAAAATATTTGTTGAAATTCCAGTTGTTAGTAATAAAATGTCCTGCATTTGATATGTAATCACTATCTACTTTAATTTTTAGAAAATATAATATATATATATATATATATATATATACACATATATGTGTGTGTGTGTGTGAGAGTTCAAACATATTCCTAAAAGCAAAATTTTCTAAGAAATAAAACCTTTTTTGACCAATAGTTTTGCTCATAAATTTGTTTCAAAGAACATTAAGATTTTCTATTGAAAGTCTTCAAAAGTTACAGAAAGAGAAGGATTCTTACTTTTATTGCCATAAACTCCAGGTGGCGTTGAGCAAGGATTATTCACAGCCTCAACGAATTGATCCAAAAGCGGTTGTAGCTTTTCAATCAAAGAGACATTCGTATTTGGAGTTTTAGATTCTCCTTCATCCATTGGAACAGAATCTTATTGAGAGAGAGAAAAAAATGCATAAATAATAAACAGAATGGGTAAAACTGCACATCTGTTTGCATAAAAGCAAAAATATTTCAAGAACAAATATTAATATTCAACAAGACACTTGTATCCTGGACAACTATATTCCCAGAAAGCTTTATCCTAGTAATTGGTAACACTAGACATATGCATCCACTTACTTTGTTTTTTTTTTTTTCTTTTTTTCTTGCCAGAATCTATCTTACAAGTCTACCATTTATACATGTTTTGAATATTGCTGCCACATCTGGTCTGGAGCTTCTGATATATATTTAGAGATTCTTGATAAAATCCAAAGAAGAATCTGCAATGTTATTGGTCCTGACATCTTGCCTTCAGTCACTTTCCCACCAGTATAATGTAGCTTTTCTTTCACTTTTTCTATAAATACTTTCATGACAATTGTTCTAATGAACTTTCCTCTATGGTAGCTAAACTTTATGAATTTAAACACAGTACAGAGACACGGTGGAGTAATGGATAGCATCTTGGATTGAGGGATCAGAGAGCCAAGTTAGAATTCCAGTTGAATCCATTCACAGACCAGGTTTTATAGCTCTGGATAGCAGAAAGAAATGGCAACCTACTGCAGGAAAAAATTTGTTTCATCAGTCATGTATCAAAAAATGGCTTGGTGTGACCATGAGTTCTATGCTAACAGTTCCTCTTATTGCATTTCTCATTTGTGAAATTCCCTTCCAGCTTATTTCCCAGCCAACTTTGATCTTCAAAATTTAAATGCAATGTCAATCACTAGCTTTATTGCCTTGCTTGGGGTGTTATGATTGAAAAAAAAAAATTCCAGGATGCCAATAACCAGGATGCAAATCTTGTAATAGGTTAATATTCATATTACTAACACTACAGGGGATACACAAAAAATAATACTTCCAATTTGTTTCTATGGAAATTACAAGATACAGTTGGTACTGTTTGATAGAGCAAGCTTTCTGCTACAAAACACTTTTTTCATAGTAACCATAATTGGCTAAACATTTTCATCAGCAATGTACACACAGTCATTTTTTTGTGTTGACAGCTGTGCAGGGATACCCAGAATGTGTCTTGTCACATATCACTGTCACCACTGCTGAAACAAATTGCCTAAAACCTAACTGTGCTCACATCCAATGTTTCGCCTCCAAATATGGTTAACAATCATTAATTAATATAAACAGTTGCAATTTTTTCTGCATGAAACAATTCAATGACACACTTCTGCTTCAGACATTTTCATCTCAGACAATATTTTGCCAGACTGCTATTCAGCTATCATCTGTAACAAGGCATATAGAAAAAAATGTATGGATTATTGGTGAGAAGGATTAACTTTTGGAATAATATCATGAAATTGGATGCATTATTTTCAGAGTAACTAACTGCTATGATGTAGACTAAAATGCAGTAAAATTTATTTAGACACAATGTTTCATAAAAATGTTGCAATAACAAACCCTACACCAAAACAAATCTGAATAAAAATCAATAATAATGATACAAATCAATAACATCTATTGAAATATGAAAAAATTGAGAATTTAATGTGTTTTATGTTTATTTGATTGGTTGATCAGCATATCAACTCTTATGTATTTTAAGGCCTGCAGAATTTTTGTTAAGAAAGTGCTCAATAAATAACTACAGCAACAATAGTCAATATTTCTAGTCTCAACCAAGTTGTAATTCTTATTGAATTAAAATTTAATCATGGTGCATTTTAAATTCTAAATCTGGCAAGTTTTAATTTTCAATGGTTTGTATTTTACTTAGTATCTAAGAAAAGAAACAGTGTCATTCCAACTCATACACTTCATCTTACATTATGTGATTACCAAATTGTTTTGTAATAAGCTGTCCAATTAAACAAATATAAAAAAATATTGATTTTTGATTTCCAATTCTTTCATTTTTATTTACATTTGGACTAATGTCATTTTTTTGCTATTATCACATTTTGACCTTCAGCAAATTTCAAACTGAACCTTTTATTAAATCTATAGATGTGTAGATTGTTCTCATCCCACTTTAGTACAGAAAAAACAATAAGGACAACACTTCTACTCTCATAAATTAAATAAAGGGTTCAGTTTAAAATTCCATAAAAGTTATCTGGGTCAACAGACAGCTGAAGAAGACTGGAAGGCACAACAGCTGAAATATTGTAATAATAACAAAAATGAAGACATTAGTCCAAATGTCAATAATGGAGAAAAAGGGCCAAAATTCCTTTCAAGAATCATTGACAATACCAAAGTATCTTTAAAATGTAAATAAATTTCTAACTGGAATTTTTAAATTAAAATTACAAAAAAAAAAAAAAAAAAAAAAAAAAAATTTGATTCTGACTTATTATCCAATCTCCAATTTGAAAAAATAAAACCAATTAATCCATTACTTGAACAAAAAAAAATTAAGATTCAAATGTGTAATAATTTTCCTAAAATGAAAAAAATATTTTTGGTAGTTAAGGCAATGGACTGGTGGTACACAGATTTCGTTGAGAAATATTGAAATTTATTGAAACATGAATATACATATAATCATGTAGATATTGACAAATAGTATTCAAGAAATAATGTTAAATGCTTACCAATCTTAAAAGATTCAATTTGCTCTTTACAGGCTTTGATGTAATTGTTATAAATGTTTAATGGGATTTTTCCAGCACTAAAATTAAATGAAATAAAGATAGAATTTGAAGTTGTTTTTTTTTTATTTAAAAATAAGCAAAAAAATTATAAAGATACTACATAAAGTTAAAAGGTTGCAAAATTAGTTTAAATTAAGAGTTCAAGAGTGCTTCCCCTTTAGATTGAGTTACCTCCCTTGTCAATCGGAAATTATAAAAGTAAACCAAAAAATAAATGACTGTATATAAACATTTTGTCATAAAATAATAAAATGTTAAGACAAATACCATATTTTTTAAAAAAATCAAATTCTGAAGTCATACAAATTAAACGATGTATTTTTCTTGTTTAAAACAATGAAAACAGTGATGAAAAGATTAAACTGGAATCACTATTGTTAGTAATTGGAACACAAAAAAATTAGGAAAAATAGATAACATACTCTTTTAAAGTTTTGATAAATTTCATTTTTACATCAGGCTTTTGTGGAAGCTATGAAGAAATTGAAAAACACATTATTATGTATATATGCATAAAGAAGAAAATAAAATGTTTGACAATTGTAAATAATTTATGCCGAGTTTTGTTTTCATTTGGTGTACCAGTTCTTGTTAGCAATAAATTTTCTCTTTAAAAATGTTAAATAATCATTACAAAATCTTACATAAAGCATATTCATAATGTTTCAAGATGTCAGCTATTTTATTTTTAGACATTAAATAAAGTTTTGGTACAAGTTTATCAAATCTTAAAATGGGATATTGTTCTTAAAATACAAAAGCCACACAAACAGAGATGGGACATAAAAAGCAATCCAGAAATATAGGAAATAAACCCTATTCCCAACACAATCACATACCCACATATATTAAAAAACACCCAAACTTTTTTTTCTACCCAATAAGAAACAATATTTACAGACATGGCAAAAAGATTCCACAATACAAGACACACCATTTAAATCAAAGTTCCTAGTGTTTAGAAATTAACATCATCAAACATTTGACCAATCTAAGAAAACTAAAACACTATTTTTCTCAAACCTACTTTTGAAAAAAAAAATTTCTTATAAAAGCAGCAGAGATGCAACTGTCTACAAGCCACTCAAACACAAGAGAAGATGTAGCTATATAGCTTTTTTTCCTTCCCCCAGGCACATGCTGAAAGAAACATGCCAACAACTTCAAACAAATCTCCAACGCAGCAGCTCAATCAGTGAATCTTTGCTGGTGATCAAAAATCTTTTCTAAACCAGTTTTTTTTTTTTCTTACAACTACCCAAAGACTAACTCGACTAAAGATTTTTACTCATTTTTTTTTGCATACATACATACATGCATGCATGCATGCATGCATACATACATACATACATAACGTTACATACATATTTGTAAATGCAAATTATTTATTTCACAGGCATACACATTTTTTTTTTTTTTTTTTTGTTTGGAATTCAGGCACTCAGATTTTTAACATAAAAGAAAAAAAAAACTTTTACAACAGAATTTCCTACGGAAAAAAAAAAAATGTTTTTTCTGAATAATGGCTGAAAAGAGAATTCTTACTGAATTTTTATTACTGACTGTGAAATTTAACCGTTCCAAAAAACTAAGCAAGGTATTAAACAGGAAAATTCCATTTCATTGTTAATTACTTTTATTGCTAATTTTCAAGAACAAAGAAAACGTAATTCTTTCATATGCTTAAGTTTTATTGGAAATCTAATCGTTTTTAATGTAACACCGTATCCTCACTCCACTGGATCCATGCACTCCACAAGACTGGCTGTTGGTCCGGTATGGTCCAGTATTAAAAGTTAGACACAAGTCTCCGGTTCCCAATGTCAATTCGAAACCACTATCCAGCCATGTTGTGATTGTTTTGATACTGGAGAGTGGTCATCGGATTGTAGAAATCCGGAAGCCCTCTATTAGTCCATCCGCAAGTTCATCAGGTGAGAATCGGCTTAACAGAAAAATAAATAGAACCAAGTCGATTCAATTTTGAAAGGACAAAAGCTTGTATATAAAAGCAAACACACAAAATATAATTTTCATTGCACAAGGCTGAATGTTTCTTGTATGTAAACAATAACCAAACAAACACAAATACTTCAAATAATTTCAGTAAAGGAAAGAGGTGGCCTTTGTTTTAACTCTTTTTGGTCTGTTCTTAGAGCAACTACTACAACCTTCAATGTTCCTGTTCTCAGTAATAGTAGGAATAGTGGTACTTAGATGTTAGTGGCGGTATTTCACTTCTTCGCCCTCAGCTTCAGCAACACACAGCTGACGCTTCCTTTTCAATCTCTCCACTCAGTTCAACTGCATTCGAAGACAGACAAACCCTAAAACTCTCTCTCCACTCACCTCTTTATTAAGAGAACCGGCTCAAATCTCAGACTGGTGACGTGTCTGTTTTTCTAGTGCAAACGTAATTACATACTACCAAAGTACAACTTCACTCCTCCAAGTATAAACAATTTACTTTTTCATCAATCGATTTCCAAGGTTCACAACAGGACGCTATTGTTTTTCACCTCACTATTAATTATCCTGCTGCTCTTTGTAAACTATAGAGATTCTAGATCAAAACATCCTTAATTTTAACTTTGATTCTTAGTGTCAAAATTCATTTCTTTGTTTAAAAGTTCCAAATTATTAATGTTCCAGTAATTTTCTATTAGTAATCTGATATCCTTTGTACATTTACAAAAAGATTGTATTTCATGTTCTAAATTAAGTTTCTGTAACATTTACATTTCAAAATCTTTACAGCATATTAACATCTTGGTTATTCGAAAACGTCTCTTTTACTTAGTGTTTTCCGTTTTACAGCATATCCTCCTTTATTATCATTATTATTATTATTTCAGGGGTGATGTCACCCCTGCCACATTAAAAAAAAAAACTTTAACGTAGTTAAAAAAAAGCAGTATCATGGGAAGAAAACGTGCTTTTGATAAGTCTTATTGCAGGCACGTTTATCCATGTTTGCCTTTGAATTTTTGTAGAAGGTATCTAGTGAGGATCAAATTCACTACTCAGTAGTAATGATCAACTAGACTCGCTTCACTAAAGATTATTCCACTCCAAGGTGCCTTAATTGTAAAGAGGAGTTACATGTCCAAAAATGGATATGACACACATCAAAATAAACACAATTAAAACAAAATCAAAGGCTCCATTCAGCCCACTGATGATTCTAATATACAGAGGTTTGGTTAGATTTTGTTTAACAGTGTGTCAACCCTGATGGGTCCTTTTACACCAACCAGATGAAGACATATTTCATACACACATACTTTCTTTTCTTTTCTTCCCCAGTAGATAGCTATAATTTATTTAAATAGATTGTTTAATTTGTCAGTTTGAACCGTTTAAACCAGTCCTACCTATTTACCCATACATAAAAATTTTTAAATTCCTTTAAAAATTGTTTATTTCTTTTATAAACCCTATTATCTAGCCAGGGGTAACATCTTTAGACAATGTTTTTATATTTGTGGCATTTAATATGTTTAAACTTATAGTGTTTACATTCAATCAGAATGTGTTTAACCATTAATTTATGATGGCAATGGGTGCATTGAAGTACATTTTCAGGTCTTAGTAGATATACATGAGTCAGTCTTATATATCCAATACAAACTCTTGTTAGTACAGTGTCCTATCTTCGCTCTTTTAATAGTTTTGTTTTCCTGTCCGACACTTGGTTGGTGCTCATAATGTTTGTTTTCTGGGAATATGTCCTATATTGCTTACCATATGCTTTTTATAAAGTCATTAATTTTCTTTTTAAAATTCCTATATGGAATTTTTGTATTATTTTTATCATAACATACAAGGAAAACACAAAGAACATATTGGCTAAAACACTGATATAACGAAAGGCATGGTAGCAAAAATTACAAAATAAAATTATTAATATAATACTTCATTTCAGATTTTTAAATTATGCCAGATTTTTTTATATGTCTTTACATTCAGATTAAAAGGTACCTGAACAATGGCCGAAACTTTGTGAGTATAATAACTAATATGAATACCCTAATCCAAATGTAAAGATCTATAATAAAACCTTAACATCTGCTGAGATTTAGGCTTCAATATTAGATCTATTTATGGCTATGGTTCTTAAAAAAACCCACACAACCAAAAATTTCTTCTTCCATTCACCTACCGCTCGAGGTTGCAACAAAGCTGGTAAGAAATAGCCAACAAAATATGGTCGCCGGAAGATACTGAAAAATAAGAATTTGGAAAATGTAATTAAAATAATTTTTCAAAAAGGAAAAGATTATCAAAGTTTACACATTTATTATGAATTCTGAAAAACAAATTTGTACAACATTTAATTATCTGGATGCTTTTAAATACTTAATAAAAATTTAGGAAGGTATCATATTACACACACAAAAAAAAAAAGATCAACAAATTTCACAAATCTGTAAAAGTGCTCAATATCAGAGATAGAGCGCATATAAATATAGAAGTTGACACTGAAGTCAACACTAAGTGTTTCATGTTTATTCCATGCTTGAATGTAAACATGAAGCATAAAACAGATTTTCACCACTTAGTGTTGACCTCTGTCAAATGTAAGTGATTGTTTTACTCTGAAGTTATATAATTTTTATTGAGCCACAAATACTCACGTTGCTTCCATGACACTAGCAGGAATTTTTCCAGATGATGCATAAGATGCAACTGCCTTGGCTACATCTTCAGCAGCTTCTTTGGTTTTCTACAAATGAGGAATTCAAAAGACTCGTCAATGCATTCATGTTTGTAAAATAATTTTCAAAATCATTATTTACAAGATGTAATAACTTTATTGTGTGAGTAATGGCTGTATTAATTCATGACCACTGACAACACTTAAATTTTCAATGCAGTTCTACAGTGTCATTTCTATAGTAAAACCTTTAGCAATGCATTTACTTATATATATATATATAAGGGCAGATCAACAAGTCTGTACTTTGTCACAGTTAACTGGATTTTGATCTGAAAATTTTAATGTATAATGTCATTGATCTTTGAAGAAATGTTTGGTTAAGTGCATTAACAAGGAAGAAAATCATGCTGAGAAATAAATTTGTTGTCAAAATGAATGCTTCTTTTCATCATTGGTCTGTTAACTTACTGATATACCTAGCTACATTGGCCCCTTTCTACCAGTAATATCTATATGAATTCCCAACCACTAAAGGTTTTCTTTGTTCATAATGCATTTCTATAGGAAATCTATTTACAATGCATTTCTGCAGTAAAACATTAGCAATGCATTTACATCATACATACATAAAAACACTGTTCTATCAGCAATATTTATTTAACTTCCCAGTTGTAATCCATTTCATGCTGATATGTATAGGCTGGACCAAAAGTCTTGACACCCCTACATAATATAATTTTCTATTTCAGATGGCTAATACAAAAAATGATGGATGTTCATACAAACCTTCTCGATATATGACAGCATGAATGAAATTGAATAAACTGAATCCAGTATATGTGCTTTGTATTACTTGTTCTATTGTTCTCATTACTTTTTGGTATGGGTGACAAGACTTTCAGACCACGCTGTACATTAAGTACCAAATATTACTCAATTTTAGGTCAATATTGTTTTTTTACAGCTTATCAACCTTTTGCAGCTTATTTAAAGCCAGAAAATATTTTTAGATTGTAAATCTTTTGGGAGAATGACTTTGATGATCCAAGTCCTACTAATTAACCCATAGCTTGTGGGGGAAGAAGTAGATTCATACTTTTCTCAAGGATATTTGAATACTGACTGAAATTGAAGCTCTGCTCTTTAATTTCCAATTTCAAACTGTTATCCATTACACCACCCACACATCCAAGTTTGCAGCATCCCCATGTGGTCATCCATCTCAGTAGTGACCAGGCTCAAGCTTACACATTTCACTGATCGTATGAGAACCAATGTTTCAATATGAAAGGTAAAGAATTATGAAAGTCAGTGTTTTTTTTTTTTTTTCTTCTTTACCCTCAGAAATCTTGTTAAAATTTTTTTTAAGTGATTCACTCCAAGCAAGGTGGGAAGCCACTAGCACACAAGGGTTACAGAGAATTGGAGCAAGTCCAAAAAGGAGTGATAGAAGAAAGGATGAAGAGAAGGATAGGGGATAGATCAAGGCATTTGGAGATGTCGATTAACATTACATTTGAATAGCTGGAGATTATAGCTATCAGGGAAACGGGAAGAGGGGAGGGAGTTCCACAGGTGAGAGGTGCGAGACATGAAGCTATTGGAGTAGAAGAGATGGCTACATTTAGCAGTTTTGGCAGTGAAAGGGTGTGAGCGAGATGCCAGCCTAGTAGAATGCTTAAATTCATGAAGTCTGGGAACCATCGAAAGCAGCTCATCGAAGCAGTTACCATGAAAGTATTTGTAAAAAAGACAGAGGGAGGCGACAGCACGTCTGTGAGAGAGGGACTGCAGACGAGATGCCAGATCAGGGCCAATTACATTGCATATCCATCTCTGGATCTTATCAAGAACCTTGAGACAAACAGAAGGGGCACTGGACCATATATGGCAGCAATACTCCATGCAAAGGTGAAAGGTTGATTTGTAGATTTGAAGCATTGACTCCATCGAGAAAAATTTCCTGGCACAGCACATCAGTGAAAATTAATAAAATCTGAAACATTCATATATAAATACAATTGCTTTTTTGTTTTATTTTTACTCTGCTGCTAGAATTTGATGCATCTCCAGAAAGATGGATCAATATGCTTACAGACTAACAGTTCAAAGCCGAATTCTGAACTGGCATTTTCAGAATAATATTCACTGTATGTGCTTACTGAACAAAAATGCTGTAATGACTGTTTTTAATGGGTTATCAACCTTTTGACAGCTATTTAAAACCAGAAAATATTTTTTACATTGTAAGAATTTTTTTGGAGGTTATGATGATTTTACTGATCCAAGTCCTACTATTTAACCCATAGATGGAGAGAGAAGAGGTAAATTCATACTTTTCCTAATGGTATTTGTTTGTAAGTGAATATAACAAACCCAACTGCAATTGAGATTGCTCTCTGATGTGATGTTGTAAGTGCACTGACAAGGTAAATTGTTGAAAAATAAGTATTTGTCATTCATAAGTGCTTAATCCTTTAAGCTACAAACTAATTGATATACCTCTGCAGGTGCATAGGGATGTGCAGGTAGCATAACAGTTATCAGTGACAAAAGTGTAATTAGTAAGGAGATTCCAAGTTCTGGTCCAGTCAGTTGCATTCACTTTTGCACTAATACCTTTGGGAAAGGCATGAATTTAACTCATCTCACTTTTCACCAGCTATGGGTTAAATAACAAAGACTTAGCTCTCTAGCCTTGGGTGGCAACCAGTTTAAGAGAAAACAAAAACTTTTAATTCAAAACTCCACTATCTTTCCCAAAGAGTCATAACAATTCACAGATAAAGGAAATGAAACTGTGAGGGGCCATAATAGCCAAATCGAGAATAAAAATGCATTTAAAAAAAAAAAAAAAAAAATATATATACAGTGAGCCCCCACCTATTTGCATTTCAGCATTTCTGGTTTCATACATTCGTAGATTTTTCTTTAGAACATATGTACTTGTTGTTCACAGAAAGCCCCGAATATTCACGTGTTTTTCTGAAGTACATATGTACAAATTATTCGCTGAGAACTCCCTTGATTTGCACATTTTTTTTTGATAGAACATATTTAAAATATTCTTGTAATATTTTCCTGTTATTTAAGCGACTTAAAACATAACAGTCCATTTTTATGGTAAAAATTGGCAGAATTGTACATCTTCATTGTAAAAAACAAACGAAAAAAATGAAATAAATAAAATTCTTAAATAAATTAGAAATGAAATAAATAAAACAATGCGTAATAATTATAAAATAATTACTCAAATAATGCGTAATAACTATAAAATAATTACTCAAATAATGAGTAATAACTATAAAATAATTACTCAAATAATGAGTAATAACTATAAAATAATTACTCAAATAATGAGTAATAACTATAAAATAATTACTCAAATAATGAGTAATAACTATAAAATAATTACTCAAATAATGAGTAATAACTATAAAATAACACTTAAACAATGAGTAATAATTATGTTATTGAGCAATAATTAAGAAAAATTAAAAACTGAAATTTTACAGTACTGATAATTTGCTATTAGTCACCAGCTTTATTTCATATCCAAGAATTTAATTTCTTCTTTGTTGATTGCTTCCTTTATGCTGATGGTGTTGATGACTAAATTCACCACCAATGTTTAGTCAGAAGCTTCCAGCTCCACCAAAAACTGCTCCTGTCATCCATTCCCTATCGCCATTTGGCTTTGCAAGAGTTGGTTGGAGGTGAAAGAAAATCAGAATAGAAGAAAGTGATGATGGCGTGATTTTGTTTAAGGTGGACCTAAACTTACCAGAAAGTGACCCCACACACTCAATTTCATGACCTTCATCTGTGGCAAATATGGAATGAGACATGCAGAAACCAGTTATGGAACTGCAACATTATTTCAAGTGGCACCTACTGTAGTATGTCCGTCATGTGTAGCCCTCTTCATCCACTGGTTCAACTGTCAAGATTTGTTGCCATTAGTAGGTGATCAGTAATCAAAGTTCCTTTAATTTTGGAATAAAGGAGAATCTCTTAAAAATGACTGGTACTTCCTTATGGGACTAAAATTGTTCTAACATCTAAAACGACTGTCTGGATGTATGCAATTTATATGGCAGCCCAGTTTTGAAAAAATAATTTTTTTTTAATAACAGCAGACAAATACACAAATGTAAAAGATTAAAAGAAGAAATAAGCTTACTAACCATCTTTTTATCCATTATTTCATCTGTACTATCTAAAAATACTGTTGACATTGAGAGCGGTTGCTGAAAATAAACAATAAAAAGGACTATATGAAGTTATCAGAACATAATTGAGAAAAAAAAAAATTTTGAGAAGACATCACACAAGTCAGCCACCCGCTCTAGATTTGGTTCCTTGTATCTTACTTTCCCAAAGCTAAAATTACTTTTGAAAGCGAGTCAGAAAATAACAATATATATTCACTTTGACAAATAAAAAGACAATTTATATCATAGGATGATCTAAAAGAAATTTGTAATTAAAAAAAAAAAACTCAAAAAGACTGGTGGTAAGGGTGGTGGTTATAAAAGAAGAATCAAGACAGAGTGTGGCCCTTTTTTTTTTTTTTTTTTTTTCATTTATGCGGGCATGTTGTCAACGGAAAGAGAAAAGTGAAGAAGAAATTCAGAGAAAGAAAGGCTAGCGGACAGAGACAGACAATAAGATGAAAATTTGTTACATTCTCACTGAGTCCTATAGTCCAAGCTTTACTTCTCCACCCCAAAATTACACAACGAACTAAATAATTGAATAATATTGACCAGAGAATGACACTGAATAATCAAATAGAGACGTAACATTAAAAGAAAATGTCTCATTTATTAATATATTTCAAATGTATAAACTGCCATCCTTGGTGATGTTATCAAGACTTCAAAACCAAAAAAAGTAATTGCCAGAAGATGAATTTAAAAACTTGAACTTTACTCCCACTGATGCATCAAATGTAACGATCTCTCACCTGACTGCATCAAATGAAAAAAAAAAAAAAAAAAAAAAAAATTCAGGATTCAGTTAATTGTAAAACTTCCATGGACAACACAAACAAAAAAAAAAATTCATTAATTTCAAGTTTTATATGTACAAGTTCCATCTAGAAAATATACAACCATTTTGCATATCTGAAGAATGGGTTCTGTAGTCTTTACCATATATGTGTGAACACCCTCCAATGGGATTACTCGGTCTACAGAGAGATAATAATGTGTACTGTATGACTATTACAATAACATTATGAAGTTTATTCTTGGTAAGACATCACACAAGTAAGCCCCCCCCCCCGCCTCTAGACTTGGGTCCTTGTAACTTACAGCTTTTCCAAAGCGAAAATTACTTTTAAAAGTGAATACTCTCCAATGGGGTTACTCAATCAGTGGTGAGGTTTCATGATACAACTTGTGCACTAAATTCACAACAACATCTCATACATTTTCTTTTTTTGTAAAGACAACACATTACACATCAGCCCCTACTCCCTAGTTCAGATTTTGCCCCATAAGACATTGGTTTGTTTGATTTTGTTTTACAGCATATCAACTTCAATGGTTTATTTAATGCTGACAAGATTTTTAGGATATGTTTGAGTGAACAGAATATGTATTCTTTGCAGTGTGTAGATCAGGTTTCATTGACATATTTTTGAAAAGAGTTTTTGCCAAGAGTCAAATGTATTGCTGGTAATAATTTTTTTTTCAAAATGTATTACTCGTATTTTTTTTTCTTCACAAATGTATTGCTCGTATTTTTTTTTCTTCACAAATGTATTGCTCGTATTTTTTTTTCTTCACAAATGTATTGCTCGTATTTTTTTTTCTTCACAAATGTATTGCTCGTATTTTTTCTTCACAAATGTATTGCTCGTATTTTTTTTTCTTCACAAATGTATTGCTCGTATTTTTTTTTCTTCACAAATGTATTGCACGTATTTTTTTTTCTTCACAAATGTATTGCTCGTATTTTTTTTTCTTCACAAATGTATTGCTCGTATTTTTTTCTTCACAAATGTATTGCTTTCGTATTTTTTTTCTTCACAAATGTATTGCTAAGTATTTTTTTTCTTCACAAATGTATTGCTCGTATTTTTTTTCTTCACAAATGTATTGCTCGTATTTTTTTTCTTCACAAATGTATTGCTCGTATTTTTTTTTCTTCACAAATGTATTGCTCGTATTTTTTTTCTTCACAAATGTATTGCTCGTATTTTTTTTCTTCACAAATGTATTGCTCGTATTTTTTTTCTTCACAAATGTATTGCTGGTAATTTTACTATAAAAATCTATTTTCATACTTTCATAGAGTTTTGACCCCAGTTTGAGGGTTCACTATTTGCCCATAGCTAGGACCCTAACAGGTCCTGGACATCATGAATTTAAGTGTAATACCAGATTGATAACTAGGTTTCATCATTTTACCATTGAAATTGCTAAATGTAAACATAACACCTTAACACCTCAACAATCCTTCACCAAACTGCTATCAACAAACACTATTGTTTGCACTCTGTCACCCTTTTGCCTTTCATGAATTTAAGTGTAATACCAGATTGATAACTAGGTTTCATCATTTTACCATTGAAATTGCTAAATGTAAACATAACACCTTAACACCTCAACAATCCTTCACCAAACTGCTATCAACAAACACTATTGTTTGCACTCTGTCACCCTTTTGCCTTTCCTATCTTTTCTTTACCCCTCTTAAAATATTTTTCTTTACCCCTCTTTCCTTTCCTTTTTTTTTTTTTTTTTTTTTTCAAACAAATAGAAAGAAGGAAGTGACGTTCCACAAGCAGCCTGCTTACAAACAGAATTGCTCATAACCATTTTTGGTTATCACCAGTTGAGGTATAACTAAATGCACCGAAACAAGGTTGCATCTTTGTAGTAAGTGAATTGTTTTTATCTATATGAAAAAATTATAATAAATAATTATTGCTCTACTATCAGTATTGAACCCTCTTTTGAATTAATGCTGTGAACATTAGAATTTATATATCAGGTGCCCAAAAGGTTTTTGCAGATTTTTGTTAACTTATTTCTGGCCCAGCTGTTTAATTACTAACAAGCATAAGTATACAGGAAGCAACTTGTATTGACAAGTACATTCTTGAATGATTCAGTTATTATTTTATTATATAACTAATATAATTTTATTTCCCATTTCAGAGCACTCAAAATGATTGATGAAAAATTTGTAATTCATGCTTGTCTGTTGTATGAGTTTGTGGACATGAAAATGAGACTAACATCAGTTCTCGGCATAAGAGAGTTCGTTTGTGTCTGGCGTGTAGGGCAGTAATTGGTCCGAAGAAAGAAACACCACCATTACGGTGAGTCGAACTTATGGAAATGCAATCTCGTAGCCGCGAGGATTGGCGAGAGGAGAACTTGGGCGTATGCAAATTGGTTGGTGTTCGCTGGGATAAATGTGACGGCGGGAGACCACTCGAGAGAGTTGTGTGTAGCGAACTACGGCGGTGTTGGAACATTTGAGTGCAAAGATCTGTGGAGTTGTTGTAGCTGGATTGTAGCTGTCGTTAAGCTGAGGAGTGTTTCGGAAGTAGGCGGTGCCGGGCCAACCCGTTCCGTCCTATTGTTTGGACCTAATTTTCTGAGACCAACCTGTTCCCTTCCTATTGTTTGGACCGAATTTTGCGACAAGCTATTTCGGCATAATGGGGGACAGATTCGACCTGAAATTGATTCGGAGTTCGATGGCTCAACCCCGGTACTTGACTGGGTGGAAAAAGTGGAATTACATTGCCTCTTGTCTGGCATAAAGAACATTGAACATGTTATTCCTCTGCGGCTGTCTGGGCGGGGCTTTAAGCTGTGTATCAACAGCTCAGTGCTGAGGAAAAACAAGATTATAAGAGAATCAAGGCAGCACTATACAAAGGCGTTTGCTATCGACCCTGCCACTGCATGGGAACAATTGAGGCAAGAACTTTACTTCCAGGCGAAACTGTCAACGTGTATCTGGCCGAGCTGCCAAAGTTAGCGGTGTTGTTCGGTGGACTGCCCGGCGTGCCTTGGCATACAAATTTCTGGCAGGGGCTCCCAACCGGAGCAAAGCAACTCCTGCAGTGAGCTTAAGCATAGACTCGTTGTCCCTTAATGACCTGGTAGGCCAGGCCAGGACCGTGATGAAAGACAGCTCTGAGGTGAGAGAACCGGTGGTCGCCGCTGCACAGTCCACGCCCGAGTGATGATAGACCGTTTCAGGGGCCCAGCCCCGTAGTGGGTCGTATGTTATAGGTGCGGTGGCCAGGGCCACATTGGCGAGGAACTGCAGGAGGCGACTGACAGCTGTTCGCTGCTACCGGTGTAATGAGACTGGACATTTGGTCCGGGATTGTTGGGAAAGCGGGGCGGGGACAAGGTGCCAGCGTCGACCTCTTCCCCAAGCAGAAATTAGATGAGGCGCTTCCGATCATCCAGGTCTACATTAATGAGACATTGTGCTCAGCACTTCTCGATTCCGGTTGCTCCACCACCATAGTCGCGGGACCTCTGCCGCACTTGGAAGAAGAAGAGTGTCAGGGTGACCACCATCAGTGGAGAAACACGAAGGTGTTGCGGGGGTAAGGCTGGGTGAACATCCGTACAAGAACTGGAAACTCGCCAAGCCGAGGCGCTAGTAGTGTTAGAAAAACCACTGAGTTTTGACCTGCTTCTAGGCTATGATGCCATCAGAGCTTTAGGTGGTGTTCACATAACGCAGACGGGGGCAGTACAGTTTCAGGAGAGGGCCCCAGTGTGTGCAGCTCTGAGGATCGACCAGCCGGACTTTAGTGTCGAATTTGACCAGCAGCAGAAGACTTGGACCACCTCATGGAGGTGGTCGAAAACCAGAACCAGCCAAACTGCGGAATGAGGTAGCCGAGTACCATGTGCCCGATCAAATAAGGCCTGCATCGAAGGGGAGCTCCGTGAATGGATCAAGGATGGCTGGTTGATTCCTTACCCCTATGAGAAACTTGGACCTCCCAAAGGCCTGATCCGCTGATGGCGGTTGCTCAGCACAACAAAGCAAAAGGTGAGGCCAGTGATGGACTACCGCGAACTAAACGCGCATGTTGATGCGTTCACGGCAGATGCTGGCGTTTGTGCCAGCAAGCTACGAGAATGGCGCCAGCAGGGTTCCAATGTGTCCCTGCTGGATCTAAGAAAAAAGCGTACCTGCAGGTCGGGTCAGCGAGGCGATGTGGCCATTTCAGGCGGTGGTGTTTGCCGGCAGGAGGTACTGCCTTACTAGGCTGGGCTTCGGGCTGAACGTGGCACCCCAAATAATGAAGACCATCGTCAACGCTGTGTTGTCACAGGAAGAAACAATAAAGAGGGGACATCGGCGTACCTTGATGATATATATGTGAGCGAAGGCGTTGTGTGTCATCATCCGCGTGAGGTCCAAACTGGCTGAGTTTGGTCTGACATGGGACCCAGAACGTTTGGAGGATGGTGCCCGTGTCTTGGGCCTGAGCGTTCAACAGGAGCGAGAGACCTTAAAATGGGGGCGCGGAACTGCAGTTCCTGAAGTACCCGATGTCTTCCGAGGTGAGCTATATTCTCCCTGTGTGGAAGACTTGTGGGGCATCTACCAGTGTGGATGGACTCGTGTGGCAACAGGCACCATAAAAAAAGAAGGGCAAGCGCAGTCACCAAAGGCTGGGACGATGAAACAACGGACGATCTGTTGGTTCGCATGGTGAAGGAGACCATTGCAAGAGTAAAGCAGGATGACCCGCCAAAGGAGACTGGTGCGTGCAGGGGAGACGAACTGAGCGTGTGGGTGGATGCGAGCTCTCTGGCGATTGGTGTGCTGTTGGAGAAGAATGGGGCTGCGATTGAGGACGCCTGCTGGTTGCGACCGGTGAATGGCGCTGCTCATATCAACCTGGCAGAGCTCGATGCGGTGATAAAAGGCATCAACCTGGCACTCCAGTGGAAAGTTAAGAAATTACACATACACACTGATTCGTTATGTGTGTACCACTGGATATCGGACACACTGACAGGCAAGGCCAGGGTGCGTACCAAAGGCGGCTAGCGAGATGCTGATCAGACGGAGGTTGGAGACCATAAGAAAGCTGGTAACAGAGTACAACCTATCTATGGATGCGGTGCTTGTCACCTCAAACTGCAACCTTGCTGATAGGCTCACTCGTGTGCCACAGAGATGGTATGGCGCCATGAAGAAAGAAACTGAGCCAGTACCGTTACTATGTGCTGCCTCTGTTAAGGCGCGGACAAAATCAGGAGATACACCACAACAGTGGGCACCCGGAGTGAGACGGACATGCTATTTTGTACAGTTGACAAATCCGTCAGTGTCCAAAAGTGAAGTCAGAGCGGTGGTGAAGGAATGCCAAACATGCCAGTCAATCGACCCGCCCCAGCTAAATGGCGGAAGGGTCGGCTGGGGAAGACACGACTTGGGGCCGACTGGGTATGGACATAACCCATTACGGCAGCCAGCATTTCCTCCACACTGATAGATTGCGGACCGGCGAGGGTCCGCCAATCTGGCGCCATTAGTAAGACAGGACTCATCCAGTGTCATCCGAGAATTGGAGTCCATATTTTATGAAAGGGGCCGCCTGAAGAGATCCTTACGGATAACGACCACGGCCTTCTGCAGCGGGGAGTTTAGGCGTTTAAGTGAGCAGTGGGGGGGTCCGGCTCAGACACCGCTGTGCATATGTGCGAGTTAAGCGGCATAGCAGAAGCGGTGCCACAGCGTGAAAGAGGATCGCGGCCAGGAAGCAGTGCGATAGCGGAGGCGGTCTATAGATACAATGCAACACCAAAAAGGATGCCATGACTGCTGCAAGCGCACCCGCCAATGCAATCCATCGCTACCAAGTGCGCCCAACAAGGGCATTGGCGTGTCTGCCTGATCGGGCGGGAAACACGAGGGCCGTGATAAGGTAGGGGACACCGTCTGGGTGAAGCCTCCCAATAGCGGTGCACCACCAGCTTTCAAAGAAAACGAATCACCGGCATCGTCAATGAGCAAGCAGTGCTGGTCGATGGTACTCCACGCCATGTGAAGGATGTCCGCCCGCCCTAAATCTGAACCAGTTGACTAGTAGCAGCAGTGGTGAATCATCCAGCGATGAACTGTGGATCCGACCTATGCCCCTCGGGCCTGATGGTTTGACTGCGGATCGGCGCTGATGCTGATAGTTCTGACGCCCCTTCTGAGAGTCCCGATGAAGAAGTCCAGACAATCCCTCTTCGTAGGAGTGCCCGCAACAAACGACCGCGTCCGCAATGCCACATTTGTGATCTTGAGACCAGGGTGGAGTGTGGACATGAAAATGAGACTAACCTCAGTTCTCGGCATAGAGAGTTCGTTTGTGTCTGGCGTGTGGGGCAGTAATTGGTCGAAGAAAGAAACACCACCATTACGGTGAGTCGAACTTATGGAAATGCGATCTGTAGCGAGGATTGGCGAGAGGAGAACTTGGGCGTATGCAAATTGGTTGGTGTTAAGCTGGGATAAATGTGGCGGCGGGGAGACCACTTTCGAGAGTTATGTGGCGAACTACGGCGGTGTTGGAACATTTGAGTGCAAAGATCTGTGGAGTTATTTGTAGCTGGATTGTAGCTGTCGTTAAGCTGAGGGTGTTTCGGAAGTAGGCGGTGCGGGCCAACCCGTTCCGTCCTATTGTTTGGACCTAATTTTACGAGACCAACCTGTTCCCTTCCTATTGTTTGGACCGAATTTTGCGACAGAGTTTAAATTTGGTATAAGTGCATTATGTACTTCTCGTAAGCTATGTACAGCCTTTGGCAAATGTGCAGTAAGTTAATGAACTGCACGTAATTGGTTTCAGAGTTTCGTTGTGGCAATGAAACCCTTGAAGATGAACCTCGAGCTGGACGACCAATATCCCTAAACAATGTGAGTTTAAAGGCAACCATAGAATCAGATTCAGGTTTAACATGTCATGAACTAGCTTCAAGGTTTAATGTAAGCGATGAAACTATAAGACTGCATGTGCACTAGCTGGGGAAAAATAGAAATTAAGCTTAATGTATACCATGTGACTTAACACCAGCAAACAAACTGCAGAGGCTTATCATATGCTCTTCTCATCACAGTAAACTAACAAAAGAACCGATTTTTGATCAAATTATGACATATGATGAAAGTGGATCATGTATACAAACTCTAAGAGGAAACATCATTAGTTATCACCAGGTGATCCTTTGTTACAAACTTCAAAGGCATCACTATTCCAACAAAACTTTTGCTGTGTTTGGTGAACATGTCAAGGAATAATTCACTATGAGTTTTTAAAAACAGGTGAAACCATTACTGCTAACAAATATTGCAAGCATCTTGAACGAGTTCAGGAAAATTTATTGAAGAAACAGCCTGCATTAGTAAACAAAAAACAAGTTTTGTTTCTCCAGGACAATGCTCGCCCACATGTTGCAAAAATGATTCTTGCCAAGATAGCAGAGCTAAAGTGGGAGATTATGCTTCATCTACCGTATTCACCAGACCTCTCACCAACAGATTTTCACTTGTTTTTAGGCTTAGATAATCATATGAAGAACAGGGCATTTAATAATGACGGGACTTGAAAACAAAAGTGCATAACTTTTTCCAAAGTAAAACTAAGGACTTTTACAAAAATGGCATTACTCAGTTGTTGAACCATTGGGGGAAGGTCATAGAATGTGACGGTTCATATTTTGATGAATAAATATATTTAAGACTTTAAATATACATCTTTAATTTCCTTTATAAAAATCTGCAGAAATTTTTTTGGGCACCTGATATTATTTCATTCTCATTATATTTGGATATATATATATTTTTTCCAGAAAAAAAACTATTCAAATTTAAAAAAAAGGTCAGTTGTTATTTGACAAAACATTTCTCCCAAATTTTCTCCCCACGAACAAAACAACCACCAAAATAAAAATGTCATCTTACCTTGAGATCTAAAAGTCGAGTTTTGGCCAAAGTAGAATATTCAGCAAAAATTGGTTTACAGAGTGCTGGGATGAAAGGAGGCTTTATTAAATGAGCCTAGAATGGAAAACAAGACAATATAAAAAAAAAGGTTTCAGCAATTTAAGATATTCATGATTGATCAATTCATTTTCTACACCTTATCAACCCTTTGCAGATTATTTAAAGCCAGAAAATATTCTTAGATTGTAAGAATTTTTTTTTTTTTTGTTTAATGGTATATCAACTCATTATGGGTCATTTAATGTCGGAATTTAATTTACTTGGGAGCTTTCAAGTAATAAAAATATGATACATCTTTTTCTGCTTTCACAACTGAATATATGGTAGTTGATACTCAGCTTTTTTGCATATACATGTTTGTGTGGACATAATGACTAGAGGCAGTGATATGTGGGTTTATGTTGCAGTTTTGTTGAAGCTGTATTTTGGAATAGAGTTTGATTTCTTTAAGATATTATAGGATATTATATGGATTAATGTCATAAAAGAGTTCTTTCATGTTGGTTAATTAATTTTGTTTAGCAGCATATCAATCTCTTTAGGTTACTTAATGCAGAAATCTAAATATTTTTAACACAATTGTATACCTTCAATAGATTTTTAACACAATTGTATACCTTCAATAGATTTTTAACACAATTGTATACCTTCAATAGATTTTTAACACAATTGTATACCTTCAATAGATTTTTAACACAATTGTATACCTTCAATAACACAATTGTATACCTTCAATAGATTTTAACACAATTGTATACCTTCAATAGATTTTTAACACAATTGTATACCTTCAACTAAATAGATTTTTAACACAATTGTATACCTTCAACTAAATAGATTTTTAACACAATTGTATACCTTCAACTAAATAGATTTTTTTTATACCTTCAACAATTGTATACCTTCAACTAAATAGATTTTTAACACAATTGTATACCTTCAACTAAATAGATTTTTAACACAATTGTATACCTTCAACTAAATAGATTTTTAACACAATTGTATACCTTCAACTAAATAGATTTTTAACACAATTGTATACCTTCAACTAAATAGATTTTTAACACAATTGTATACCTTCAACTGCAGATAAAATGTATTGTTGGTAATTCTACTATAAAAATGTATTGCTGGTATTTTTACACTTTTATAGTGTTTTGTCTTTGTTTAGGGGTTAAATGTTTGCTCATAGCTGAGACCCTAACAGGTGCTACCACCCTGGGAACAACAGCAATTAAGAGGTGGTTGTATGCTCTTCAAAACCTCCAATCAGCGGCCTTGTTGCCGGATTTAGTTTACTGTCACACCCAGGACTGATTGTACAGGAAATAGTGTTTCAATGTGATGTGTCTGTAAGCTAAGCTATTCATATTTTATGACACAATAAAATAACTGCACAAGTATTTTAATTATATTATTAGACATTGATCAAAACCTGACCAAAGAAATGAACTCATTATTTCAAAGAAAGCAAGTAATCTATATTTTATATACTCTCCATAAGATCTGTCCTTTGTCATTTAAAGAAATGCTTGTGCCCTTATTACCTCTCCCCAGATCATGTTCTGCCATCTATTTACACACATTCAATAGCGAGGTTACTCAGTTTTCCTTCTTGCCTTCCATACGTCCTGTGAGTGTCAAATTCTATAAGCCCTCTTTCCTAATTATGCATCTCAGAAATTTCAACTATCTCTTTCTGGTTCTATGTATAATTTTCCTTAAAACTTCCTCATTGTACACATGTTTTGTCCATGGTCCTCTCAACATTCTTCTATAGCACCACATCTGTCCCTTCAAGTCTCCTCTTCATAAACTGTCCAGGATTCTGTCATATTGGAGATCAGCTATTACATAGTAGTTCAACATTCTTTTCTTTGTTTCTAACACAAGTTTCCTATTTCTTAATACTTTGCTTAGTTTCTGAAAGATATTTTTCACTATTCCTCCGCACCTTTTGGATTTCCCTCTCAGATTTTTTGTTGTCTATTATGACACTATATATACTGAATAAGTTCAAATAAATGAAAAACTAAATGAATTTAATATTTAGTAAACAAAACTGAAGAGCAGTCCTGATATCAAAATCACGTTGTTATGACCCAAAACTCAAAATCACAGTTTAATTCTCTGAAGCTTTAAGAAATCTAAAAATAAAACTTATTTTTCTAAAATGAATTTATTACTCACCTTTAGGTGAATAGCGGATTCATAGGGAACAAGATCAGATAAAAATTTCATGAGAAAAGTGAAAGATTTTCTTGTGTTGGCCAATGACTTAGTTGGACTGCCAAAAGTGAACTGAAATATTACAAAACAAAAACACATAAAAACAACTTAATCTCAGCATCCTTTGCAAATGGAGACATGATTTTGAATATGAAGAAAGAATATCATTTAATGTACAAGATAATCTGTAGTAATTAAAATGACACCTCAATTATACACAAGATACAACTGCGCCTTAATGAAATGCTTCAAGAAGAAAATTGAAAAATTTTAAAACATTGTCCTGGATTAACTTTTTTTGTATATAGATGCAGATTTAGATTTTTTTTTTTTTTTTGCTGCTTATATGACCTCTCTCTCTCACATGTATTTTATGATCCATGAAAGATTTTAATAATATGACCTCTCTCTCTCACATGTATTTTATGATCCATGAAAGATTTTTAATAATTTTATGATCCTCTCTCTCACATGTATTTTATGATCCATGAAAGATTTTAATAATATGACCTCTCTCACATGTATTTTATGATCCATGAAAGATTTTAATAATATGACCTCTCTCACATGTATTTTATGATCCATGAAAGATTTTAATAATATGACCTCTCTCTCTCTCACACACACACACACACATGTATTTTATGAACCATGAAAGATGAAGCAATAAAAAGTGTCAGCCAAGGCATATCATTATCCTTTGAATTTTCACTTCCTACTACAACCCCTTACATTCATATCACACATCTCATTTCATAATAATCTACCTTAAACTATCTTGAGCCTTGTATTAGGTGACCTTTTAAAAAAAAAAAAAAAAAAAAAAAAAAAAATGCTGGGATGCGATAAGAGAGATAAAAATTAGGAATAGTATTACATGTCAACAGGAAAACCCCTCTATGGTCATTTGTCAAGTAAAATTCAGTCAGTGATACATGCTTAAGTGATCATGTATTTTTAGATACATGACTGATGAGGCAGATTTTTTTTTCATGCAGTAGGCTGCCATTTCTTTCTGTGGTAGACCAATTGCCATCCAAAGGTATAGAACCCAGTCTGTGATGCTATTTATCCATAGCTGGAGGGAGAAGAAGAGGATTCATACCTTTCCCAAGGGTATTAACACATAAGTGAATGTAATGGATTCGATTGGAATTCGAACCCAGCTCTCCAATTCCTCAATCCGCTATCCATTACTCCACCGTGCCTCCATGTAAAATTACATATGTTAATCAATTATAAAGTCTATAAGACTGTGACATAGAAAATATCAAGAAATGAATACCGACACCCCACCATTGCCGACCAGGCCCAGACCTTTCACCAATCACTATGAATAGATTTTCCTTTGGGGCGGGGGCCCTATGGCATGAGTGCCTATATGGAATTAAACCCAACTCAGACCTTGTGGAACTCGTAAATACGATTCATGGCTAAAGATGCTGGAAAAATGGTCAGTTTTCTGTACCACACCGGTAAGAACCTGACTCCTCCTTCTATTCTCTACCTTTATAAGAGCCAGATCAGGCTGGAAAATGGAGTACTGCTGCTCAGTCTTCACTTTCCACTCTTGATGTGCGAGTCCAAAAGTGTCTCCACATCCTTTTGGGTGATGAATTATTTTTCACCCTACGACCCCATCTCTGTTCTATCGCTATTTCCATGGAGACAGTTCAGATGAACTACACACCATACTTCCACTCATCCTAACCTTCACAGCTAAGACCCACCCTGCCGCACACATTTTAGCAAACCACCCTTATTCTCTTCAGTGAGATTTAAGTTTTACTTGAGCAGCTTCTTCCCACAAACCATTGTCTTGTGGAACCAACTCCCAAGAAGATGCTTCCATGATCACCATAATCTTAACCTGTTCAAGTCTAGAGTTAGCCATTATCTTCCACACATATTTGCATAAGCTGTACGTCTTACTTTGTAACCCTCTAGCTTGAGTGGCCATCGGGCCTTGAGATATACACGTGATAGAACAATCAGGTGAAATAAATTAAAGTTGTGATTAGTATTTTTATTAATCTATTGAAAAGTTAGGGATATCAATTTATCATTTATGGAACATCAAAGGGGGAAAAATTATTTGTGCATAATCTCATTTTGAGGTATAACTGAGACAATTGGCGAGATATGAAAAAAAAAAAAAAAAAAAAAAAAACATTTTTAACCCTTCACCCTGCATTAGTTGCCTTGCTGAGTCAGGAGAGTAATTGGAGGAAGCAAAAAAAAAAAAAAAAAAAAAAAAAACATTGCCAATTAGGAATTCTGTGCACTTTAAAAATTTGTGGGGTAACAAAACATCCCATGTAACTAATGCATGGTTAAAATGATAAGACGAGGTATAATTGTTTACCTCAAACCAATCTGGGTAAGTTCCAAAGACATAAGGTCCTTCATAGCAACCTTGGCGAGCAAACAAGAATGCAATTATTGTGCTATCTATTTCAGCAGAGTCTATTCCATATTTCAAGGTGTCATTGATGTAATCTATAAAAAAAAAAAAAAAATTTTAAATTAAAAAGAAAATTTAAAATCATTTTATAATATTCACAAAACATACCACCCCAGTCTTCAAAAATATTTTATTTAAAAACTAAGTTTTGAAACTAAACACAAAAAAAAAACAATCATCTTCATAACCTTCATAAAAATGTTTATATTCTTCTATGTACCGTATCCCTTCAGAACATTGGGAACCATGGCTCTCCACAATTTCCTGTCTTTTGTGGCTCTTAATAAATTTTGTTTTTTGCTTTCTCTATTAAACATTGCTCCACCATCCATTAACATAAGATCGCTAGATAGGTTAAGCATTGTTTTCCTCTCCTTCCTACCTTTGAGGATCAAAATGTTCTTTTTATTTCCATTGTCTCTAGAACATTATTATTGCTCAACTGTTCTGTCCATTGTATTCTCAGAATCCTCCTGTAGAACCACATTTCTGTTGCTTCAAGTCTACTTCATTTGTGAGGAGTTTGTCCCACATTCACTGCTATATAGGAGGAATGATATTACATAATAGTTCAGTACTCTTTTCTTTGTTTCTGTTGCTTCAAGTCTCTTCATATGTGAGATTGTCCAGTATTCACAGCCATATAGGAGTAATGATATAACATATAGGAGGACTGATATTATATAACCATTCAGTACTCTTTTCTTTGTTTTTGTTGCTTCAAGTCTCTTCTTCATATGTGAGAAGATTGTCCTTGTATTCACAGCCATATAGGAGGACTCTTTGTTTCTGTTGCTTTAAATCTCTTCTTCATATGTGAGGAGATTGTCCAGTATTCACAGCCATTTTCTAACAAAATGTTACTGTTTCTTAATATAAGGTAACCAAAAAAAGTTCTTGCCATTTTTTGCATCATATGGGAAGAAGGGATCACTCATATGCAAATGAGTGTATCATGTACTGTAGGAGTAGAAATGGGAGCATTGCTCTTGACCAATACAGGTGTGTGGTGCAGACATATTAGTCATAGCTCAAGCAGTGGCAAGGAAACATGGCGGTGTCGAAGCAGCTCATTCAGGGTTTTTTACTTTATGACTTTAAGGTGAGTTTGTCCACGGCCGCATTAAATCACAGAATACATCAAGCTCTTGGGGATAATGCTGTGAGTGAACACACCGCCAGATATTTGTTCCAGGAGTTCAGGTTGGGAGATCTGTCCCTTTCTGATGAAGCCATCAGGTGCAGTATGAGTGGCTACCAATGGGCCAAAGCATCACCACTAATCTGCATGTGCAGCTGTTGGAACATATGCAACAAGCACTGAAACGGAAGGAACCAGCATTGGTTAATAGCAAGAGTGTACTCTTCCTCCATGTCAATGCCATGTGGCACAGTTGCCCAGGGATACCGTAGACTGACTTTGTTGGGAGAAACTGTACCATCCATCTTACTCCCTGGATTTATGACAAGCACTCACACTTCTTTGCATCCAAGACATCTGATTTTTATTGCCAGGACATTACACAGCTGGATTGATGTTGGCAAAAAAGTTCTGATGAAGATTTTGAAGACTAACAATATGTTAAATTTGCTGTATAGTTTTTTATTCTAATAAATCAAAAACAGCAAGAACTTTTTTGATTGCCTTATACTTTGCTTAGCTTTTGGAAGGCTTCTTTACTATAATAAGTGGATCACATGTTTGTAAAATACTCTTCAATGTGTTTTCTTACTACAATGGTATAAAAATTTTGCAAATATAAAAAATATGCAAGATATTTATCGCAATAAAAATCAGCAACAGAATAACACGACAGAAAACTGAGTAGTGATGTTTTGTTCTAAAAAGGAACTTCTTCAGACAACAGGATATACTTCATAATATACATTAGCAATACTTAAATATTTTGTAGGGAGTAAAAAATTTTATTACAGCCATTAGAACATATATTTTAGCACAAAGAGAACAGAAAAAAAAGATTTTTTTTTATGATAGAAAACCTTCAATATTTCAATTTTTAATTTAAAAAAAAATTTTTTTTTACATTTTTTTACATTGTACAGACTGTTGTCCTCATCTTTATTGTCATGTTCACAGTGTTTCAGTTGTTATACACTCTGGACTTCTTCAGGTGACTGGAATTTCAAACTGAACCCTTTATTTCATCTATCAGGATAGATTGTTCTAGTTCCACTAGAAGAAACATGGCCCAGTGGATAAAATCATTGGTTGGATCCAGTGACTTGACCCAAAGAGTTGTGAGTTCAATACCTGGCTACAGCAGTGGTGAACAAAAACTTGGAGAATTAAGTTAAAAAGTAGATAACCGAGACATCTGGAAGAGGCATGGCATATGAAACTAGAACAATCTACCCCAGTGAATGAAATAAAGCGTTCAGTTCAAAATTCCAATCACCTGAAGAACGCCGGAGCATACAATGGCCAAACCATCATGAACATGACAAAGATGAGAACAAGTCTGAACAATGTAAATAATTACAATTCCTCATCTCAGAAATATAGACAAACTTTTCAAGCCACACTAGGTAGAGGTTTTTTTCTGATGTTCACCCAATACAATGCCCAAGAGCCACTCAAGGTAGAGGGTTACTGTGTGGTGTTGTATGAGCATAGGAAAGGGCAAGAAGTTCATGGGGCTATGCAGGAAAGATAATGGTTAACCCTAGACTTGAAGAGGTCTGGATTGTCGTGATTGGGAAAACACAAAAGAATGAACAGACTTTAGAAGAAACCAGAAACCCAATACTAAACAGAGAACAAGGGTTATAAAGTAAGAAGCACAGTTTATGAAGATATATAGGGAAAATAATGGTTAACCCTAGATTTGAACAGGATCAGATTGTAATGCTCATGGGAGTATCCACTTGGGAGTCAATTTCACAATATAATAATTAATGTGAAGAAGCTGTTAGAGTGGAACTTACATCTCATGAGAGTCGTTAACTACAATGTGCATAGCATGACAGGTCTTAGCTGTAAAGGTTAGAATTGGTGGAACGAAGAACACTTTCTATGGAAATAGCAGTAGAGTAGTGACAGACTTGCAATATTTCATCTGTGGGAAAGGGTTTGTAAGATGGAAAACAAGTCATCACCCACAAGACCGTAGATGCTTTTGTACTATGGAGACTGGAGAGCCCCTGCCCATATATTCTGGCTCTTGCAAAGGCAGAGGATAGCATCAGGTATTTACTGGAGTGATACAGAGAACCGACCATTTTCCCAGCATCTTTAGAGAGGGATCATATGTTCAAGTTCCACTTGAGGTCTGGGGTGAGCTTCAGTCTCAATAGGTACTCAAGGGTCAGGGTTTCCTTGGGAGAACACCTGTTCATTACAATAGACAAAAATTCAGGGTCTGCTCAGTGAGGTGTTAAGTGACATTCACTTCAGTAAATAAACAAGCATCCATTCATTTGTCAGTGGCTGTGTTCTGTTAATGTGTTTTCATAAAAGAAAAGTTATACTTACTTTTAAGAAGAGCTGGGGCTTCCCGAAAACAGATAAGGTAAGTTGCAGCAAAAGAAAGTACACATTTCCAGTTAAATTCTTCACTTTCAAGAATGTTCTTTATTATATTTAGTACACAATTTGCATCCAATACGATCAAGAACTGCAGAGGAAAAAATTAAAAAAAAAAAAATCATTTTCTGCTGATTGAATAGATTTTAAAAAGCATGTAGACTTACTTCTATATTTTAACCAACTCCAATAAAATGTTAAAAACCACTTATTGAGAATTCCATAAAAGAACAAAGTTATTCTCAGTTATCTTTGCAGATTTAAAAAGTATTAAATGAAGTTAAAAAAAAAAAAAAAAAAAAAAAAGAGACAACTTGTTTTAATTTTAGACATATCTAAATAAAAATGTTTTTTATCTTTTGCTTTTGAGAAAAACAAGAATCTCTAACTAAAAATAACAAAACTCCCCAAAATTTGATTTCTCACATTGAAAAAAAAAATTATACAGGAAAAAATATCAAAAGCAAAATCATATATTGAATATCATATTGTAATATTGTCATGTCCACTAAAATATCAACTACAATATTTATAAACCAATCACACTCAAGAAAACACTTACATCTTAAAACACACCAATAAAATCATAGATTACAAATCAGAATGTTTGTTGTATTAGTCATCATTATTTCTAGGTAGATACCGACCAAATATCATATGGACGTAGTAGAAGACATACCACGTAACTTCTTAGGGCCAATTAGAAATAAATAAATAATTTAATTCTGGAGCTGATATTGTTCGGAAAAAGTGTATAAAAACATACGAAATCCGTTCCCAAAACAATATACACGTGGCTGCCAGCAAGCTACACACACCTTTCGACGATGACCTTCATGACCTCATGTCAAAAACGACAGTGTTGACAAACTCCAGATCACGGCAACACTGCCAACAGTAAGAAACAATTGATATCTCTCGTATCCGTTTTTACTATGTATCACGCATACACATCTTGACTTTTTCATACAAACACACATATCACAACATTTTATTGTTTCTCACACACGTACACAAAGACAGTTTATATTTTATTTCAGAACTTTATCAACCCAAACAAAAGACATTACTTTCCAACTTTTTGTATTCCTATCGTTATATTAAATCAATGTTTATTTGTTGAAACTACGCTGTCTTTTCAACTGAATTTTATTCTTTCAATGAAAAGCATTTGATTATTCTAGGCGGCCAAATTACGAGCAACCCTGTAACGATATTTTATTAATGTATTGAATCCCGACACTCCAAATTTTAATATTCAACGAAAAACCGAGTAGAAGGATTCCTACAATATCACCTTTCAGAATATGCATATATGTGACATTTCAGTCACATGCGGAATGAAATCACATGTTCAAACACCATCTATTGAAAATAAACATTTTGACTAGTTATTACATTAATATTACAATTTATAATATTGATTTTAAAGATATTAAATAATAACACAGTAGTGGTTGGTTATTGCTACTACTCATTAGCATATGTGTATGAGTAGACGTTATGTATAGGCTCATTACATAAGGTAGTGGCAATGGTACTTGGACTGTAGAACTAATACTGACTGAATACAACTGCAATGCCTACTTGGAATATAACAAATGATTAAAAATAACAACACTAATATTAAATGATGGTAGATATAATGGTGAACAGAATGAGGTAACAATTAGGTTATTGATCTTTGCTTAAGATTAATAACATAATTGCTTTTTCTTTAGAAATACTTTCATACTTGTTACCTGTTTAAAAAGAGCCTTTTTAAGAGGAGATAACTTGCTGTACGTCCACTGGTCTTGCTTCTTGATTGCATCGGATACTAGGAAAAAGAAAATATTTGATAAGAACAATAAAGCAACTTCACGCTTCATGCCAACCTCAAATTGCTGATCATCATCTCTGTAGTAGTCATATCCTTCTATGGCAACATCTAAAACAATCTTGACTTAAATTGAGAGCCAGACTACTGAAATTTCAAATATATAGAACTAATATGTAAAATATTATATATTGAGGGGATTCCATATACAGTAAAAAGTAATATTTAGAAATGATGCAGTGTTAAATGTTAAAAAAAATAGTTTAGTCTGTAACATGACTACAAGGTTATGTTATCCATCGAAATGATTTTTTTTTCATGGCTTAACTCTTCGCAGGTTATTTAAAACAAGAAAATAATTTTTTTACATTGCTAGAAATTTTTAGAGATAATTATTTACTGATAAAAGTCCTATTAATATACTTGGAGGAAAAAAAGAAGTGGATTCATGCCTTTCCCAAGGTTATTTGCACATAAGTGAATATAATAATCTCAACTGGAATAAGAATTTGGTTCTAATTCCCAATTCCAATCCAGTATCCATTACACCAGGCATATCAAACTCTGGGTTGCAGCTGCTTACAGTCTTATATTAATCACAGCTAGTGGTAACTAAACTTTAAATACAAAATAATTACAATAAAAGGTACTACAATTTAATCATTTTTATGTTGTCCTGATGATTGACATCACTTTAGACAAACTATTCTCAATATATCAGGTTGTAATATCCGTGCAGATCCCACTTTGACCAAAGATGACAAACGTTCATCAGTTAATCTGGTTCTGTGAGACGTTTTCGTGGCCTTCATAAATAAAAATAATTGCTCACAGACATATGTGGAACCAAAACATCGCCATAATCTTTGTGGCAAACTTTCTGAAATTCTTAAATATCTGAGGAAGGTATGAACAAAATCCAGGTCCCCTTCTGGGTACTTTCCCTTGAGTGTCGAGTCAGTCTGCATTTCCAGTAGTTCCATCTGCAGATTTTCCTCTGCCTGAGAAACATCAAAAGTGAATGGTGCTAAGAATAATGCAAACTGATCTTCACAAGATGAAAAATCACAAAATCTTCACTGAAATTCCTTTGACAGCAATTCCGGGTAATTGTCGTACTTAGCAAAGATAAATACAGACTCAGTATTGGCAATTTTTTTCAACTCCTTGCACATAGAAAAATGAATCAAGTTTTTATGTAACAACTGGGATTTCAATAAAGCTAAATTTGCAATGAAACACTTGATGTCTTTTCACATTATATTCTTTTGGCATCGCAGTGCAGTGGTTACAAATCAAACAGTTTATCTGTTCATTAACAGTGGTACAAAAGTATTGTAATTCCCACTTTTCTTGAAACACGCGTCCTTCTTCAGATAATTTGTCAAAGGTAAGAATAGTTGCTGACATTCAAAAACAAAAAACCATTGAGATAGAATAAACAATCTAATCATACCAATTGAAAAAAAAAAAAAAAAAAAATCTCACTGTTTTTAATAATTTGCATTTGTGTGGGCCGCCAGTTTGGCACACTTGCTCTACACCATTTGCACATCCAAGTTTACAGCTACTAGTATTCCTGAGTGATCACCTATCTAGGTACTGATCAGGCTGGATGTTGCTTAACTTTTGTGATCATATGAGAACTGGTGTTTCAATGTGATATAGCTGTTACCAAATTAGGCTTTATGAGGATGGAAATTATATATATATATATATATATATATATATATATATATATATATATATATATATATATATGTGTGTGTGTGTGTGTATATATATATATATATATATATCAATATCAATATCAGAGACAGAGCATTAAAAAATAGAGTGGAGACATAGGAATCAACAATGCATGATGACTGTCAGTTTCATATTTCAATACCATCTTCAGGCCAAGTGTCATTAATTCTTTAACAGGCTGTCTATATTGTGGTCTGTGTATCTCTATCACTGGATTGGTTTGGTTTACAGCATATCAACCTCAATGGGTTATTTAATGCCGACAAAATTTTCATTGTTGGTAATATTTTTTCCTCCATAAATCTATTTCTGGCAAGAATTTTCCCCCCATAAATCTATTTCTGGCAAGAATTTTCCCTCCATAAATCTATTTTTGGTAAGAATTTTCCCTCCATAAATCTATTTCTGGTAAGAATTTTCCCTCCATAAATCTATTTCTGGTAAGAATTTTCCTTCAGTGGTAATATTTTTTTTTTATTTTTACAAAGTATTTCTAGTATCAAAACCTATTTTTACACTTTCATAGTGTTTTGACCAGAGTTTGGGGGGTAACTATTTGCCCATAGCTGGGACCCTAATAGGTGCTACAATCCCGGGTCAGGGTGGACCTTGGAACACCAGCAATTAAGAGGTGGTTCCACGCTCCTCAAAACCTCCTCATCAGAGGCCTTGCTGTTGGACATAGTTTATCATCTTACCCAGGACGCCGATGCAGTTTATTGTCATACCCAGGACGCAGATGTAGTTTATCATCATACTCAGGACAGCTCCGTCACTAGAGGATTAAGGGAAGTGGAAGTAGGACTGTTTCAGCATGCATCAGTGAAACCCCTTAGTGTTTGCATAAGGCAAAGATAGATTTTCACTGGCCAAACTTTAAGACAAAACCTAAGCAATGACCTGGACCTCCCCAAAGGAAAAAAAAGAGGAGACAGAAATCAAGAACAAAATGACAAAGGACCGTGGAGAAGACGAGAGAAGTAGAAAGTTGATGATCATTAGATAAGGCATGAGTGGCAAACAGGGTAGGGTAGAGACATTCTGTTGAGGCTTTATATTCCACTAGGCACAGATAAAAAGCCTGAGTAAAAATGCAATAAATATAAAAAAAATTTTAAAAATAGTAAAAAAATTAAGATAAATAATAGTCAAAAATAATAATTTTTTAAATGTTATTAGTATTGGTCTGCGTTGTCATAACAATTTCTTACCTGTGAAACTTGGTTTATGACCAAGCAGGAATGTTAACTGTTGGACACAAGTCTTATGTAATGCATCACGGTTTATTAACTTGTATTCTGCAGCAAGTTCAATTGGAAGAAGTGAAAGAGTTTCATTTTCATTTAATTCAGAAATACCTGAAAAACATTTTTAAATATTTATTCACTAAAAATAGTTTCTTTTAAATAAAAAAAATAAAATAAAATAAAATAATAAAATGAAGTGCTTTAACAGTCAGAAAGTACAGCACCAAAATCCAAAGGCACATTGGGATAGCAAAAAATACTTTTCAAAAGCTAAGCAAAGTATTAAGAAACAGGAAAAAATCATAAGAAACAAAGAAAAGAGTACAGGATTGTTATATAATATCAGTCCTCCTTTATGGCAGTGAATGTTTACTGTGAACATGTTTGAGTTATTATCCCTGTATTTTTTTTTTAATAGTGAAATTAATAACAACTGGCCTAGATTGAGAAGTTCTTACTAACAAAAAAAAAAACCTGAAGCCAGCAGATGTACATTCATACAAGTCCCAATGAGAAATGTGCTTTTGTTAAACAGATAATTCAAACCTTGCTCTGTCAGGCTAGTCTCTATGGCTGAAATGGTTTCCCTGATGGGAAAAAATAAAAAGGAATACATGTTCATTTCCAGTCAGAAGCACAACTTTTTTTTTTCTTTTTTTTTGGTAGGACTTCTTAATCTAAGCTGGTTTTTACTAATTTCATTAATTAAGAAAATAAAATCAACAGTAACAATTCAAACACATGTATCCACTAAAAGTTACCAGGTAATAAAGATATAGTTAGTAATATTATATGTTAATATATACTTTTTAAAATGTCCATTTTTTTAGTCATTTTCAGTTACCTATAGAAAATACAAAGCATAAAATGTCAAAGAAAAGCATTGTTCCATTCTTCCTAAAACCAGATCTTCTGATTCATTATACAGTAATTTCCACCACTGTCTGGATGTGAACACTCTGAACAACCAAAACTGAACTAAAAATACATTGAACTGCACAAAAAATAAGCAATGTAATCCAGAATTTCCACCCAATAGCACCCAGTCCTGCCTTAAGAAACAAAATAAAAACCGGAGCTGATTTGAGACAAAGAAAGGACATAAAAGCCAATCAAAGAGTCATTTTTGGCAGTTGAATGGCATCTTGGCATGGGTTCACAGACTTCATCAGAAAGCAACCCGCCATCTCCCAGAGACAGCTTGCTAAAGGCTGTCACCCTAGTAAGTCATAACTCATTTTCCCCTTTTTTTTCTGTATGCCTCTGCAGACGCCTTTTACAACCTTACTTATCTTTTTCAATGAGAGACATTTACACCGATTTATCATTTGTTGTATTTTATGTTAATACAATTGTTTATTTCTTTAAACTTTTGTTGTTTCTTCTTTATTCTGCCACCATACGCTTAATACAACAGTATATCTTTAATTGAAATAAAGTCATACTTACTTGATATTAAAAGGTCAAGAATTTTTTGTGCTTCCTGAAAAAATATAAAACCAAGATTAAAAAATTTAAAGTTTATCAAATAAATTACAATTTTTAATTTCTTACTAGTATTTCATTCATCTTCATTTCAATTGTTTTTAACAAACTCCCAGATAATCATTTCACACAAAGTGATAATTTAGGAGATGGAAGAAAAAGCAACTAAAATTAAGATGAAAAGAATACAAGTCAAAAATTAATAATTTAGAATTGATAATGATTCATCTAAGAAATCCAAATAATATTACAACTAATATTACTAATGATTGTGGAATAACCATCTAGATACTGATAAAAAGCAATTGAAATTAAGATGAAAGAAATACTAGTCTCAAAAATGAAAAACGATTGACAATGATTCTTCTATGAACTTCAAATAACTATTTATTAATATGCTTGTACCCATGTATAATGTCACACTTGGTATCACAGAAAAAAGAAGGGAGCTGACAGGGGCAAACAGAGGAGGGGGCTAAAAGAATGACAGATGGAGAGAGTTAAAAAAGAGTGCAACACAGAGAGGGATTGGACAGGGGGTGGTGATCTTAAAGTCAGCAGTTTGCAGTGAAGAATTAAATCATGTTTTGCAACCTAACAATCTATTAAGGACAAATTCACCCCCTTAACTGCAACTGACCTTGTAAAATTAAAATCTCTTTAATAATTATAATCATTTTGTAATATAATGAAAACAAATGATGTTCAAATAAAAAATCCTATTAAACTATTAAATCTTGATAAAATACAAAGAATCTGCAATGTTATTAGTCCTGACCTGGCATCTCAGATTCAGTCACTTTCCCCACTACCATTACACAGCTTCCCTGTGCCTTTGCTATATTTTCATGGTAACTGTTCTGATGTATAGTACATTTTTATGAATTTAAGCAGATTACTAGATTGGCAGCAAGGTCTCGTCAATTTACAGTTGAATTGGCTAGATTTAACCAGAAATTTCTATGCCAACAGTTTCTTTTCTCACACTTCTCGTTAATGGAACTCTCTTCCGGCTCCATGCTTTCCAGCCAACATTCAAAAATTCAAATGTAATGTCAATCACTATCAACTGTCTTCTTGATTACTCTTCTATTATTCTCACTCCTAAATGTTTCTTTTTTGGTATTCTTTCCCATTCTTTAAACACCTTGTAGCTTAGTGGCTTTACTGCCTTAATTGGGATGAAATTTTTTAAAAAAATTATAGATTCTGATTTTTTTATTTAAATTGGCTACATGTACTATATAGGGTATATCAAAAATACTTTTACAAACTTTAGGAATGGGTTCCTGACACCTAAACAAGGTCACATTTACAAACACAGCAATTCATAACACATGCTCAAATTCTCCATTGCTTGCTTCTATACACACATTCACCTGTCAGATCATTGACTGGCAGACCCTTTCAAATACAGCCACATGTGTTAAATGGTTTCACAGCCCCCCCCCAATCATGATACATTGATGACACGTATCTGCATTATTAATGTCTGCTACATGAACCAATTGTTTTAGGTGGCCTCACAGATAAAAATATGTAGGATTGAGGCTGGGAAAACATGCAAGCTATGGAACTGGTCCCCCTCCCTTACATATCCATCTTTCATGGAAGATGTTGGCTAGTACATCATGAACAATGTGACTGAAATGTGCTGGATAAGGCACTGGTCCATGGAACATGTCAATTTCTGTATCTCCCCTGGTGTAATTCCATGATACATAAACTATTGCCTGCTACAAGTCCATCTTGCTTCTAAACTGATGTCCATTCTCATAAATGTATCGCTTCAGAATGCCCCACAAGTTTTCGATTGGGTTTAAGTCTGGAGAATTGGCCAGCCAGTTCATTTTCCAAGGTCCACAGAAACCTAATTGTTGCAGGTACTCTGTAGTTTTATGTATTGCATGTGAGGGACCATTATCTTGCATAAATATGATAGTTCTCCTGAATGTAATCCTTTGCTTTTTTTTTTTTAACCAAGTTTCAAGATGCTCTCTCAGGAGGGCTATATAAGCATCTGCAGTCATTTTAATAAAATATCAGGCACTTTCCACATAACAAGCATGATACCTCCAATAATACCAGCCCAAATAATAACACCCCCTCCTCCTTGTTGTCATCTCAAGCATTGATGATGATGTCATCTGTTTATGAACCTACCTTTGCTCAATCCGTCAGAGCCATCAATGGTAGCATGAGATTCATCCCTGAACAAAATCTTCGAGAAATTGACCTTCATGTTGTCTTCTGCCCATTTCAGACGGCTTTTGCATGTGTCTTTTTGTCAATGGAGGCATTGTCACTGGTCTCAATGATTTTCTCATCTTTTTCAGAAGAGAATAGCGAATAGTTCTGGACAGCTGTTTCTTTAATGTGCCTGAAAAGTTCTCCGCTGGTCAGGCCTGGGTTATTTACAGCATCACATTTCATTCATGACCCTTTTTGGCCCTCTTATATACCTTCATAGGAGCAGCAACAAACCTTTTCACAGTTTGGTGATATCTTCCAATTATTTTGGATATTTCTAATGTTGACTTATGTTTTGCAAGTTCAGATTTTATAACAGACTTCTCAGGAGCAGTTAAGTCACAATTGCAACCCATAATTGCACGATTATGAAATCACTCGTTAATAATTTGGAACACTGAAATATTGTGTAACTCATGCAAATGGCTGCAGTTTGTTTACACTTGTGTAGAACCTTACAGTTTTTACAAAGCATGCACATATAACTGTTGACATCATTGTGAAAATCTTTTTAAATTCCAATGTGTAGTTTTTGGACAAAATGGAAAATTTTCACCGCATTAATAATTCATTACAGTGTATATTGAGTATGTTTGCCCCATAAATATACCAAATTTTAAATTATTTACATTATTATATGCTCAATATCAGAGATAGAAAGTCTGCAGAAATCGTGTGGACATAGAAAACAACACTGTATAGTGACTGTCAGTTTCACACTACACCCATACACATGTATATAATATCTTGAATGATAAATCATAATATGACCTAGTCCTTCATGTCATCTCTTTAGAAATATAGTTTATAAAAAAGATCATTATATATATATATATATATATATATATATATATATAATTATTTATTTAAAATATGATTCAACTTCACACATAAGAGGTCTCATGTTTCAAAACAAGAGCCGAAAACTTCAATATAATTATTTGAATTAAATTGAGTTAAAGTAAGCTTTTTACGCCAGTTTTTTTTTTTTTTTTTTTTTTTTTTTTTTATTATGCACAAATCCCTTTCATAAAGAAATAAAATAAAAAAATAAATAAACCTCCATAGACACGTAAACCAGACTAGGCTAGAATATCTTCCGTTTCAAATTTAGACACCCCCACCTTACCCTGACTTGACATCTATGAAAGTAACTCTATACTGATACTTATTATTAACACCCAACACACACCTACCCAATTTAAACAATTCGCCCTAGCTGTTACCATGGAAATTTTGATTTCAATTATTAAAACACATAAATTTCAGAAATACGTTATTCCAAAAAGAATTTCACTTGAAGATGGAACAGAGCTTACTTTAACTCAATTTAATTCAAATAATTATATAGAAGTTTTCGGCTCTTGTTTTGAAACATGAGACCTCTTATGTCATGAGTTGGAATCATATTTTTAAATAAATAATTATATTTATGCTCTACTTTTGTATCGAGCACTATTTTTAAAAAAAATAACTAAAATACTAAGGAACTTTGGATTATTTACCTAACCAGTTCTTTCCTATTTTCTATATTTTTCACACATACATTATATATATATATATATATATATATATATATATATATATATATATATATATATATATATATCATTTCACCCCAAGCAAGGCGAGAATGCCACGAGGATGCAGGAAGTTACATGGAGTGAATAAACACAGGAAAAATTAAGTGAGGAGAAATGAGGAAAAGAACAATAAAGGAATGGGGGTCAAGAGACGGATGATGATTGATGCTGCATTTAAATTTTTAAACATTGCAGGTGACAGGGAAGCAAAAAAATCAGAAGGAATTACCACAGGCAAGAAGTGCAAGAAAAGAAACTAATAAAATAGAACTGATGGTTGTATCTAGCTAGTTCAACAGTAAAATGGTGAGACCTAGTTGTTAATCTAGTAGCATGCTTAAATTCATACAGTTGAGGTACTAAGGGGAACAGCTCATCAGAACAGTTGCCATGAAAATATTTGTAGAAAAGACAGAGGGAAGTCACATTATACCTAAAATATATGTATGTGTGTGTAACGGCTTATTTTCTTTATAAAAATTATATTTCATGATAATGTAAAAAGAATTCTCACCAAGTGAATGCAAGAGAAAAGAAATCTATGAAAGTACCTTATATACTGAAAACGACAATTGGTTGGAATTGAGTGGAAATGCTTCATTGACCAAAACACCAAATATCACTGTACCAAAATTAAAAAAAGACTTTTAGCAGCCAATTAATCATAGAACAATTTTAACAATTCTAACATTATTATAATTTTAACAATATATTCTTATAACAATATTATAACTACAATATTATTATAACTTTGTTATAGCAATATTAAAAAAAAGTTATAACAACAATATTACAATATTAAAAAATATATAACAACATATTATAACAATTATTATTATGATTGAAAGAGAAGAAGCCATTCTCTCTTAATTTCTCAGATGTGGTGTTACCATTATTTACAGTCAGACTAAAGTCCTCATCTTTGTTCTTATTGTCTCAGCATTCCAGTGCTTTACAGGTGTTTGTCATTCTGGATAATCTTCATGGAATTTCAAACGAAACCCTTAATTTAGCATACAAGTTAGATTGTTTTTGTTTTGCAGTCATTATCTAAGGATATCATATCTTGTTATTTAATACTGCACCATGTTTTTACAGGGTCCAAGTCTGCACTACCTGGCCTAGGGACTGAACTCATAATTACCAATTTAGAAACAGTGGAAGCAGAGTGAGCAATAACTGTGCAGTACTAAATAAGAACAATCTACTTCTGTAGATTAAATAAAAGGTTCAGTTCGAAATTTCCTGAAGATCACCTGGAGTAACATACCTGAAGAAGGCCAGAATGTTGTGGTAATAACAACAAAGATCAGAAGATTAGTCTAAATGTAAATAAAAAAAAGAATCCTTCTTTTTATAGATCTTAGCAATCTCAGTATAGAATTTTTTTTTTCTGAAGTCGAGAACTGATACTTTTTCACTTAAAAGAAGCAATTCACTTTGGGATAGCCAAATATATGGCCTATTTATCCCAACCAGTTTCTTCAATGAGTATTGCCAACCTATTTAAAAGAGATTGTAGGCAATCTTCCTACATTATTCAAACACTTGCTTTGAGCATTTCTGCTGGCTAGATACCCAATCATATCTCGAGTCAATCTTTACCTTTCCTATTATACTTTGCAAGGACAACTTATTCAACAAAAAGGTGAAATATCACACAAAATACTCAATCATCATGTTTGTCAGTGTCACTGGCAACATATTACGTCAGACAAGTAATCCCAGAAGGAAGAGAGAATTATGAGATTTTCATAGAATTTAATCTCTGGCATATTCTCTGCCTTTTAATTGATATTAACAGTGTAGCATATTGCAGGAATGAAAAGTATCATTTTATGCTTCCTGGTACATTTTTACCCACCAATAATATTTGGCAAACTCATGTGAAAAAAAAATGTTACAAACCATGAAATTTACACAAGAAAAAACAATAACATAATGGCACAGTGGATAGAGGCGTTGGTTAGATCCAGTGACAGGACCCAAAGAGTGTGAGTTCAATACCTGGTTAAGGCAGTGGAGAACTTGCAGAAGGGAATTAACAGGAGATAACTGATAACTGACATCCATTAAACATGGCACGTGGAACTAGAACCCCAGCAAGCGAAATAAAGGGTTCAATTCGACATTCCAACCACCTGAAGAAGGCCAGAGCGTACAACAGCCAAAACGTTGTAATAAATATTGCGACAAAGATGAAGACAATAGTCCGAATAATGTAAATAGTGTACATAAAACCTCATCTCAGAAATATAGACAGATACTGAAAAACTAATATATCAACGAGACTTGTTACAGAAGGATAAAGAAATAAACAAAGTTGAAGATATGAACAGTTCAATACAATCTTCAGTCTGTTTCTCTGAAGTACTTACATGCCTTGTGTCTATTGGAGCGAAAGGAAGCATGTATTACTACTCCAGAAGCCAAAGGGAAAAGAGGAAGCATGTTTCAAACATCACACTGCCTGTTATTATCTTCAGGGGGAAGTAATCCAAAAAGTATCTGTTATTATCAGTTTAATATAATTTATTTTCCTACTTCAAACTTTCATTTATGGATTTTGAATTCATGCACCAAGCATCAATTGGCTTATAACACAAATACTAGAGATTGACATTTCATGGTCTCTTGAAAGTGTATGCCTAAGTCAGTAGGAGGTTATGTAAGTTTTATAGAGGTATACATGTACATCCACAACATCCAAAGTGTTAATAATCAAGACCAATATTTTAAAGTTCTCACCTTTCACAATATCTTTCCTCTTTTCTAATGTGTCTGGATCAGAAGAATTACAGAGTCTGATAATTGCTGAAGAAATAACTTGGCAAACTGATGAATCAAGCACCTTGCTGGAATAGAAATAACAATTTGGTGATGAACAGTTTCATGAAGGAAATCTCATCATAATCACACCCATAAAATGTAAGCAGAAAATCAAAGATTGACAGTCAAAATATAATTTAAAAAATAAATGAAAATATTAAGACTAGTCTGAAAGAAGTACTGAATAGTCATAATAGCTCATTTCAAATCCAGACAGAAATCAAATTGACAGTTCTCTAAATTCTCCCAATATTTAAGAAAAAGTTACTCCCCTCCCAGGCTAAATAAAAACATAAAATAATAATAATAATAATAATGGCTGAAAAGTAAGATATAGAATCAGTTAAGGTATACAATACGCATTTTCTAATGAGAAACTGAACTAAGTCAAAATCAGGCTATAGTCCTACATGAGTTTTGGCATGTTGGTGTATATGAAATACACCAACGTGCCAAAAGTTATGTAGGACAGTATCAGTTTCTTCTGATTACAGTACTACCTCAATTTTCCAGAATTCAATTATCCAGATATGAAATGAGGAAGAAAAAAATAGAAATAAAACACCATACTCAATGTTGATAAAATCAGTTCAAATAATTTTTGTTAATTCCCTCACTGTTTTCCTACAAAGAGCAGATGGTAAAGTTTAGCCTTTGTGCCCACAATAAAATGGTGTCAAAATGGCAGTTTTTCTCTTGACAACGTTATTATTTTATACTACCTTCACTCCCTCAGCAATGTTTATTGTTCTATAAAGCAATGATTAGAGTTTTAATTAAAACCCAAACATGAAAGTGAATTTATACACTTTGTTCTTTGATAAATTTCAACAAAAATATTAAATACTATTTATTTATTAGATTTTTTATTTACAAGAATAATTTTATTTTGACAACATTCTAAATTTGCAAACAAATATAATGATTATCATTTACCAATTTACAAAAAAATAAATTGGAAAATTTTTTATTCATCAATTTTTAAAAAATTAACTAAAATCATAAAATTCTTTATTATTTACCATTTTATAAAGTTCAAATTGATTGGAAATTTTGCCAACCATTCCAAAGATCAATTTGCCAGATTTGCCAGTTGCTTTAGTCGAGATGCTTAGTGTCTACTCTTCATTTAAGATTTCTTCATAAGTCAAGACTTGGCTTACAATAAATCTGTTGGCAGATTTTCTAGGCATATTTAGAAAAATTAGCAATTATTTAAAAAAAAAAAAAAAAAAAAAAAAAAAAAACTTACAAAATTGTCTTTTTCAAAAAGAAAAGGATGGGGATAACCTATAATTGCTGAAGTTTCAGGCCTTGATTTCTATAGATTAGCCATCCCCGATCCTAGATAATGATTGGATTTCTATTGATTAGCCATCCCTGATCCTAGATAATGAAAAAAATTGAAAATTAAAACAAAATAATCTGAGATATGAAATAATTTGACAAGAAAATGTATAATATCTGGAAAAATGTTTATTTAAATTTTCTTGTTCTATACTTCATAGATATTTTTATAAAATTATGAATAAAAAAATTGTTTTCATAGTTATTTCTCTATAAAATGGTAAATAATAAATATTGTTCAACTATTTTTTAAATTTTGTAGGTTTTTAGAAGTTTTTGAACAAAAAATATTTTTCAAATTTATTTCTTTATAAAATGATAAATTATGAATCATTATCAAAATGGTAAATAATAAATATCATATTGTACTTTGTTCATATATTATTATAATCTTGTAAATAAATATTGCAAAGGGAGTCTCATTAAAGTAATAGCAGTATCAACAGAAAAAAAACACTCTTTTGAAACACCATTTTTTTTGCAGGAACAAAATGTAAGTATTGTACTCCAGGTAAAAAGTTCAGAGCTACACAGCATTTCTTTAAAAAACACCTTAAAATGAAGGGGAAAAAAAAGAGGGGAGATAACCATTGCTTGGCTAATAACTTACTGTTGAAGATAAATATCAAGGGTCATAACATTATGGGTGTGTAGTGTCCATAAAACTTCCAGGGGTAGATGAGAAATCTAAAAAATTAAAAAAAATAAAAATTTTAAATATATATGAATTTTCAAATAACATCTCATGTCATTAACAATGTTACAAGAGAACTAATTAATGATGTTTGCACCCTATTGGGTTGGAATTTAAGTTTGTAGTACTTTTCAATAGACATCATATGAACAAGTGATTTTGTTTTATACATGACTGAAATTTATGGCACACACACATATATAGTGTAACCCGGATATAAGAGAGATTTTCTCTGGTCCCAAATTAGAGCCTGTGTTAATGTATATAAATTAGACCAAACCCTGATATAAGAGAAACCTGGATATAAGAGACTTCTTCTCTGGTCCCGACAACTCTCTTATATCCGGGTTACACTGTATATGTATATATATATATATCTCTGAAAGGTGGTATTTAAACACATCTTTCAATATAATTCATGTGTGAATTTTTAATTTTAAATGTGTTTACATTCTTGGAGAAAAAAAAAAGCTGGGAGATTACATACCATCAAATACTACAAGTTTAGCATTCAAAACTTGATATTTTACTAGATTTGAACACAGACTTCTTGAACCAAAAAAATACAGATTAAAAAATAAAAAAAAGAAATAAAAATGAAAATAACCAGATAAATCAATATTACCTACTTGAGAACAAATATACTTCAAAAAGAAAGTAGTGTCAAAAGATTCTTTCATAGAATGGATTACTCCAATAATAATCTTTAGGAGATTCTACAAAAGAAAAAAAATTCCAGATTATTATATTATATGCACATGAACATTTACACACATATTATAGGCACACAAACATGTACATTATACATATCATAAACACACACACTGATGCATATTTTTCTTTGAGAAAAGGTTAAACTCCTGTTTTTATAAATAGAGAAAAAAAAACATTTACTGTAATTATAATGTTATCAAACAGTTGCTGTTATCAAAAGCAGCTGATCAAAAAATTTCCAATCAATAAATTTCATTTTTTTTATTTTTTATAATGCAAAGTTGTTTATAACAAAGAATACATATTGTTTAAATTTGTACATCTTTCACTTATTTTTTATCAGCTAGCTATTTTTATCTAAAAAGAAACTTATTAATCAATGTCCCCGTTTTTGAAATCCCTTACCTGGTTTTCATTTTGTCCTCCATATACAGCCTTACAGTTATATCACATTGAAACACTGGTCCTTGTAAGATCACCAAAGTTAAGCAACACTAAGTCTGGTTGTTTGATCAGTGCCTAGATAACCAAGCACTTGGAAATTCCAGGTGCTATTAGTTTAGATGTGCAGGTGGTGCAATTAATAATGGCCCAGAATTGGAGATCGGAGAGTCAAGTTCCAATTCTATTTAGGGTCGTTATATTCACTTATGCACAAATACCTTTAAGAAAGGCATGAATCCATCTCTTCACCTCCCTGCTATGGGTTAATTATTAGGACTTTTATCAGTAAATCATTATCTCAAAAAATAAATAAATAAAAATAAATATTTTCTAGTTTTTAAATAACCTGCTGCAAGGTTGATAAACCATAAAAAACAATCAATCAATCGATACAATCTACAATATACCAGGTGCAACAGATATTTACCAATTATTTAAACATAAAAAAATGATCCATTATTTAATAGATTATTAATTAATGTCCCCCTTTTTGTAATCCATACTTGGTCCTGTGAATAATAATTACTTTCCAGCAATGCAAGTTAGTCTCTAGAGAATCCTCTTTTTTTTTTCTATTCTTGATTCTTACATATTTGAGCTAATCTTTAGATAATGCCAATATATGGATGGTAAATTAACAGTTGATCAAGCAACCAAGATTTTTGGACATTCTGATAAGGAATGTGCTGACCACATTAATTAAGGGTTACATGAGGATTTACAAGGAACCAAAAATGTAATGACTTGGATACTTATGACAATGTGCTGTTTGATTACAGTTCAGATAAATACAGTGATGGTAAATAACAATGTCTACAAAAATGTCCCAGTTGTTCCACAGTGGCATCAAGATAAGTAAACTATGCATTAAGAGAGAAGGTAAAACTTACGTAGCAGCCCTAAATGGTTATCCCATTAATGGCAACTGTCCCATTTATGAGAGATAAGCACTAACTAATTTAGGTAAAAGCCTATAATTAGAGGAACATTTTTATTTTAATAATTAATAGCAAATTTTACAATAAGCATTAACGAATTTATGCTGTTTCTGGGACAATAGATGCAAGTGTTCATAGCAAACCACATCTGCTTCATTGCATAGGTTTTATTTTTATTTTTTTTTTTACATAAAATTGAAAGTTTGTTTCTTGAAAATTTTCACAAAATATCAAGGTTTTATTGAGTTTAATAATGTAAGCTAATGCAGGCCTTCTCCACAAATTCAAGGGCTACGGTGTCTCTGGATTAATATTTAGCTTAATCCAATCATTGCTAATAAACTGTCTAATGAAGGTCATATTGAACGGACATGCTTCTAGTTAATTTCACAATAATGTGGCGGGGGGGGGGTCTCTCAGGGTCCTATCCTTGGACCTGCATTGTTTCCTATATTCATCAATGACCTTCCCAATATTACAAGTTCCCCAACTAAGTATTTATGCGGATTACATAATGATTTACTCCTGTCTTAGTAGCAAGCCCAACAGATCCAACAAAGTACAAAAAGACAACTGCTGTCAAAAAAGGACCTCCAATTAGTCATTAAATGGATTAAGGAATGGCATGCATGCATGCATACATACATACATACATACATACATACATACATACATACATTTCATTTTCTGCATGGCTAATGCTACCCTCCAAGAGAACAATTAATCATGCCTTCTTGGGTTCATGTTTTCCCATGAAGTGGAGTAATTATATTGATTCAATTGCTACACCTACTGCTAGGAAAGTTGGGTCACTGTGTTATCCCAGACAATTTTTCCTGTCAGAATCCTTCCTGCACATTTATAAATCTACCATTTGTCTGTGCATTGAATATTGCTGCCATATCTGGTCTGGTGCACCTACTATATATCTCGAGATTCTTGAGAAAATCCAAAAGAGTGTGTAATGTAATCAATTCTGACCTGACATTCAACTGTTGTGAAGTGGTTTCCCCGTATCTTTTCTACAAATATGATAAGTTTTCCTCTTTGGTGCCTCAACTTCATGAATTTAAGTGCAGTACTAGAATGGCAGTTAGGTCTCACCATTTTACTGTTGAACTAGCTAGATGCAACGTCAATTCTATTCTAATAGTTTCTTTTCTCGTATTAAAATTTAAAAGGTCAGCAATGTAATGAATCCTGGTATTTTGAATTCAGTGACTTTCTCCCCACCATGACATGGCTTCATGTCTTTTCTACAAATATTTTCATGGCTATTTTCTGATGAGCTCTCCTCCTTAATACTTTGACCACATGAATTTAAGCACAGTACTAAATTGGCAATGAGATCTCATCCTTTTACTGTTGAAATAACTAGATATAACTAAGTTCAATTCTAATAATTTCTTTTCTTGCACTTCTTGCCTGTGGAACTCTCTCCTGGCTTCACTGTGATCCACAATCTTCAAAAATTTAAATACAATGTCAAAAGCTGAAGAAAATATAAATACCAATAGACAAATCAAATTAAGTTTGTTTTTTTTGGGTTTTTTTATGACAGGAGAATAAAAATTAATGTTCTTTTCTCCTCTTCATATTGTTTTAAAATAGAAAACTTATTGCACAAGCTTGCTTTGAGTACATGAAAATCTGGAGAATAAAATGAAGTTATGATGGTTTCCCTTTATGAAAGCTGAAATATTAGAGTTTTATCAGTACCTTCCCATGAATCATAAAAAGGAATTTTATGACCCTTCTTAAGAAAGAAAAGTTATCAGGAATAGA